AACTCATTCAACGAAGAATCCTTTGCTATTCCAAACATGTCGCCATCACCCATGACTCCACCTCCAGGCTGTCCTATGCACGAAGGAAAAAAGCCAGAGGAAAAGCCATCCCCGCCACCAGGTTGTCCCATGCACAACAGCAACACCCCTGTCAGCGACAAACTCAATGAACTCAACATGATGCCTAACCTCACTCAGGACCGTCAGGCCGACCAAACTATTGAATTGCCTACAGAACGTACCATATCTTCCATTCCAAAGATTGCTGGCCAAAGCGAAAGATGGGAGTACCCTTCCCCTCAACAGTTCTATAATGCACTCAGACGTAAGGGCTGGGAAACTCCAGAGGAGCACGTTGAGACTATGGTCGATATTCACAACTTCTTGAACGAGGAGGCGTGGAATGAAGTTCTCAAGTGGGAATCACTTAAATCTTGGTAGGTTTGACTACATGCAGGCACTTTTGTACCTGGTTTATCATTCATTACTCATGACTTCGTTTTTCTATCTCAGCGATTGCAATGAGGATCCCTATTTGGCTCGTTTCCAAGGAAAGCCTCAGCAGATTAGTCCAAAGGCTAGATTTCATACTTGGATGGGGTAAGGGTTTGCTTAGACTGGGTTTGGTTGGGCTGTATCTTTGGTAGTTAACATGTTCTGTTTGTGTAGTGCTCCTCAGCCATTTGATCGTCATGACTGGTTTGTATCTCGCTGTGGAAAGGAAACTCGGTATGTCATTGATTATTATGAAGCTCCAGAGGAAAGCCCTGGTGTTCCTGTCTTCCATCTGGATGTTAGACCCGCTATGGACGATCTTGATTCCGTCATGACCCGATTCAAGGTTGCTGCCAAGGAAAAGTGGGAGCAGTGGTTCCCTTCTGATGAGTCATCGTCTTCTGCTGCCAATCCTTCTTCATGATTCCCCTCATACGGCTTGTAGTAGCTTGTTATATATTTCCTTGTCAGCGTCCAACGTTACCATGCCCCTTTTTTTCCATATAGACTTTAAGTAGTTATGAAATGCCCAATCCCCCAATCAACTCAAACTCATACGCTGTACTTCAATAGACCAATCATTCGATCATTTTCAATTTGGTGTCGGGTTTCTTTGTGACGATGTAAGTGATCCAACCAGAGATGATATAGGTTTAAATGACTAGAACGGTCAAGAAACACAACGCAGATTAACAAGGTATATTGAGAAGCAAGTGTTTGGCTTGGTGAGTGGGGCAGTGCAAAGGGAGGAGAGCAATGATAAATCTACATAGTTCTGTGTCTTAATGGGGACTTTTTTTTTTCGCTTTACGCGATACTATCCGGCTATACTATCCGGTTGAATGGAAAACGCGACTTTGACATCGCAGATAGATGAACGGCCGCATCGGCGAAACCGTTTTCTCCGATCGAAAAGAATAATCTAGGCCTGCTTCAGTCTTCCAGACATGAACTGCTTACGCATATCTTTAAGCATATGTCTTCCCTCCTTGTGATCTTTCTCTGTGCGGTATACACGAGATTGTGGGCCAATGGTAGGCTCAGTGATGAACTTCCAATGCACGTACAACCATGATGTATGATAGGAGAGTGTGTCATAGTATTCGCGTGCAATGGATCGAAGAGCTGGAAGACCAGACCACGGGATCTGAAATGGAGATGGGGAATATTTAACACAGTCAATCCTGTTTGGCAGGATAAATATTTGATTCAAATTACCTTTTGGAAATCATGATGCTCGTTATGGTATCCAATGTTCATAAACGGAATATTCAACACTCCATAATAGCTGTAGGTTTCTTGACCGTCATCAAATGTGTAATGTTCTTGAACAAAATGAGCAGCTCCAGGATGGAGAGAATAGCCGAACCACAAGGAAAGGAACAAGTAGCCAAGGCCTCTCCAGCCTGCCAATTTAACAATAAGTGCGTCGGAGCAAATGGTGAATGCTACATTGATAAGTTCCCACTTGGACGGGGACTTGTTTTGGCGATGCTGTTGTACGGCACCACGAATGACATACATGAAAGGATAAATGAGAATCCACAGAGTCTTCTTGAGTGCGTTACCACGAATCAAGGTTCTTTCCCAATCCAAAGGAAGATCTGGGTCCATGCCTTCAACTCCTTGCCATGTGTGATGTTCCAAGTGATACCGGCGGAACGATTGTGCAATTGGTACAGGGAGATTGATATTTGCAATCAGCCCAACAATACGGTTCCAGAATCTACTGGAGAGAACAAGACTATGACATGCTTCATGGATCAACACTCCACTGAGGGCTGTAAGAGTTCCTCCCACAAAGTAGGCAACGACCAGCATTTGCCAGAGTGAGACATTGATCCGGCCGAAATAATAGGCGAGGCCCACTTGTGCTGCTGCGTTTGCAATGGCCACATATAATGTTCGAATATCGGTTCCGTAAAGTTTTTCGACTTCAGGATGGGAGCTCAAGATGGCGAATTTTCGCTTCAAATGGGGTTCATCCATGTCATCCTTGGCGAAATCATCGTCTATCCCCGGAATGGACCGCTTCCAGGTACCCCGATATAGAGGATGGCGATGGTCTATAGGCGCCTCTCCGGATGTTTGGCTTTCAACAAAAGGCGGCATTGAATCAAGTTGTAGCAAAAGGGCTTGGCACTATACAAAGTTTTCAAGGGTTAGCGGTCCTTTTAACGGACGAGCGGCCTTTAGATTATTTTTTTGTTTTAAACGTTTGAGCGTAATACTTGCGGTGGCATCGGCAGAATAAGCTACGAACTCACCCCACTTTTCCTAGGTCACACCGTTTCGTGTCCGTGCTTTGCTCATAATTAAATACGATGAAAGTGAGATGAAAACATAACATTGTAACGGCTTGGCGACAAGAAATGTTTTAGATGATCTGTTGTTGGTTTCAGGCACCCTAAATTACCCTTTCCTCATTGGTGGATCCGTTGCGATGCTCAAGCTGGGAAATGTAGTGTCGAAAAAACGGCTCATAAATTGGTCGGACCGCGCTGTTTAAGCAGTAGAATCCGAAAGAATTCATGCAATTTTCACAGGCAGAACGCTCTACTGTTAGAAACTAACTGTAACAGTCATATCTGTCTGTGAACGATATTGTTGCTATTATAGCCAATGAAGCATTAACCAACGCGGCAAACCGGGCCATACATTTGAACACTGTTTCTTTTGCGCCATAACCAACATCGGCGCAATTATAAGTGGCAGTATCAATCAATCTTCTTTACTAAATGTACACATTCATTAGTGTTTGTTGTGTGTATGGAACTGCTGCTCATATTGCAGCGCAAATAGAAAGTTCCAAATCGCAGTCGTTTGCGCGTTGTGGCGGGGATTAAACCCATTGAACACTTTCAGGCTTGAGCTTACATTCCCGCAACGATTAAATGGATTTAGAAGCAAAACTGAAGAAGGGCATAGAGCTAAAGACTGCTGGAAATAAGGCATTCAGTAGTAATGATATAAAAGGAGGTAAGGCTCTATCTTTTTTTCTTGGTTTGAATGTTAGCATTCAAGTAACCCTTTCGGTCTGCAGCTCTTACGAATTACCACCAGGTACGTGTCGGTTACTGTTGCCATACCTTTATACCTATGCTAGCTCACACTTTCAAAAGGCCTTGTTGTACTTGTTAGGAACAGATAACATCCAGGAGGCAATGGGATCACAAACTATCAAGGAGGACCCCGTCAAACTGGAAATAAAGCAACAGACCGCAGCTTGCTACAGCAACTTGGCTGGTAAGTTGCTCACCATCCGAGACGCTTATGGGGTGTAAAACTGAAAGGTATTTTGAAGCATGTCTGATTAAGGATGAAAAGTGGCCAAAGGTGATCGACTACTGCAAAAAGGTAGAGTGAGAGAAATGGAAGCACCATATGATCCTTTAAAAGACACTTGCTTAAGTTCTTCTCTTATAGGCACTCGCATTGGAGCCACAAAACAAAAAGGCAAACTTCAGAATTGCACAGGCATATCTGAGGACGGGTAAGATTGAACTGGCACAAGAGAAGTTGCAGGAATTGGCAAAGTCGGACCCAGGAGGTACGTTGGTTATGCGGAAGAACTAGTTCTCCGAATAAATATATAATTTATTTATCATCTGTTTTTTTTTTTTTTTTTTAACGAACATGCAGATGCTGCTGTTAAGCGCGAGTTGGCTCTACTAAAGGAAAAAGATAAAATTGCGACAGTAAAAGAGAAGAAAATTTACAAGAATATGTTCGAGAGGATGTCAAAAGAACCCGAAAATTAAGTAGAGCGATGCCAAGCGATTGTATCAATAAAGATTTCGAAAGAAAAAAAAAAGAAATGCGATGGCAGTAGAAGCAATTCAAAAAGCAACATGGAATTTTTAACAGAGAGAAAGCTGATTGAAACGCTTGGTTGTTGTACAGTGTTGAAGAATCGGTTTCCTTGCTTAATGTAGGCGTTGTCGCACGGTTTGGCCAAACTTCATGCGTATCACCTTGCCGGGTGCTTCGCAACCAGCTTCTTGAAGACCCATAGCTAATTTATTAGCACGGTTTTGCCATTCCTTTTGCGCACGACTTCGAGGCATAAACGGTGAAGGGGCTACATGATCGGATCCTATATCACTGAATAAGGAGGATGGCGCATCGTGAGCGTCATTGTCGGTATCCATATCCATCAAGGAAGATTCATCCGATGAATCGCGGCTCCCGCCAGAAATAGGTGACGGCGTTGTGCTGTGGTTGTTGTCATGCCTTTTGACGTCGGCTATCGGAATCATTCTTTCGCCAGTCGGACAAAGCATGCCTACAAGGCCGACGATATCCTGAACTTCGACACCTTCTTGGTTTGCGCAGCGGCGATAAGAAGGAGGCGCCATCAGTGTTGCTTCATTGAAGATTGCGGTACTTCGCTGCTGCTGTCTCTCTTTCCACCAATCTGCTGTTTCGTTGATACGATGAACATGAGATCGCAATACATCGTTCAAAGAAATACACCACAAGTTCTTCGCTTCCTCTGTGGCGGCCTGGAATGTAAGCGTCTCATTATTCCTGTGAACAACCGAGCAGGAGAATTGTAGTGGCTGGCATTCTAGCTTCGGTTGGCTTGATCCCATGTCGAGCCTTAAAGAGTGTCGACTTGCTGATTGCGAATGTTGTTTTTGAAAATCCGGCGACTTCAAAGACCCTCCGAAAAACGTGCTTTGGGATGATTCCTTATTGGAATAAAATGGATGTATTTCTTCTTGACTATAGGAGGATATGTGCTCGACAACGTTTGTCACTTTGGCGGGCATGGAACATAGCTTTAGTCGAGCACTGGCATGTGGTCCATAGTATGCCTTGGTTGAGCTTTCAGCAAGAATGGGTGCATCTCCATTGATGCTCTTGACCACTTTGCTTTTCACTTTAGTCCAAAGAATGAGATCATTGAATAAAAACGCATACACTTCCTTTGTTGCTGGTGAGCCACTGATACTGAACGAGCTATCTCGTCTTTTCAACAATGGCCTTTGGAAGTTATCAGAGGCTGTTGCAGTTGATGTCCGAAAGCTGCTGACTGTACTCAAACTTTCAACACTGCCATTGAATCCAAATGATAGGACTGACGTTGGTGAAACGCCTTCGCTGCTGGAATCATTTACAAGAGTCAGATAACCTTCGACAATCAATCGACGTCCATATTCTGCCAACTTGAACGATGGTATTTTCTAATCCATGTTTGGATGCATTAGACCACACTCAATTATACGCAAAATCCTTTCAGTATTGAACCTACCTCTAAGCCCATGATTCTCTTCTCTAGATCCTCAAGTTTTTGATATTCTTCATGTTTGGCTTGCTCATTTTGAATGCTGGTTATAGCCACTTCAATTTCATGAAGTAGCTGAACAATGTCTTGATGATCGGGACTTCCAGTTTGTCTACATTCCAATAAGCTCTATAGGCGACCATGTTTTGAAAAACATTAGGACAATTAATTCCAGCAACCCAAACATTCTCCGCAACAAACTTACTCTGAAAAACAACGGGTACTTTGTAATTCTTTGGACCGGCTTTAACAGGAAAGCTTGCAAAGGTAGGCTACGACATTCGGGAAGGGCATTGCGTTCCTGTAGTACCAGTAATAAGTCAACGTAACTCGCTTATCTATCATCGCATGTATAGCACGGTAACTTACTCGAAGGTATATACCAAAGATATCGGATCGAGATTCTAGTGCTTTTCTAATGATCTCAATGGCACTTTCGAAATTTACCAAATATGCTGCGTAGATGTGGAACATGGGTATCTAATAAAAGCAATTTAGAAATAATCTCACTGACCGCAAAGGATAGACTGCCACTTACAACTTGTCTATATTTATCAGTGATAGTCCTCACAACTGGATATTGAGCACTCTGTCTCTTTCTTAATTCCTGTATCAACCCAAGTGTTAGTCATTCCTGCAGCCAAGCACACAAATGGTCAGCGTCTTTCCATACCTCAAGTAGACCTTGATGCAGCTTTACGATTTGGTAGACGTTTGAAAAGATAAGTCTTACTGACTTTGGTAGCCCGTCCCATTCTAAAGCTTCCTTAATAAATATCTTCGAATGGAAATAGAACGATTAGTGCCTGACTGACGTGATCGACTTTCTTCGCGACCAACGACTTACTTTGTACACTAGCTTCAAATCGTTTACATAATCTGCCTCGGTTGCAATAATCTCGTGAACTGCTTCTTGATACCGAATCTCAGCAGGATCAAGGTTCAAATAACGCAAGTGGTCCTCTCCAAGTAACTGACGCCAAGTGGAAGACGCGGTTGCCACATCCGTTCGATGCATTTGGTTTTGATCCACTAAAGATATTTGACTCGGAGTTTTACTCAGCAAGGGCCGGTTTTTGAAGGAGAAAGCGCGTTTCAATGGTGAATTGTTTGCTGTAAACTGCTCTGATAGTCTTTTAGATAGCGAGTCTGAGGGATCTGAAGAAATTACGGCGGTATGCGATTTGCTTAGAAAATTTCCGGCTTTCTTTGCAATTCGATTTGTCGCCGCGCGAAAGTGAAGGGGTTCTTTTTGACGGGTGGATTTACCAGTGGACTTATTCGGTATGGAGGAAACAGTTGCTGGACTTATGGGTAAATGGAATTTGCCCATTCTGACAAAAACGGAATGACAAGGAAGCAAAGAAATGTCAGTAAGTGGAAAACTACTTTGAAGGTCTTTTTACAACTTGGCCGTGCGCCCAACGCGCAATAGGAAAGCCGTTGCCTATTTTTGCATGTTTTATCTTCTCCAGGTCACCACCCTCAGCAGCAGCTGGCATTCTTCCAACATTCACTTACCATTCCCCAGAATTGAGCAGCTATTTCGAGGTTGACAAAACGGTGCCTTTGGAAAAGAGGGAAAAAAGGAACTTTACAAGCAAATACGCCAGCCGAATGGTATGTTATGCTGAACTTTCAAGCGCGGCATTTCCTTTATTTGAATGTTATTTGGCAGATTGCCTAAAATGGATGGTTGTCCCAAGGTCGTTCAAACAAATCCTCCGACATACGTGGTAGTGCCTGAAGAACAGGGCAACTTGGAATGGTGATGATTCCTGCCGCTGTTATCGGCTGATTGTACCTTCAAATAATGGTGATCAGTGCTATCGTAGCATTGGAAAAGTGTGACGTTATGGATTGGTGGGATGAGGGTTTTGTGCGGAATAGCTCTGACAGCGTCATTAGAGAGACATGTTATTTAGTTCGATGCTCATTATGATAAAGTATGACAAAGTTTTGCATCTCTCTTGCAGAACATTGTATCGAAGCGAAAGATCCTTGCAAAATAGCAAGCACAAGTTTAACAGCGTAGTGATTCTTACCATCATGCCAGAATTGGCAAGTCCAGTCACGGGCGAGCCAACGCTTTTGCCGACGTCGTCGCGTTTCGTCCAAGTGGAGTTGCAAACATCCAGCGATCAACCATGTCGACTACAAGCGCTTATATGGTTGCGAGTCTGTTAGAAAAGGTAAGGGTCTCAGAGTAGATCAATTCAGTCTGAACTGAAAACTAACCTCTGCTTCACATAGATGTCAAACAGCGATACCGATTTTCGGTATATGGCGCTGAATGATCTTACCAACGAACTGCAAAAGGAAAACTTCTCTTTGGAGGATTCTACAGAACAAAAAGTCCTTCGAGCTGTTCTTAAGCTACTAGAAGATAAGAACGGCGAAGTCCAGAATCTCGCTGTCAAATGGTAAGGCATATCTTTGTTAAGCAAAAGTCCCCACAAATGGGAACATTATGATATTTATCTTATAACCAACCATTGTACTCATGTTATTTTTTCATTCAAATCCAGTCTTGGACCTCTCGTCAGACGTATTAAGGAAGCCCAAGTGTTGGAGGTCATTGATCAGCTTAGTAATTTCGCCGCGCAGCAGAAGAACGACGAGCTCCGCGGTATTGCTAGCATAGGTAAGAGCATTGGCTTTGTTCAGTAACAAATCATCATAATGCAGGTTCTTACATCAAAGCATTACATAGGATTAAAGACAGTCATTGTGGAAATCACTCCAAACCGAGCCAGTAATGTTTGCAAGAGGATCATTCCAAGGCTACTTCAACAGCTGGAAAATGTAAGTTTGCCATACATGCCATTGTGCTTTGTACTGACTGAAATTAACATTGTTTATAGCCTGGCGGTTCATATGAAGTTTACATGGATTCCTTGGATACGCTATCAGAGTTGCTGAGTCGTTTCGGAACTCTGATTCCCTCTGAACAACAATTGCAAATTCAAAAAGTCCTTCTACCTTTGCTCAGTCATCCTCGTCCGGCAGTACGTAAGAGAGCCACAGTGACCATTGGTCATCTAGTCGCGCATATTTCTGAGCAGCAATTTGAGTCACTTGTGGAGTTCTTGCTGGAAAAGTTCAACCAGAATCAGGATTCGAGCGATAGATTGAGGACGCTTGTTCAAACGACTGGTGTTCTAAGGTAATTTGATGATTTATGGATTATGTACCTTGAATCTTCCTATCTAACAGGAATCTTATTATAGCCGATACAGCGCAAGTAGACTTGGTGCCCATATACCGCAATTTTTGCCAATCATCATAACCCATGCTTCTTCCGAAGACGCTGATGATGAATTGCGAGAAATTTGCTTCCAGTCTTTAGAGTCGTTTGTCATTAGATGTCCTACCGAGATCACCCCCTTTGTTGATCAAATAATCGAATTGGCTCTGACTTATCTTAAGTACGACCCCAATTATGCAGCTGATGAAGACGAGGTACGTTTAACTGGTCAGCCTGTAGGAGTATGTTTGGATTATATTCGTCTCACACATAGTAAAGTCTGAAGATGAGGAGATGAAAGACGATGAGGACGAGGAGGACGAGGAGGAAGATGACGAGATTGAGTAAGAACTCAGTTCACGAATGAAAGTCTTAATGATCATGTATTTTGACCAAATGCGTGGATTTAGGGATTATTCTGACGATGACGATGACGTTTCATGGAAGGTGCGCCGATCTGCATCCAAAGTCTTAGCCGCTTTGATCGAGACACGCCACGACTTGCTTTCACAGTTATATCAAACAGTTGCGCCTGCATTGATTAGCCGATTCAAGGAAAGAGAGGAATCTGTTAGAGTGGATATCCTTCAAACTTTCATTGTTCTTCTTCGACAGACATCTTTGTATGGTGGTGATAATGTTGGTATTCCCAAGGAGAAGGATATCTTCGATTTCGACATTGCAAGCGAGCGTATAGATGTATTCTCAGCACGAGCGGCAAGCGCAAACCCCAACATTGCGATGATGGAGACCGAAGAAGGGTGAGTTTCATATAATGATTTGCACTGTGTTTTATTGTGAGCACTTGGAAACGGTTTTTTCATCTTTTATTTCCTTAGACCAAAGCAACTTTTGCGTATCTTGGTACCAAGCTTGAGTAAGGCACTTGCTCGTCAACTTGGTTCAAAATCAACCCAAACGAGGCAAACCGGATTCTTATTGTTGAAGGAGCTTGTAACTGTGCTCCGAGGTGGCCTTGATGACTACTTTGAGCCACTTGTACCTGCTATTAGGTCTTCGTTGACAGCGACGGTCTCACCTGATAGTCATCATATTGGAACCAACTCTAACCTCAAGATTGAAACCTTGTCCTTCTTGCGCAATTACTTCCGAACCCATTCGGCTGAAAGCGTTCACCCCTATCTCGATCGCTTATGTCCTGCAGTGATTCAAGCTGTATCTGACAAATTCTATAAGATTGTTTCCGAGGCTTTCTTAGTTTGCATCGAGCTTGTTGGCGTTTTACGACCCGTTCACAGTGACCCTACATCTGCCTCTGGCTACAAATTGTCACCTGTCAAAGCAGAGTTCCAACAATACATAGACGAGATTTACAACATTACGACACGCGTGCTATCTACCAGTGATGCTGACCAAGAAGTGAAAGAGCGAGCTATCATGTGTCTAGGTGTTCTCTTATCTCATGCCGGTGACCAACTTCAAGATCAAAAGGCTGCTCTCCAAATGTTGTTGGATCGACTTCGCAACGAAATCACGCGTTTGATCAGTGTTCGAACTTTGACCATTGTGGCAAGAAGTCCTGTAGTAGACGAAGAGGAGCTGCAAAATGCCGCTTTAACATCCATAGATCAGGTGGCAGTACTGCTTCGAAAGAGCAATCGTGTTCTCCGTGTTGCAAGTCTTTACTGCTTGGAAACTCTCACAAGAAGGTATGGAAAGCAGACTGGAACCATATGTATTTTTACTTATTCAAATTAACTGTTTTTTTTTTATATAGATTTGGTCAATCATACTCTCAGCAGAGTGTGCAGACCATACTTGCCGAACTCAAACCCTTGATCAGCGATGCCGATTTGCACTTGTTGCCGTTGGCTTTGTCCAACGCCGTTGTGATTTTAGAAACGAACCCACAGTCAGTAGAGAGCATCAAAGCAGAAATACTACCTGCAGTATTCCAGCTAGTCCAGTCGCCTTTAATCCAAGGATCGGCCTTGACAAGTTTACTAAAGCTCTTTGCTGCTATCGGCAAAGCGAGCCCAAGTGACTACGATAGTTTGATCCAACGACTTATCAACCCAGTTCTTACAGTCAATATGCAAGGTGTTGCTGCCGGTGGAGTTGCAGCTGTTTCCAACAAACATGCAAGCTCAACTATCTCACAATGTGTCGCCGTACTGGCCACAAATACAGACGAGCAGAACAGAGAGAAGACTATCAATGAATTTGAAAACTTTGTTAAGGTGAGATGAGTTATCTGATAAACAGTGAAATTTTACCGATAATTTTATTTACTTCTTCATATGCAGGACCCCTCTACAAATGACTCTGTCAAATATTTGTCACTGTTGACTCTGGGTGAAATTGGCCGTAAAGCGTAAGTATGGTTTTCGAGAGACCTGATTTGCGACCGCAAGATAGTAACTCTGTCTTTAGTGACTTGAGTTCACGACCAGATATATACAACACTGTGTTAGATCTTTTTGGAGCACAATCGGAGGAAGTCAAATCTGCAGCAGCATTTGCATTGGGTATGTAATTCTTAAATATGCTTTATTGTAGCAAGAGGCTGTCGCTCATGCTTCTTTACAGGTAACATAAGTATCGGTAATGTTGCACAGTACATTCCTAGAATTGTAGCGGAGATCACTGAGCAACCAAAGAAGAAATATCTTTTGTTGCACGCCCTCAAAGAGATCATCACTCGGTACACTCATCAAGAGGGTGGGGCTGGTCTCGCCAATGAATCAGAGAAGATCTGGATACTCCTCTTTGAAAACTGTGAGAGTGAAGGCGAGGAAGGAACGCGCAATGTTGTCGCCGAATGCCTTGGAAAACTGACCTTGACAGATCCTTACAAGTTTTTACCCGATCTGAAGGTAAAACTTAATGATTCGTCTACATTTTACCTTCTACTCGACACTAAACATGGCATGACATAGAATCGACTCAATTCCCCATCTGCACATATTCGTGGAACTGTAGTGACAGCTATCAAGTACACTTTTATTGATCAGGCTCAGCACTACGATGAACTGTTGAATCCTATCATTGTCGAGTTCTTATCACTCATCAAGGATGAAGATCTAGTATGTGATTTAGTGAATATATTTTCACCGTACAATGAGAAATACTGACTTTTTTCACTTGCAGAATGTTCGCAGACTCTCTCTATCCACGCTTAACTCAGCTGCTCATAACAAACCCTATTTGATCAGAAACGTTCTAAACACTCTGTTGCCGCTCTTGTATCAAGAAACCATGGTGAAGGTAAGCGTTGCATTGAGTTGATTCGATCAACTGTACATACAACTGACCATCACATTACTCCCGCATTCAGAACGAGCTAATTCATTTGGTAGAGATGGGTCCGTTTAAGCACAAGGTCGACGATGGTTTGGAAATACGAAAAGTGAGTTACATTGCCAGTGTTAAACTATTGAGGTTAAGAAATTTTGCTCATGATGTTGTATAGTCTGCCTTTGAATGCATGTACACCTTGTTAGAAACATGTCTCGACAAAGTAGACGTCTATGCTTTCTTGGACCGAGTGAGAGCAGGTCTTGAAGACCAACATGAGATCAAGGTCCTTGCTCACTTGATGATCATTCGCCTGGCGCATGTAGCACCAACTGCCGTAGATCAAAGTAAGTGCTTCTTTTCTTTCCTCCTTGAAAGACACTTGAACAAAAGATGCTAATCCAACGCTTTGGCATCCAGAAATAGATGACATGATTGGTCCCTTGAAGGCAACCATAGATTTCAAAGTCAAAGGCAACGCTGTTAAGCAAGAAGTTGAAAAGAATCAAGAACTTGTCCGATCGGCTTTGCGAGCTGTCGCTGCCCTTTCTAAATTGGCTGATGCCGGTAAGCTGCTTTCTTAAGTATACCTAGCTCTCTATAAGTCATCAAATAATGAGTTTTTTTTTTTTTTTGGCAGCACCATCAGCCAGATTCGTACAATTTGAAAACGAGATCAAGAATGGTCCTTATGCTGAAGAGTATAATAACATATGGAACGATAACGATGCTAAGGAAAATCGCGGTGACCTTATGGACCTGTCTTGAGCACATCATTCTTTGATGTACATGCAAGACAAGCTATCGATATTGTGATCAAAATCAGTCCTTTTTGCGTCTGCCGGCATAGTCTTCATACCATTGAACCAGTAAATCATTAAAAAAGCATGTTCCGGTATGTCAAAATTAAGCTTTAATACTGAAGTTGACTTTGACGATGAGTGGTTGGTGTTGTTGCTCTTTAGTGAACAACACAAATGTTCGTTATTCAAATTGCATTTTGTAATGGCACAAAATCTGGTGCGTTTGATCATTTCGATATCATTTCACGATATCGAATGTAGCTGTAGTAACTGGATCCAAATATGGCCAAGAAGATCCCAATAGCGTTCTAGTAGGCAATCAAATTATCATGAGTAACCCTGTGTGTTGAGGTTGTGTAAACATGCATTATATCCTTACGGTGGTGGTGATTGTGTTTTGAAAGATTAATGTGGCCAGCAAGGTCTGAAGACAGCTCTTCGCTGTTCCTGATATAGTATTCGTCAAGGGAGAAGTAAACTTGACTTGAAGGAAAACACTGATATTAATGCCAAAGCCAGTGATTCCCGTCAACACCATGAGAGTCCAAAACTTGGTACTATTGTATGCTGCCAAATTCTGCCAAATCGCACCCACTTCGTTTGAACACAACAAGATGGACCCCAACAATAAAATGGCCATCGTGGTATTATAATGCAATAACTTGTACTCGTTATGTACGACAATGGGTAGACTTTTCTTCACGTAGATGCCGTATAAAGCAACAAAAGCGGATGATCCGACACCGTAGATGATACCACTCCAGGAAAAGTTGATCTCGCCTAGCGAACCAATGGCAAAGCCCAAAAAGACTATCAGGCAAGCCAGCAGAGCTGAGTGGGATGTTTTTTGTCCCAAGATGACATATGTAAAAAGTATAGTGAAATTGATGGATAGGGACCGAGCCACTTGGTAAAAAGTAACCTCCACGTATTTCAGACACAGATTGTTGAATACCAACATAAGCACATAAATCACTGTGAGTGGGGCAATTTTGATAGCTATAGCTGGGTCAAATTCGTAAGGTGGTATAAGGCTGATGGATGGGTTCCTGTAAGGACAACGTTTGTTACTACTACAAGGATGTTTTCAGTGTATTGTAGCTTATTTATTTTTTGGGGAACTTACCATTTTCCAAGTTCGGAAAATACAATCAAAAGGACCAAGGCTACCAACAGTTGAAACCAAGTGACGAACAAAGGGTAAGGAAAATTATACTTTGCTGAACTAAGAATAATCTTGTTCAAGAATACGACTGATAACGAGATGACAAAATAAAATAGAACCACCAACGCAATCAGACTAGGTGAGCTCTTTTTCTTAGCCGATGGTTTATCACTGTGGCGACGAGAAGCCGGTTTATCCAAGGCCGACTGTCTGCGTTGAACAGACATACCAAAGTGAAAGAGAGGTTAAATAAAAGAGGGACCATTGAGAGCAAAAAAATAAGCGGTTGTCGAACGTAGCGCAACTCCATCCATCGATTGTACTCAATTGTAACACTTGTCGATTTTACAGGAAAGAAATCAAATTTCTTACATATCATGTGACCACTTGAGCCTTGGAAAAAGATGGCCGAGCTTTCCACAGTAGCAGACTTATCCAAGTTCGAATCGTACCCAGTCAAAAATCATGGATCGATATCCCCCTTATTCTGGAAGAGACAGCTATGACGACCGATACAAAGGTTACCATAGTCGACCTAGAGACGATTTACATCGATCACACGATGGCTACCGAGAGCCAGACTACAGAGATCGAGATGGCGGCCGACATTATCCACCGTACATGCGATCACCGCCACGACGACCAAGTGAGTCTGGCCGACCCTTCCGTGATCACTCTCCACCCCCACCACCCCATATGCGTAGCAGATACAGATCTCGGTCTCCTCCACCGCATCCTTCTTATCGATCACCGCCGCCGTACCGAGAGCGATCTCACTATCCTCCACCACCCTACCACTCACCCTATCGTTCCAGCAGCGGCTCACCATATACTCGAAGACCACCACCTAGCAGTTCGATTCCACCCATGTCCTCACATCGGCAGTATGTAGCTCCCAGTGGACCTCCTATGGTGTCTTCTCCTATCAATGAATTACCGCCTTCTCTACGAGGACCATCGGGCCCACCTCCACCTCCACCACCGCTTTCTCATCACCACCACAGTCGCCCTAATTCGCCTGGACCTTATCCCGCACCACCACCAATTGCTTCTCCTCATCCCCGGACAAGAATCTTAATTGCTCCACTACAAGAAAAAGAGGTTAGTGATTAATGTCTTTGTGGATAATATCAATTATCTTGATGATCTCACATATTCTACTTTGCGACTATTTGTTATAGATTCGAAGGCAGGAAGAAGAAGGCCGCAAACTTCAAGTTGAAGAATTATCGATCATTTCAACCATGCGAAAAAAGAATCAAGACCTTATGCTTGCAGCCTGGGAGGTTGACAAGGCTGAGCATCAACTGGAACTCGTACAGCACCAGTGGCAAGAAGGCAATCTTGATAGTGTGTTGGATAACGCACGGTTCCTCGCCATTCATTAAATTTGTCTCAAAGTCTTCCTCAATGTACATATTACTATTCTCTCTCTCTCAATTAGAATCACTTTGTTATTTATATTTTGTTTCCCATGGGCATTAAATATAGCGCTTTTGAAACGAAGAGAGAAAATATTGAAAAGTACAGATGTTACGGGGAACAAAAACACAATGGAGCAGGAAGGGTATGAATTATTGCTTCTTTCCTTGAGCCTCCTTTTCAGCCTGAATGCGTCTGCGCTTGATCTTGGTGTTCATGTAGGTACCAAAGACTGCACAAAATGAATGTTTGTTAGTCGGTATATTGCGTTGATATTAAAAAAAAAAAATTAAAATGGTGATGACTTACCGAAGGCAACCAAGTTGAAGAAGGGAACCCAGGTGTGAGGGGGCAAGAAGTTTTGAGCAAAGGTCATGGTGATGGGAGAGATGACCCAAGACACCTTTTGCATCTGGAACCAGCCATTCTTGACGGAAGCGATGACCTGGGAAGGAGATCTTGCTCCAGCAATAATGGTCATGGCGGAAATGTAGACTGCATGACGAGTTTACACAAAAGTAAGCATCAGGCGATAGTCATACCACAGTTCCCCTCGGTGACGATCCACTTACCACAGTTGAAAATGGGAGAAATGATCAAGTTGGAAGCCAACAATTGCAATAACTTTGCTTTGGGACCAGTCTTGCCAGCAAAGACTTTGTTCAAAATGTCGTAAAGTACATGATTCAAAGGTCCAGACACCAACAAACCTAGAAATGGGTGGCGATCAGTCAATGAATGGAGTTCGATGCATTGCACAATCAGAGCGAGATCTCACCGTAGAGAGTCATTTGTACAACTCGCTTGTCAACTGGTCCAGCGCTGGTAGGCTTTGTGCCGGAAAGCTTCTGGGCTGTGAACTCCTGAACACCAGACAAGACGGCGCTGGTAAGAGCCTTGGTTCTCAATGGATGAGCAGCCAATTCAGTCAAGTACATGGTGAGTAGGGAGGGGTTTGCAGGTGCGGCAGCCATTATTGAGTGCGGGGAAAGTGAACAAAGAAGAAGTTCTCAGTAACGGATATCGGTTTGTCATTGAAATTCCACTCCCCCAATCTTTTTTGGCTCTCACGAAACTCTAATTGAATCCTACTGGGCGGGGTGGCCACTCACATTTAGCCGCGCTAACATCTTTAAGAGCGTATTGTTAGTGATAACCACCGTGTTCCCTAGTATCCTATTGTCATAAGTTGCTACATTCAATAAATTTCAAAACGCACTGTTGTCGAAGAATATTTAGCCGATGAATACACCATCATCCGTAAAAATGGAAGTGGTCCCACGGACCGAAAAGATACAATTTCCTGAATCGGACGCTGGGGGCATAAACGAATGTGATACAACGTAAATGCAGAAAAGATTCACAATCTTCTTCAAAGTATAGCCAGTGAAAATTTGAGCTTGGCCACATGCAGAGAAAAAGAGATAGACGGCCAGATTTTGGTGTCTGTTACCGAGAACTTGAATGTGTATAGGAAGAAGGTCAGTTCGTATGCTAAAGCGTCGAGAGTATCAGACAAGGCACTGGAGAGGCTCTGCTTGCTTGACTACTATATGGTTGAAACAAGTTACCTCTTTAATATACAAACGAGGTGTAAACCGTTCACTTTACACACAAGATAAATTAGACTTAATCGAATGACATGAGTACAATATGTCATGTAGCGTTCTGTACTCTCGCACCATCATACAAGTAGGGTCGCATCATATAGACTATGGATTTACCCACATTAATGCCTCCACACATAAAGAACAAAGTATGTAAAAAAGGTTGCATTCTGTTGTATTTTTTAATATGGAGAAAAACAAAAAGAAATAACTACAATTGAGAGCAAGGAAATGGATCTAGACAGTGGCAAAATGTGAAAATGGTTTGGATTGAATGAGTGTTTAGTCAGACTTGGACTTCTTCTTCTTCTTGTCCTTCTTGGATGATGATTCCTCATCAGCATCCTTCTTATCCTTCTTGCTCTTCTTCTTTTCCTTCTTCTCTTCATCATCCTCAGTCTTGCGCTTCTTCTCCTTCTTCTCCTTCTTAGCTTCAACGACGGTTTCTTCTTCTTCCTCTTCGTCATCATCAGCCTTACGCTTCTTGTCCTTCTTTTCCTTCTTCTCCTTCTTCTCGGGGGATGCCTCAGTCATGACAGTATCTGACTTGCTGCTGTATGCTGTGCTCTTGTTGAACTGGAAGGCTTCTTGCTTCTTGCCTCCGCTCTTGTCCTTGTTGATCTGAGCGCCTGCTCGTCCTTCAAGTTGGCGAAGTCTGCTCTCAACCTTGGTTCGGCCAGCAAGACCGATATCTGGAGTATCAGTGTCGCCCAAAGCGTCAACACGGACAGAAATGGAAGCCTTGGTAGCAACCATACGAGCGATCTTTCCCTTAAGCTTAGGACCAGCTTGACCGATCAATGATGCGTGATAGATCAAACCATACTTGGGTGTGTCGTGCTTGGTCTTGAGAGCGCGGAAGAGAGCCTTTTCAGCACCAAGAATTTGAATAGTGGAAGCAGGCTGCTTGGCAAGGTTCATGAGGGAACCGGCGTGGGCAATCAAACGAGCACCAACAAGTTCACCAACAAGCATGGTCAAGTTGGGTGCGATAGCTAGATAGTCAAGAGTTAGGAACAATGAATTTTTTTTAACTTGGCCAAAATGTACATTTATAAAAAGACTTACCATTCATACGGTTCTTGAGGTATTCATAGAGTTGTGTTCGGTATTCAGTGATGGAGATAACTTGGTCACACAACTCGTGGATGTTTTCAATATCCTCTTGCGAAATCTCAGTACCCATAGAAATTTCAGCGGCATCCTTGAGCTCCTTCTCAAGTTCTTCGGGAAGAACAGCAGACAAATCCATGTCTTGGGCATTGGTTCTGAATCCCATAAGCTTTACAACCTTGGCATAGGCCAAGTTGTCGACAATGATTCTGCCCATTTCGGGGAAATGCCAACCATACCATTCCTTGACACGCATAGCGTAGATGTTCAATTCCTTGTCAAGATCATCAAGAAGGGCAATAGCTTGAACAATCATAGTGTCAACCTTATCAGGGCTGAACTTGAGCTTATAGCGAGAGAGAGAGTGAGAAAGACCAAGAGACATGGCATTAATGTCAGAGTGGGAAAGACCAGTGATCAAAGACTCGAGCTGTTCGCGAATACCACGGTACAAGTCCATGACGGTGGAGTCAGAAACAACGTTGATACCAAGTTTCTTGTTGACAGCGCTACCTATAAACCAGATTGGAACATCAGAATGCCGTTTTCAAGACTGATATACGCAGAGCATCGTTCATGAACTTACCGAGCTTGGGATCGCAGATAATGAGGCTCTCCTTCTTCATTTCTTTGTCGGAGATCTCAGTTTCCAAAAACTTTTTCAAGTTCTTAGGAAGCTTTCCTTCAACGATACCAGTGACGGCAGACAAGGCATCGGTGGTGTTTTCAAACTTTTGGAAAGCCTTGAGCTTGACACTGTAATAAGCATAGTGGGGGAAAGTTTAAATCAGGATAAATTCATTCGCATTGCTAAAAAAAGTTATTCAGATCGGGTCTGTCAACATACGTCTTGTTGGCTTGCTCAGCAGTCTGGAAGTCCTTCCAGATATTTTCAGGCTTTTCCATCTTGCCATCGTCAACAAGCTTGAAGAGCGCGAAGCCCGCGGCAGTTTCGTACAGAACGAGCATTGAGATTTGAAGAAGTGAAAGTCGAACGGAACCAAAAAAAAAAAATTTCTTAGGAACTGGTAAGCTCTGTAGGACGATGACATCTAAGCCACCGTTTCTTCGCGGGAAAGCAAGTCACTTTTTTTTTTTCCTTTTTTTTTTTTTTGGCACCAACTGCACAAAACCAGTTTGACGACACGAGACTGCCCGTGTGCTTAAAGTCGCGTTCAACGTCGTGAATCGAGATTATATTATTCTATATTTTTTATATAATCAATATTTGAAAATTACAAAAAGATCTTCTAGGGATGCTAAGCGACTTCACAATTTTCTGTACAGGCGAAGGAAGTAACGCATATTCTGTATGTCTAATGGGTATTGAAGGTGTCCTGGATACCTACATTGGAAAGCTGAGGTTTAATAATTATACGTCAAAACTTGTTCTGAAATATGACCTAACATACCGGTACCATTTCGAGTCTTCACTTATGACTTTCTCGAGAGACTTGATAGCATCCAAGAGTGTATAAATCATATAAGTTTGGTCACCGATTTTGAGGTGTGAGAATGAGCCAGCTGAATCTACCACCAAAAGATAGGCGCCTTTCTTCATATTGCTAACCAAAGACTGAATCAGGGCCATCGATTTTGCCTTGTTCACAAACAGCTCGTTCATAACAAACATAAAAGTAATCAAATCTGCCTCCTGGATCAATTGATCTCTGCGCGGAGAGGGTTCCAGCACATCACCTTGCTCATATGAGCAATGCAGTTGTTTCGAGTCTAATTTCCACTGACGACGAACGGATTCTTCCAAACGATCAAGCACTTCACTCCAATCTCCTATATCTTGCATGTATAGCTGTACATGCTGCCTGGCAGGTGGCACGTGTAACATAGCTGCCGACATGCCAATCAGTTCGGATCCACTTCCAGAACCGGGTAGATAAATCCTAGAGCTTTTAGCAAGCAAGCGCAATAGTTGTGTATGTGATCGGAATATCTCATAATAGCAAAGCGCTCGTCCAGGTATATAGGCAGCTGTGTAGACAGGCAAGTTGCTCGGGGTTGTGAATATACTCACATAATCTCGTATGTAAAACGCTTGCTTGATGGATTGTAAAGCCATATTGAAATCATTTCGAGCGAATGTCTCCCTACAACCTTCTTCTATGACAAATAGTACGTCTAAATGGGTCCAAGACGAGGTAGATTAGTAATCTGGTTACCGATCATGGCGAAATGAGGCAAAGTATACTTGCTCTGCTCTGGGTCCTTGGTTAAGCGTCTCAGCCTTTCTAGAATGACAGTTTTATCCGTCGATCCAGTTTTTGGCTTGATCTTCTTTTTGTCTACTTCATCACTGCGTTCGTCTGATTTTGAATCCTCCTTTGTGGAGAGCTTGCTAAACTCTTGAGATAATGTGTCCTTTTGCATGTCGCTTCTGAAATTCACTGTCGAAGCAGCTCAGCGTCAATTTGTTGGACTGTCAGCGGTATCTGAAAATGTGCGTCAGTCAACTTGACGCCTCAACGGTGCTGCAAGGTATTGACCTTTAATCGTTACATTCCATCTCCAAAAGTGCAACCATGCCCGAACTTACAGAAGTAATTTGTTAATGAAATTGATCTCTCTTTTGAAAAAGTTGTTTATGCTCTATTGGCTTGCTAGGTGGAACACGTCCGCAGAATAGTCCACAAGACACTTTTGGGGATAAAAATAGCAAGTGTTAGCGCAGTAAGTAACTGGCGTTTACATCCATAGAGCGAAGACAAGACGCCGGAAAAGTAATAATCATCATCTCTAACTCTAGAAAGAAGACTCTATTGTTTTTCCAGGAGTTGAGGGCGGCGAAATCGAAAGCAAACTCACTGGACGTAGCATTGTTGACACCAAACGATGGGGAAAGTATTACGTGTTGAGTAAGTATACTGCTTGGAATGTCATTTCAGCTTTCCTCATAGAAGGGGTTTGTAACTTTAGTGCCTTCATAGTAATGGACAAAGGTCCCAACATAGTTGGTCACCTGGGAATGACTGGCTGGGTATATGTAAGCAAGTTGGCATACTGCGGCTGTTCCTGATAAATTACTAAACATCCATCCAGATTGAGATAACCCACAAGAAGCCTATTGATGGCAAAGAAAAAGAAATGGCATGCGAATGCCGTATGTGTCTTAGAAAGGATCCAAAGCACGTTTGGCCACCAAGATTTTGGAAGTTGCAACTTACGTTTGAAACGCCCGATAGTCATATCACACTGGCGTACGACGATGCTAGGCGTCTTGGTCGTATTCGACTTGTTGACGGCGACCCAATGAAGGAACTTCCTATATCGAAATTAGGATTTGACCCTTTACACAACCTTCCAGAATTGCCAGAGTTCACACAAATGGTTCAGCGGCGGGCTGTTCCTATCAAGGCGCTCTTACTTGATCAAAGTTTCTCGGCTGGTGTGGGAAACTGGGTTGCTGATGAAGTTCTTTGGCACGCAAAAATACATCCTGGACACTATACCAACGTTTTGACGGATGAAGAATGCGAGGCAATTCATGAAAAACTAAGCTATGTTTGTCGCGTTGCAGCTGAAGTTGATGCTGACTCCAGCAAGTTTCCCGACAACTGGTTGTTCCTTCACAGATGGGGTAAAGGCAAGGGTAAGAGCCAGCTCCCAGACGGCAACACTATATCCTTTGAGATGGTAAATTTTTGAAGACATTTTGATTATTACTATATAGTTCCTGACATTTCTCGATAGTTTGGCGGAAGGACCAGTGCTTTTATTGCGGCGATCCAAAAACTACCTAAAAAATCGGCTTCAGAAAAGGTGAAGGCTGTGAAAAAGAAGACAGTCGCTGTAAAGAAGGTAGTCAAGGACGATGATGATACTGAAAACCAGAAGGTGAAGTTCGTGAAAAAGAAGACGGTCGCTGTAAAGAAGGTGGTCAAAGACGAGGATGATACTGAAGACCAGAAAAATACGAATGTTCGAAGAAGCGGTCGAAAGAAAGTCAAGGTTGAAGAACAAGTTGTAGAAGAGAAGAATGTGGAAGTATCCAAAGCAGCTAAGAAACGAAAGTCTGTCGCCACTACATTGAAAATAGAAGATGATCTACCAAAGAAGCGAACTAGTCGAAGATCAGGCCGTTAAATGCTATTAGTTTCTTAAAATGTGCAAATACTTTATTTATATGGAGGATACCTTTATGCGACGTTATATACAATAAACATGATAAAATGCTTAATTACGTTTAGATGACTTAAGAAAAGTCAACACAACGTGAATATTTAACACATACATCTAAGCTCTGCTTTTAAACTTTATCAGAGGCAACTGTATTGGCTTCAAGATCAGCTGTGGGATTCTTGGATTTGAGCTTTCTCTGCTTGTAGATTTCAATGAAGTTCATTGATGGACCAATTGATGGCATGAAAATCCATGTTGCAAGCATCGCGATAGATAACGCTAGAGTAAATGGCATCATGCCAATAACACCAGCCTTACTGGCAATCTGGCCGTTTACAAATGGAAACAACGCAGCACCACCTTGCCCAAGACTAAAATAATTTCTTTGTATGAGACCAATGATAGATAACAATGAAAACAATTAACGAAGAAGACTTACCCGACCAAAAAGCCGATAGTTGTTGTATGAAGGTATCTGGGTAGAATTTGGGACACCATAGAGACAGTAGTAGGAAAAATAGGACCAAGAGCCATTCCTAGGATGACTAAACCAGCAAGATCAACTGGTATTGGGGTTGCTTGCCAAATAAGAATAATCTATTTCGTAAAGTTTAGATAAATGTAACTTTTTTAGTGGAACAATCGGAAGGAGACTTACCATAGCGCAAGTGACGATCAAATACAATGTGACCATGCGTTTTTCACCAAACCTAGCAGTGATGGCTCCCAAAAAGATGCGGCCAAAGGTAAGGCCAGCCCAATAACCGGATGTGACTTGAGCAAGTTGTACGGGATTTCCGCCTCTAACTTCAGTCAAGAAGGAGAAACTCCATGAGCCGAAAGTAACTTCAGTGCCAACGTAGAACAACAAGAAGACAGAACAGACAGGAGTGACCCGCTGCTTGATGACTTGTTTAAAGATACTGTCTCTCTTAACCGTGAGCTCTCCATCTTCAGCTGTGCTCTCGGGTGCGGGCTCAGTATGAATTTCAATTTCTGTGTTGCGGAAATTGATATACATTCCCAAGAGACTAAGACCAGAAAGACCAGCTAAAATCATATAAGAAACTCTCCATGAAAGGTTGTGTTCCAACAATGAAGAAGCCATAAGAGGGCCAATCATTGCGCCAGTACCATAACAAGCTGAAAGAAATCAATATACACGATACCATTCATGTAATAACAACATTTTTTTTTTTAGATATCTCACCATGAAGCAAATTCAAAACCGTAGTGGTATATGGAGCAGTAATGATATAAACGTTGCAGCCGGCATTCAATAATGATAGGCCTCCACCCACTATAATCATCATAACACATATTACTGGGAACGGCAATCCAAAGAGGATAACAACATATCCAATCACAAGCATGGTGCATCCGAGATAAAGAGACCCCTTTTGTGTAATTTTGGAGACAACATAACCATTGGAAAAAGCCATTACGAAATATCCTCCTGCTTGGAGTAGAAATAGGATGGACACCAGACTGTCGCTAACCGAATAATACTCCTTCAGGCGAGGTAAGATAACACCGAAATTGCCGTCCTGCAGTCCCATCAGAGAGACGGTGTAAAAACATTGAAGAATCTGAAAAATCGTCTTTCGAAGCCGCTGTCTATCTGTTTCAGTTTCTCCTGTCGCTTCCGTTGGTGAGCTATTACATATCGTAGAAGCCGATTGATCGTCAGATATCGGTTCTTGTGGTTTCTCTTTGCTGCAATGCACAACGATTGTTTGTGCATCGGATGTATCTGATTGTGAGCGCACGAATACCGGTGCTTCGCTGTGTTCCATGTTGTATGATGGGTGAAAAGAGTTATTTTATTGAAGGACCATCGTGGATCAGCGTCCTTTTTATATTGGAGAGCTGCGGCTGATGAATCTTTTTTTTTTTTTTGTTCACCTATTCTGGCGGTGTTCATGGGACAACATGGCGATTATGAAATAAAGTTTGCGTGTTCGCCAGTCTGCAAAAATTTTCAAATAATATAAACGAGCAACAATCACTGCGAAACACGAATTTGCCAGCAGCTATTGCCTCCAACGGTGAATTCTCCATCAATTTGATTTGCATGGTGCTTCTGTTACTGAATGCTCTCTCACAGTCTCTTGTGGTAAACACTAAACTCTGTCAATGGAGAACAGATCCAGAACCTGGTTGAGTGATCCATAGATTAGAGTTTTCTTTTTTTATATGGGGTTCTACTCTACTTTCGCCATGGTAGGATCATATTTGCAGGTCCGACGTAACCGATACTGTCCAATCTGACTTCCTCAGTAGAAAATGTCAAACATCCGAACCATACAAAATGCCTTTCTGAGATTACCCGATTCCCAAATGGATTGAACCTTGTTTATTCTTATTTTTTTTTTCTGATAATAGAGATGAATGGTTTGCTGACACACAATCCGAGGGTACCGCGTTACACGTTGAATACGGGAGGTCCAATTATAATAGCATTTAAAAATGTTCCCGCCTCCAATTGCCTCTGTTCGGTAGTGCTTGCTGGTAGTTTCAAGAGACAGTTGGCCCCAACCATACTTAAAATCCTTGAGCTTTGTTGAACGCCGGTTGAAGTCACAGTGATGTGACTCTGGTTTGGTTGCACTTTTCCAATGGCACGGTGGTATTCTGGTCTTGAGTCCAATTTGATAGAATGTGACAACTTTTGAAGATGGTGTGAGAATGGGGTGTATCAGTGTACGTCAACGTATGCTCATTATTTACCTTGACTTGCATCACTGGAAGCTGAAAATTCGGCATACCCGCCATCTTACGTAGAGCAGGCATGACAAATAGGTAAAAAGTTACATTGGCAGACACAGGGTTACCGGGCAGCGCGAAAACCAATTTGGAATTAACCGTGGCAAATGTAGTAGGCTTCCTAGTCTCAAATGCGTTGTGTGAATTTCTATCGTGGGTAGTGGTAATGAGATCAGTCAGCAACTTACCCAGGCTTCATGCGCACGCGACCGAAGTGTATAGTGGCTCCCATTTTTTGCTCCAAAATCGGCTTAAGAAGATCCATTTCGCCCATGGAAACGCCGCCTGTGGTGATCAGTACATCAACTTCATCTAAGCTCAACTTTAATTTCTGTTCTAGATCATCAATGTGATCGCCCACTATGCCGAGGTCAATGGCTTCGAACCCTGCGGCGCTAATCGCCGCCAGTAAAGTTGGTCGATTGCTGTCACGTATTTGGCCCGGTCTTAGATTCACAGTGTTTGTGTGGTCGACGACCTCGTTACCTGTTGACAAAACACCGACTCTTGGCTTGCGATACACCGAAATGGAGCGTATTCCTACAGAAGATAGAACACCAATTTCGCCTCCCACTGAAGTGATAATGTCGCCTTCTTGGGCTATTGTATGCCCAATAGGTGTATCGCACCCGATTTCTCGAACATTTTCGCCTACTTGTACTTGGGCCAAAATTTTCACCACCTTTTCTTGTTTTCCGTCATCTGATGTTTCCTGTAACTCCGTATCCTCTACCATGACAATAGCATCGGCACCGTCAGGTATCATTCCTCCAGTTGTAATTCTTGATATCTGTCCACTTTGGAGTGTGAATACATCGCTGCTACCAGCAACAGAGGATGTCACCACAGGATAGGAGCCAGGTCCGTCTTGCGCTAGAGATCAGTTAGTACAATTTAGCATGCTTGCGGACAGCGAAACTCTTCACCATTGGCCTCTAGTACCTTTGACCGCATATCCGTCGACAATAGATGCTCTATAGCCAGGCACAGGTTCACGAGCAGTCACTTTTTCCGCGATCACATATCCTATCAATTTATCGTCCACTTCCTTTATCTCCGTTTCTAGTGGCTGCGTATATTTTTGGATCAACGCGTTTCCTTCTTCCACCGTTATCATTGGGTATGGGGATTGACGATGTCTTCGTGTCACTGTAAAAAATATTAGAAGACAATTTTTCAAAATAAGTGACAATTGAAAAATACGTACCTGGAGCATTTAGTGGATTGGAAAGGTTTCCAGTAGTGTTATCTCTCGCCACTTCGTCGCTCTTATGAGTACATGTGTGTGGTTTAGGATGATGATGGTGGTGATGGTGGTGGTGCGACTTGCTATCGTCTTCCGGAGATTGCAGCATCTTATTGTGAAGGCCGGAACCGGATCCTCCTCTCGTCAATTCCACAGCATGAGGAAGAATATCAAGCACACATTCAATGTTCTCTTTGCATGCCTTTGGACTGCCGGGCAACGTCAAAATGATTGATTTTCCTCTAACTCCACACACAGGGCGGCTCAGTGCTGCAAAAGGGGTGTATTTCAGCGACGTTGACATCAGAAGATGAGTGATTCCAGGCGCATCTTTATCTAACAACGATTTCACCACCTTCACGCAAACTGTCAGTCAGATCATTAAGGTAACAGCGTTCTGAAAGATCTGCATACCTCAGGTGTATTGTCCCGAACACCAAAACCAGTTCCACCCGTAGTAACAATTACATCTAACTCTTCTATATCTGTCCACTTCAGAAGAGCTTTGGATATTTCTTTCGGATCGTCTGAAGTTATTGCCGTGTCAACGACATTCCAGCCCACCGCAGTAAGGGTATCGCGTAAAAGAGGGCCACTTCGATCAGCTTTCGGCTTATTTGACGATGTGTCGCTTACAGTAAGAATTCCAACCCTTATCAAAGAAGCTTGAAAGCCAATACTTTAATGTCGTTGCATGACGTTCAACTAATGCAATGGTTCACTTACTCATATAAGTAATGTGTCGAAATTTCAGAGCAAAGGATATAACTTAGGTTAATTGTGGACTTTCAAAATAGCTTGAACGCCTACCAGTGCGCCTTGTCGCGTTCAGATAAATTAAGCAAAAAGGACTCGCTGGGTTTATCAAAAGTATTGTTCCAAAACGATGCGGTTTATTCTATGCTATAAAGCATTATATGTAATTAAATAAGTATGCACTATGACCCTAGTATTGGGCATTGCTATTTACGCCTTAGCCTCGACCAGGAAAGCGTTGACAGTTTGGCAGAAATTGTTGGTATTGTCGGCTTGCTTAGCCAAGGATTTTCCACCGCTAGTTACCATATTGGTTGCTGCCTTGGTGTTCAAGTTGTAGAGATAGACATTCTTATTGGATTCCAAGTCAACCATAGCATCTTGGCAGTCCTCGGTATCAAGGCAAGTTTGACTGTAGTTGCTGTAAAAGTTGTACAAACCAGTTCCATACACATACACATCGGACGATTTGATTATTCGGAGACCCCAGGCCAAGGCACAATTGTCTGAACCAGCAGCACAGTTGGAGAATGTAGGATCATTGTATGACTTAGATGGAGTGTAAGGTTGAGGTGCCTTAGGTCCAGGTTGATAGTAAGGAGTCTCAGTTTGGATCATGGCCATCAACACATTCTTTGCATTAGCGATTTGGTATTGGTATAGCACCTGTAGTAAGGAAGTTAGCTCACAGTTCACATCAATTTCATAGATATAGCTTATTCAATAGATCTTACGTTGTGTTCTGAAGCGGTACCATACATCCAAACGGGGCCTTTAGTAGACTCTACAGAGATACCACGTCCAGTGTAGATACTCACTTGAGGGCCACCATCAAGGTCATGATCAGCGGTCCAGGCCCAAACATTCTCAAGATAAGCGGAGGATGACTTTGTCAATTGAAGTAACATGTAGGCAGCCTTGCAAGCGTCCTTTTCACTTTCTCCGGCTGGGCATTGTGCAGCTTGAAGCTCTGTTCCAGCAGTACCTCCAATGCGGAAATGTGTATCCCACATTCCAGTTGAACCAGGTTGACCGGCAGGATCGCGGATATTCCATTGAACAAGAATAGCACCAGGTTGAGCACCTTTGGTGGCAAAGATAATGTCGGAGATTTCAGCAACTCCTTTATCACCAGTATTTCCAACCTTGAGCATAGGTGTGGGCTTCATTTCTGAGGAGAAAGCAGCTCCATTGGCCATCAAGACCGACCAGGCTTCACCAACAATTCTTGTTCCTGCGGGAACATTAACAGTCTTGCTGATAATGTACACACCGGCAGGGAAATAGACGATCTTGCAGCCAGCGGATTCTGTTAAAACTTTTTGAATAACGGCAGTATCATCGGTTTTACCATCACCCCGGGCACCAGAAGCTGCAACAATCGAAAATTTGGTTAGTTGAGATACATTGGCTAAGTCATGAATCCAAGGTTTCACATTTCTTACCCTTAACAGAAACGAAGTCGCTAGCAGCATATTGTTCATATTGTGGCCTAGGGCGTTCAAAGAATCTTCCATCTGAAGCCAAGAGACTAGCACTTTTCTTGGGGAGAACTGGGAGGGTCTTTTGGTTGAAGGTTCCGGAGCCGCTAGTGTTTGTGTAGAGAGAGCCTTGACCCCATGAAGTAATGGTCATGGTGCCTGAAGTTCCGGCCAAGCTGGTCATAGTACCATTTCCAACAGCAGTGTGTACATTATCCAAAACAACATTATCCAAAATCAAAGATCCAGATGCCTTGGTCTGAGAAGTGGAAGAGGTATCAGAAAGAACACCTGTTGGGGTATTGCTGATTTTAGCATCCACGACAGTGATACTGCCAACACCTTGAGAAGTGGGACCACCTGCAGTCATGTCAATACCGACATTGCAGTTGTTGATGTTCAAAGTCTTAAAGGTCCAAGCCCAGTTCCAGTTCATATAAATGGCGGTTTGAGCATTGCTAATGGTAAGATTTCTCGACGTGAACTGCTGGTTACCAACCCAAAGACCGAACTTTCCACCATCAAACACAAGGTCAGACATGAAACCACCTGAACCATTCTCCATCCAGACACCTTGATGATTGGTGTTTGTGGCTTTGGACATCTTGAAGACCAAGTTGGTCAAAGAAGTAGCTTGAGCCACCTGCCAGTGAATACCGGTAGATGATGAGGTTGCAGGAGTCTGGGTAAGATCGAAGACAAAGTTTCTGACTTGTCGGAAAAAGTTGTTCTGGTTCTGATACCATTGTACGCCTCCAGCCCCGTAAGGATCTGAGTCAATGAGTCCAATGCCTTGGAAGGAGGGAGCCATCAAGAGCGTGGGGGGATTCAATGCATTTCCCACCAACTGTGTGTAGTAGTACATCACGATGGGTGTTGAAACAAGATACTTTCCCGAAGGAAAGTAGACGAGAGCAGGAGCAGTGGTAGAGGTACCACAGCTGGACCCACACCGGCTGCCGGTTGAAATGGCTTTGTTGATACAAGCAGTGTCATCCGTTACGCCATCACCTTTGCAACCAAAGTCCATAACATTGCGATAGACGGTATATGAGGAATCGGTATTGAAGGGGGACGTTCCATTATGAGCAATGCTGCCAATCCACATATCCCCAGAGTGGACGGTGGGAGTAAGCTTTGTACATTTTCCTGGACTCTTTTTGGATGCCGCGTCGGGTGCTGGTGCAGCTGCAATACAGGGAGCCAACAGAATTGGGACGAGAGCACTCAACCAATATGTTCCAACCATAATGAAAAGAAACTTTTACTTTGTTTCAGGTACGGCCGATCAGCCATCTTTTTATAACTCGACATTCGCTGTGGCTATTAAGCGGTAAATAAAAATTTGAGGATCCACTGTGTCTGGGAATTGGTGCCGCTGGTCCCACTTCATTTTCCAGCTGCTTATGTTGCACCTTGCACAAAAGCGATTCCCCCACTGACTAAACTGCCGGTCACTGAAACTTGTTGCAACAGTTGCATACAGCCATATTGTTCAATCCGCTTCTTGGATATATATGCCAGCAGCTAATTTCGTTTGTAATATAGGTAGTGTTCGCCCTAAATGCAAGGATGTCATCATATATTAAATCCCTTCTTAATCTAGAGCTAAAATAGACCAATTATGACTCTGTATAAACTCGTAGAAAAAAATAATGCCAAATGAGCAGAGATTCAAGGTAATTAAACTGAGGTATTCCAAAAATGGAAGTCCGCCTTAATTTCTTCGTCGGATTACCAGCCGACAATACTTCCCTACCCGTGGATATGTACCGTCCCATCATGTTTTCCCAATTTCCTTCAATACCGTTGCACACAGTGTCTTCTTAGAATACCCCTTTTAAAGAAATACCACTCAGAAGCTTCTAAGACGCGCTTTGAATATAGGTTTGAGATACCACAATGATCTCCTTTGCAAGACATTTGCATATCAAGACCAAGGAAGCTCTATACTTGGGTAATTTTCTTGCTTGAAACGATATTCACGCAATTGAGTTTCTTCGTAGCTCGTTGGCTTGGTGGCGTGTCTAAATTTGTAGTATGCACAACGAGCTTCTGCTGTTACAAGTCCAAATGATACTCTTACATCCACTGCGGCCGGTCATTAGCCCGTAGGAAAAACGGCTAGTATTACTCCACTGCATCCGTTATTCCGGATTGCAAGCCTCCATCGCCAAGGATGTCTTTTAAAGTTCTCAAATATGCGTGCTTCACAGTCTTTTAATTTAGACTTTGCCCTCATAAGGTCGCCTTGTTACTCTGTTGGAACAAGACGCGCCGGACAACCAAAAAGCAGTCCTCATTGATGCTCTTCAAAAGATCCGCTGACAAAACTGTAACTGGTCCGTGTCCGTTCGAGTCTGCTACTAAAAGCATTTGCTATCGCTTTTGGAATCTCTAACAAATTTTGACTTCGATGCGACTTCCATTCACCAACCCATTCATATTGATTGCCGTCTAGGCATTATTAGTCATCCCGATTGACCTGAAACACTGCATAGCTACTTCATTCGGCACTCAAACGGTGTGCCTGTTTTACTTCACCGACAGTGGCCTACTTTTTCTTTTTATATTTCCTGGTCTCCGCATATGACTTCTACTTTGAAGGTTGCGGCTTTTACCATCGCATCGCTCAATTGGTGATTTTGGCGGTATGAAGACGGTTAACAGTGGTAAGAGAGATACATCAAGTGGCTAGCCATTTGCTTTATTCAATTATCATTCGTACTGACTAGGGTCTTCTCATAGTAGTAAGCTACTAAAGAAAACGTCACCAATGATTCTGAAACATGCCTATTTTAAGGGCTCTCTACATTCAACACAATGGGCCAGTAAGCTTTAATCTCAGTCTGGCTAGAACCGCATTATTTAAAATGGCGAATGGCCGTTGCTGAACGAGACTTGCCGAGACTATTCTTGAAAAAGATATTGAAGCTACGCTACAAGACCCGACATGACTGATGATGTTGCTGATGGTAACAGTTCCCTCAGTGCTGCTCGCGATATCGGCGGTAATCCGTCACCTGATGATGTGTAATACACAGTCGCTCGCTCATATGGGTTGACTAGCTCGTCATTCTCAAGCAAGTGACATTGCCGACGGAGCAGGGTCTCATAATCAAGAGAGTACTGGATAAGATTTTAACAACATATACCATGGTCAATCGGATTCTGCTTAAGTTACTGGTAACAATGCCTTCGTTGGTTATGCTAGGATACTTCTTCCAGTTGAAGAAATGAGAACTTAAACCTCTGGTGTTCATATCCCCTATATGACTGACGATACCCAAACAAATTTTTCCGCGAACTTTCACTGTAGGATATGTTGATGCGGTGGAGCTTTTTCCAGAATTGCTACTGGTACGTCGTATGCAATTGCTTTTGATCTTGCCTTTATTTCCAGTAGTGGGTCGATCATGGCTTTGCCAAACCCAAAAAGTAAATGACCGATCATGCAAACGGACAATATCCCTTACCATCTGCAAGAACCGTTACCTCCTCATAAAAAACATTCAGTCGGACCTCACAACATGACGAATTGTACGAACATGATACATTGTTTGATACTGGTTCAATTACCAGTGCCTCATTGGAGCGTTGAACAATGCTAACCCTACCAACGGCTATGCTGCTGAGTACAAACTGTTTAAGGCCGGCGTGAATACTTTGATGGGATCTGAATTACTTAGCTCTGCGTTATCCTCTATCAAGACAGCTACATTGAAAAGCTGTCGACTATTCCGGCACACATGGCTACAGCCAAGCTATCGGCTTCCTCTCTTCCGACTACTTAATTTCAGGCAGACTTCTTCTGTCAAAAGCACTGATTAAGACATCTTTTACAGTGGCTGCCAGCTCTATTCCTCATAGATGACGCCTCTCCACCTGTCCTTCTTTAGATAGCGCGATAATCCAATATGAAATAAAATGCTTTCTTTACGATGGGAGACACTGTAATGTATTCGAATGCATAGAAAGACAAAATTGTAAATGGAATAGTGCAAATCAAGAAAATCAGCGAAGTTAAAGTGCCCACAGGGCCGATGAATCAATGTAGAATGCCGACCGATCAACGATGGCTTCAGAAAGCCGAAATGAGAAAATTTCAATTTAACATGGGAAATTCTGAATAGCATGGGTGACTAAACTTGAATGGGTTGGGAAAATGTGCAAACGCGCCATTCCCTTGTCCAAGCAGTGCGTGGTGGATGTACAATGATCACCAGCTCAGTGGTAGATAACAATCAGTCCATTTCAAGCATACTTCGTCAGCTTCCAGGTAGACTGACGCTAGACGATTTAGCGCACACCATCCCGTATGACCTACCACGTTCGACATGTCGCGCACTCGCTAAACATTAAGCCGATCAAGTTTTGTTGCTGATCAATTAAACAATAGCTGAAGATAGCCTATTATTTGTTTACACGTTTTTTACCAAATGCACCACTCGCTATATTTTACACCATTTGACTGTTCTGCATCCGTTCGTAGACAGGTTTAATGAAATAAGTTGCTACGCTTCGCTTAGCCGGCCAACACCGGCATAGATTAATGAAGTCGCCGTTTAATTTATTGTAACGTGCGCGAGCGATAGTACCACAACATACAGCTTGTACAAGGTTACAAATAATTTCCATTGGTATCCCCGCATTTATCAGAATGTATGGGGAAGCGGTCATGCTTTTTTGCTCTGAAGATGAAACTTGTGTGCAGTAAAGTAAATTAACTTTGTGGGAGTAATCGTGGGGTTGGCTGTACCTGGTAGTAATATAAATTTTCATACAATGTTCCTTCCCGTTCCTGTGGGTCCTCGTACAAGAAGCTCCCATCAACTTCCTTTCTCTGGGAGGATGACTGAATTCACTATGTCAATAAGTCTAAATGAATGTCTTCATTAAACGAAATGGGGGGTAAACAAAATGAAAATAGACTTTGTTAGTTTCTCTACTTGTGAGCTCATGGACGCATTCATCCATATCTTTAGTAAAGAAGGGTTTCCGCTGGTACTTCGGCACTCAAGGAATTCTAAGGACAATACCTAAAATGATACATATTCCAGCTACATCCCGGTATGACATGACCGATGAAGACGTATTCCCCTTTTGTTATCCAAATCAGAAGGTACCAAGCAATGTGTATAAATATTGCCCAACTTCAGATGTTCTTTTGGTATATCAGCGCATTGGTCACTCATGGTTCTAATCGAAAAGTTTTGGTCCCTCAAGGCTGTGGCTTTCTTGTGCCTAGGTAACTGACCAAGTAACATATTGTTACTGGTTGCCATTTCGGTTATATTTTATTTATCTCAATTTCTCACTGTACCATTCCCTTTCTTTCTCCAGCGTCAGGAAGCGCTTTTGTATCTGCGACCTCAGGTCCAAGCGATAACCCTATTGCTACTACTGCTCCTAACCTAACTGGAGGCAAGATCGCTAATACAGCTCCTCCCGGTCCATTCTTTCAAGGATTCAAGCCACCGTATCCTACAGATGCCTGTAAGTATTCAACAAAATCAGGGTTTTCTCGGCAGACGTGCTTATATTCAACAACTTTGGTTTATAGGGTGGTCAGGATATAGTGTTGGCACACAGGATTCGTAAGTAATGCAGAAGTAATGCGAGGCTAGGCATTGAGCAACCGACTTACCCTCGTTCTATATCCAGTACCGTATCCGGTCCCTTTCCTTTTGAGTCTGCCACCACCAATACCTCCATTGTTTTTGGTATCTCAAACAAGAGAGATTTTGATGGAACTTCCATTCATCAACCTACACAGACTGATTGGAGTGTAGGAATGTCTGGTCTCCCCAATGACCTTCAGCATCGTAAAGCTACCTCATGGGATACACAGACTGTGTGTCTTCAATACTTCACCGATAGTGGCTCCACTATGTCGTCCTGTATGGTTCCTGGATCTCCTTACATGACATTTACATTCAAGAATGCAGTTGTCAACATCAATTCTATGAATGGAAATTTAGGAACTCTTACATGGGTAACTGCTGGTAAGATACAATTACGATGAAATGGTAATGAGTGGATAATGTAATTTTTGCCCACGGTCTTAACATCATCAATTTATCATAGGCAAAAAGGCAAAAATCACCAACAGTGCTGGCACTTATCTTCTTTACGCTCTGGATACTTCTCTTACCTTGACTACAAATGCAAACACTCTCCAATCCCAGTCTGGCTATACTGGAACTATCAGAATGGCTCTCCTCAATGAAACATCGCAAGAAGCCATTTTAGATAAATATGTTGGCGCCTACCCAACTGGTCTTACCATGTCGTATGCCGTTAGTGGCAACACTAGCACGCAGACTTGGAAATGGAGCACAGCTGGAAATTCTTCTTCCCTTCTTACATTGAGCTGGCCACATCACAGGTAATGTTTCCTAATGCAGGTTGTGGACATGGACATAGAAATGAACTAACTGCTGCGGATTATAGAAAAGTACTGTCCAACCCAACCTCTGCTAGCATTCAATACTTGACGACCAAAGGATATATGAAGGGTGTTGTTGGTAATACCTGGACTTTGACCCACACACTTCCCTCTATTTATTGGTTCGCTCCAAATGCTCCTCAAAGCTCTTGCTTGTCCCAGCTGAATCAAACATTGCAATATGATGTCTCAGCTCTGTCAGTCATGGTTCCTGGAGATTTCTACTATTGGGGAGGATCCTTCGCCAGAGCTGCTCGTTTGGCCCTGATTGCTGAGCAAACTGGTCGTACTGACCTTGTCAACACAGTTGTCGGTATCTTGAAGCAAAGCTTTGCTTATTGGTTGGATGCTACTCATTCTCCCGCTGCTGCTTATGAAACTGGCTGGGGTGGTGTCATTAACAAAGATGGATGGAACAATACCTGGGTAGACTTTGGTAATGTAAGTATCAGAGCTGAAGGCCATCGCTTGGCTTTTAATCACTAGGCCAGCAGTAATTAATCTTTCTAACTTGCATACTACAGGCTTACTATAACGATCATCATTTCCATTATGGATATTTCCTCTACGGTGCCTCCGTCATTGGAAAGTACGACGCCACTTGGTTAAGTCAAAATAAGGATTTCTTGACACAGTAAGTGTGATGGATAAAATATTATATTTCCTGTCGATTATTTGCTTAAAAAATGTTAACTTTCTATTCAGTATTGCTCGTGATATTGGCAATCCGTCACCTAATGATCCCTATTACACTGTCACCCGCCACATGGATTGGTTTGCTGGTCACTCTTGGGCTAGTGGTATTGCCAACGGAGCAGGATCGCGTGATCAAGAGAGTACTGGAGAAGCTATTAACGGATACTATGGTTTATTGATGTTTGCTGAAGTTACTGGTAACAATGCACTCATCGATTATGCTAGAATGCTTCTTGCTATCGAAGAAATGGGAGCTCAGACTTACTGGCACTTGTATCCCAGCGTCACTACCGATACCCCTTATCCCGAAGCTGGATTCCGAAACCTTATTACCGTTGGTAACGTCGAGGACTGGCAAGCTGGTGCATGGCTGTTCTGGGGTGCTCAAAGAACAGAAATTGCTGCTATTCAAATGTTGCCTCTCACGCCAATCGGTGAAGTCACTTATGATAAAGCCTGGCTTCAAAATGTCATTCCTTACTGCCAAGCTGAGCTCAACGATCCTACTATTGGAGACGCTTTCAAGTCAGGTAAGTTTCGTTTACGTTGACTGAATGATCGATTCTATATGTTGACCATTATTTTCGTAATACTACAGTTATTTACGCCGCCTACGCAACTGTGAACCCTCAACAAGCATTCAACTACTCTCAGCAGTTGTCAGATTGGGGATCTGGAAACTCTGCAACCAATCAGCTTTACTTCGTAGCTACTCGTTCATCTTCATCAAATATCTGCAACACCAACCTCCAAACACCACAGGGCTCTTACTACATCCAAGATGTAGCCTCTGGCAAATACGTGACAGTCTCTGGAAGTGGAAGTCTAGCAGCTACTGCCTCTGCTAGTTTGACTGCGGCTCCTTTCACTCTTGCCTTTATGCCTGGTGGTGGATCTATTCTTGCCCAGTCAAACAACCAATATGTGACAGCTGATCCCAATGGACAGACTGCTCTTGCTGCAGCTCGTGCCACTCCTTCTACCTATGAGACCTTCCGTTGGGTTACGCAATCTGATGGATCTTACCAACTTCTGGCTCTTGTCAATCATGACTACGTTTCTACTACCTCATCCAACTTGGTAAATAACGCTAATTCCACTAACGGAATCACCGCCGGAAAGTACAAGTTAGTACCGATTACTAGCAGCACTGGCGCTGCTGTTCCCGCATCTGGCACTCTCAAGAATGTCAAGACTGGAAAATATGTTGTGGCTACTGCTGCTAACGTGACCTTGCTTGCTACTGCCACTTCTGCAGCAAGTGCAACCAAGTGGACTTTTGAGAAGTTGTCTACCAGCACCAGCACTACCACTTACTATGACATCCGTAGCCAAACTACTAACGAAATTGTCACTGGAACCACTTCTGGTGCTGATCCTTTGACCGCCGCTCGCGATGTTGCTTCTACTTGGGAGTCATTCCAAATTCTCTCATATAACGGAAATTTTGTTATCATTGATTTGGCCAATGGTCTCAACGTTGCTGTGCAAGCAGACAATACATTGATTGCCAACAGCAATATCGTTGATTCTAGCACCACCTGGACCATCGCATAAAGCAGTTAATTATTGCCGTTTTCTAGATGATACGGCCAATAAAGTCCATATAAAAGAGTTTTTATAAACCGTAAAATGGGATGTTAGAGTGAATATATTGTTGTGTCTGATCCATAGATCAATTTACGTTGGTCTCAGCAACGGCCGAAATTTTGAGTTTCAGCAAAAGCTTTGGTTAGTGAAAAGTCGGACTCTAGTGGTGTGCCTTTAACTTGAACCCATTGCAATTGTGAGGGGAGTATAATCTGTGCAATGCCAGAAGCAACGCTGTGAGTCCTATTTTCTTACTAGAATGTCTTTAACTTCACTTACACTGACTTAAATCGTGCGTTCTTTACTTAGATATCCTTTAGGTAAAGTGCCTGACTACTTTTTGTTCACTTTGATCTAGCACATGCCAATGACTGATTCATCGTCCATTCAGCCAATTACACGTTTGGTGTGAAGGAAGCTCAGCCTGAAGAAGATCCATCGGTCCATGCTCGTCTTAAACGCCTGCAAAACGATTTTGAAGAGCACGGAATGCGACGAAGCGTAGAGGCAGTTTTGGTTGTTCACGAGCACAATCACCCACACGTCCTCATGCTCCAGATTGCAAATGCGTTTTTCAAGTTGTAAGTGATCGGAGAGTACCACCGCCAAAGTTTCGAAATGTTGTACTAAGTAGTTGGCTCACTTCTTAGACCAGGTCATTATATAGACCCAGGAATGACCGAGGAGGAAGGGTTAAAAGCGATTCTGAACGAACGTTTAGGGCCTGAAGACGGCGTCGGCGATATGGAGTGGGAAATTGGAGAATGTTTAAGTACCTGGTGGCGACCTTCTTTCGAGCAATACATGGTACGTATGAAAGGTGACTTTAGGCGGTAAAAGCTAACTGGATCGATGACTAAGTGACGACCACCCACAGTATCCATATGTTCCTGCACACATCACAAAACCTACGGAGCGAAAACAGCTCTTTGTTGTACATTTACCACCCCATAGTAAGTTTACTTTATGCTGTGTATCACTTAGTATGGATGACCAATTGAACACTGTCTGTTTCCGTCGCCAATAGAAGTTCTGACCGTCCCAAGAAATATGAAACTCCTGGCCGTACCACTTTTTGAATTGTATGATAATGCGGCTCGATATGGACCACAACTATCAGCCATACCACATTTGTTGAGCAGATATGATTTCAATTATGAAAAATAAAACCCGCATGAATCAAGTATGTAGGAATGGCAGCTATACTGGCGGAACGGAAGACCACCAATGAAATTTTCAAATACTACCAATTCATTCAATGTGGGATAGATATTTATAAATCGTCTGTTTCGGCTTTATAGTGGTATAATTCAAAAAATAAAAAAGGTCATGTAATGTAAGAATTAAAATAGAGTAGGTAGAGGTAAACTTTGAAGTGAGTAGTCTCTATGCAAACGGAAAAGGTATTATGTTACAAATAAGGTAAAGGGTATTTGACCAGTGTGGTGGCATAAGAGCCAATGTTGGGTAGACTGGACTTAAGTGGGCACGATTGACTGTAGGCCATCATTTCCCTTGAACTTCTCTTCGTCATTGAAACTAATCAGATGTACGCTGTCTTTGTCATACTTTTCGTTAGACAGAGGAACCAGAGTTTCATTTAGCAGTACTATTTCTGGTGACTTGATCAAATCTTCTTCATCATCCTCTGTAGTGTCCACGTGGCGCAATACTATAGATAATAGGAAAATGCCTCCAAACTGTTTCAATTCAGCATTTGCCATCAGTATTATAGACGGTTAATCATGATGAAAGTCGGTGATTCTCATCCGTACCTGAAATAGCCGAATCAGCATAGTCATGATACCGATAGAAAACATTTTCGAGCCAAACTTATCGATAAGTGCGTATTTGCAAGCGGGTAAGACACCGAAGAATTCCGACATTTCAACCATAAACTCAGCAGTATCGTCAAATCCTTGGCAGTGAAATTCGCGCTGGATGTCGAATATAACGTGGCGGTCAATAGAATAGGCACGTTCCCAAGACTGACGAAGGTTATCCTCAATGTATTTGTTCTTGTTTTCGAGGACCGCTGTTGCTAAAATAAGCTGTATTCCAACAAAAGAAAGTAAAAAGTAAAAATACTGATGTAAAATATCAAGAATCAATCGTTGTCATGAAATAAACACAAGTGACATGTTGCATCTTAAACAAGCAAAAAGGATACAACTCCTATGATATTTCGGTTGGCTCGCGTTATTCCCCAAATTCCAATGGATGAAGCCAAAAGTATGATAACATCCAACCAATCCACTTGAATAGTGATAGATGGGACTAGCGACACTCTAGAAGTTGATTCTGTGTCGGATGCGTGAACGATGTACTTTTCTAATAGATGTAATATGATAATAGTCGCTGTAATCTGTGATGTGAGTCAAAAGGCAATTTTTTAGTGGGATGACCATGAGGCTGCCCAGCTTAGGGCCACAATCGCCCATTCTATCTTAATTTGGGGGCAGGGGAATATTTCCCCGTTTTCTCATTCGGTGTGAGAAAACTGGACGGATGTACTCACCATGGTGACAATGAAAGAGTATGAAATAAACCAGTGAGAGGGTCTTTGCAGTTGCATAATTGAGAAAGAACCTCTGAAAAATGAGCTTGCTCTGGCATGCTTTTTATACGATGCTTCACTTTCAAGGTGTTTTAAACCAAGCGAGTGGTCAATGTAATATAACCTAAAGTGGAGGATGAAAGTTAAGATCATCTTACAGGCCCTACATTCTTTAAGATGAACCGACTGTGTACTACCTCATGGGCAATCTTTGGTCCCACACATCTCAGCGGGACCACATTTAATAAACCTGCATGGGTGTGTGCTAAGGTTCCATATATGATCTAATCTTTTATTTTTCATCTTACCCGTTAATTAGCAACGGTCAACAGTGTTTGGACGTCGTAAAGCCTCGAAAAAAGAAGTAAAAGATGTGGAGGACTTTGGAATAAAGGAAAACGTTCATGAATCCCCTTGCTGTACGGCTGCATCAGCGAGGTTCGGAGCTTTATTGTGCGACGAGAAAAAATAGAGTAGAAACGGCTGACTTGGATTTTGAATGACCTATTTCTGTGTAGCGCAGCCTTGCCCTGACCTGTTAATTTTCTGGCAATTTCTACTTCTTATATTTCTCTCTTCCATCTGCCAATCACTTTCTTCAACCCGCCCTTTTCGCAATGGAGCCCAAGCCAGAACCACAAGATCAGGACGAATTGTTGTTCTCCTTTCTTAACAACGACTGTGTTGATAACAGCAATAACATGAATTGGAGTAATATTGACTTCATCGATCCCCCGTCTCCGCCATATTCAACCAGCTCAACTGATTCAGTAGCTCACTTGGGTTCACCGCCAAGTGAGTATGACGCATCCACTACTATGGATATGCTTTCACCGGATTGCCTTTGGCAATTTATGTCGCCCATAGCTGGCGATGAAAATATGGCAAATATGCCATTCCCACCTGTCGTGTTTCCACATGCCATGCCTTTCGATTTAGAATCACCACACTCGTCACCTCAAACCTCAGATAGCGAGCAAAACAAGCGAAAGCGAGGCAGGAAGGCAAAGACATCCACGTCTCCACCTATAGCGAATACCACACTCAAACCGTTATTACCCTCAACGAACCGAAGACCTTCGGAAATCGCGGTCAGGCCAAATATTGCGCCTTCACCCAACCCTCCCTCCTCCGCCTCACATGTTGTGCAGGTGAAATCGGAGCCATTAGAACATATCCCCTTACTATCCAAAAAGCCCCTTACATCCCCTCAACCCCCGCAAGTCTCAAATCAACAAGCCACTGTTGCGGCAAAGCGACAAGAGCGTTTGATCAAAAACAGAGCTGCTGCTCTTTTGTCTCGCAAGAGAAAGCGTGAACATTTAGTTTCACTTGAAGAGGAAAATATCATTCTCAAAGAGGAAAATGATACACTAAAGGACCAAGTTGCAAAACTCACTGGTGAGCTTCAAATGGTCAAGAGCGAAAACGAAGAACTAAAGGCAACGTATGGTTCATCGAAAGCTACTCCAAAAGGCTCAAAGGCAACTGGCATGGTGTTCATGGTGAGTGCTAAGAGAAATAATTGAATGGTGCAAATACACTGCTTGCTAAATATTACTGCCCAAATAGATTATGCTCTTTTCATTTGCTTTATTTAGTCTACCGAACGGCAGCGTGAACCGGCTGACAGTAGGAGGCGCAGCGAAACAACACCTCATTGGTCCATCCAGCTTTTACTCTTTCGAACCGAAGCAACACAAGCTGTTGGATGGTGGATCACCCACTGCATCATCACCAGCCCAGTCAACCGAGCTCATGGTGGTAGAATCCATCAAGCCTTATGATTTGCAGTTGTGGATCCAAGAAAGTTTGAAAACGGAGGCAGAGGCCGATAAGCGTACGAGTGACACTGCTTCTAGCACTGGGCTTGTTCAATACCAAACAGGCCAACCCGTCATCATGGCTGATACACCTTCTCTATACCTTTATGCCAACCACCTCTCACAAGTTGTTCGATTATCGGATGAGCACAACAAGCAGGCCAATTCAGTATCGCCACGTGTTTCACTCTTGTCACCTTTAGTACCTAGTCACGAGTCTTGTGAACCACAACAGTACTTGCAAGTTGATATGCAAGTCCTTGGTTCAAAGATTGTAGGCGCCCAGATGGTTGGCTTAAAGGACTCTGCTTTCATACCAGTTAGCATGAAAGATCAACTTGTCACTCCACCTTCCTCATCTTCACTAGGTGGCTACAACCTAAACGACACTGATGATACAGCACGTAAAAATAAGCGCAGGCGCAACGTGCGAAGCTCATCAAAGCGTGCAAAGGTTCTTGCTTAGATGTCAAGAGTGTGTTTTTTTTTCTAAAAGATATTACATTGAAGAATAAGCGTGTTAGATTGTTACTCTTCCTTTTTTAAAAATTATCCTTTCTTCAGAAAAAAACTGTGTTTCTTTTTTTACTGCTTCTCATACTTTGCCTTCTGCCACATATACCACTTGTCCAAAGAAAACGTTTTCAAAGATTTGATGTGTGGTTTCCATTCTTTGTTTACCCAATTCAAAAAATAAAATATATATCATCATTTGTAAGAATACATTTCACAATGGCCGTCGCATCCTATTCGTTCTCGTCGCGGCCATGACCATCATATGTCTCAACCCCAGCATTCCTCATCATTCGGCGTAACAGACTTTGCAGTGGAAATAAGGGGTTTTGCACTATTTTAATTTTAGTGTGCATACTGAACGGCCACCAGTACTCATCATATAACCAGTAGGCGGATGTTCACGTGTTACATTCGCAGCAGCAGCAAATGCAAGGCGTCTAGCAAAATGCTAGCCAAGGCTCTAAAAGTGTCTGGAAGGAATTGGCATTAAAAAAGCTACTCTCATTATAGATAGCAAGCGTGTATTTTTGCTCATTGATTTCTATTACGATCATTTTTTAATTTAAATCAATTCACCGAGCAAATGACGAATGAATGAACGGTAAGAACAACGCAATTATCTAGGGTGACGGTCACGCAGGTTGCGGTAAGGGGCATCACAGTAACGTCAAGTGGTCAATCAGCTAGCCAACCATTTGCTACATTCATCTGGTTCCTGCGTTTCCTACCATATTGATGAACTCGTCCTACTGCATCCAAATGAGTCAGCCGCACCATGGCTTTTTCATTCTCCCATACTATGGCAAATTCTCCATCTGAGGTCAGGTGGTTATCATCAAGCAAAAAACACAATAGTTGGTTAACAATGTTGGTTGTTATTACGTTTCTATTTCGGGAATTGAGGCTCCATGGTTGACATCGATCTCCTCACAAAAATGCCTAGCCTCAAAATATCCCATAGCTCCGGACGTAAACTAGAGCAACAATAATTAAAAACAAGCAAACAGGTCATGATGGATACATATAACGTCATGCCGAGTGCATAATAAACCGTGTTGACAACGAGTGGAAATGAAAAAAAAATTGGGCATTGGACTACTATTTTGACAAGGGGGAAGGGGGGATTGAAGAGAAAGGAAAAAAAAAAAAAATCTTAGCCCATTGCTGCACCAACAGGTACAATGTGTCCCTGACATAACTGGATCGTCCGCAGGTGATTTTACCATGATGCGATTGATTGCCAAGCACAGTAAACAGACTGCGGTGTCGTATCATAGCATCACTCACTCTGATCTCGCTTCACTGAAACACGGAGGAACTTGATGGTAGGGTAAACCCCTATCACGAAATGAACCAACGGGAGAAGGCCGGGGGGGATGAATCAATGAGCGGGCCCCCTACCCTTGTTTTTTCAGGGAGACGACTGACTACCACAGCAGCATTGTAAGCAAGCCATAAATTTAGAGTCGTCAACTATATATTGCATGCTGTTTCTTCTTTACCTCCACCATTATTATATTTCCTCCATGCCTCACATGCCCTTTCTATCTTCTCGTGTATTGAGAAATTCTCCACCCGCTGCAAAACTTCAAGATATGTTTCAACATGGCAGACGACGGTCCAGCAGTCAATCATCAAGAAGGACTAACGGGTCAAATGAAAATGACAGTTTAGAGGACTCATCATCACACAACTCGCACCGTCTGTCACATATTATCGCAAAACACTTTCCAAAGAAGCAAGAGGTTGTTCAGGAGCACGAAATAGACTTTCCTACAGAACTGCAAAAACTTCAAGAGAAATTTGAATCAGCCAGAACAGAAACAAATTTTGCCACCGTCTCACAGGGCTCTGTATATTATCACGAAGACTACATCACTTGCGAGGATGCCATTAGAGAAATGACCGAAGCTTGGTCACTGCTGATGGACCTGGTTGATCGCGACACTTGGCGCGTAGATGATGAGGCTCAAAGCTTAGAAATGGATATCAAGGCGTTAATTGATGTGTTTGCTTGTCTACCAAGGATAGATCGCCATATGGACGACAACGATGATGAATAATGCTATAAGTCGGAGCGTTCTATTTGTACAGAAATCGTACTTTTGTAAATACTTCCATTTTGTTTTTCTTCTCAAATTTATATCATATTTCCATTCCCCCTCGCATATCACATACCTGATCAAATAACCTAAACATCCTCATTCAAATGACACAAGCCACTCATGTATTTTTGAGAATCGCATGCAACTTATGTAGCAGTAGCATTTTTTTGTTTTTTCAAGAAAGCAATATATTTCTGTTCGCAGCAATAACTCGAAAAGTATACAGTGATGGGATCGCCAACTTTGGAATGAAACAGACCCGGCACCGTGCTGCCAGACCAATCCTTGATGACAACCATGAGTTACTCATATGTCTGGTTGACAGATAAAAAATGATCACTGGGAACACAGCAGCAAATATTTTGCAACTCATTCATCAATGTTGCAGTGCTTTTTATTTCGCTACCATGCGCGCCCATGACAAAATAAAAGCAATTCAAATAATATTAAGTTGCAAATACCCCCCCCCATGACCCCCATGACCCCCTTGAAAAAAAAGTCGTGCTCGCTGGTTTGCAAAAAAATGGGTAGCATGATTCCCAAAATTGGTTTGCAAAGAGATAATTGAATGTTATTCTGTAACACCTACCTGAATTACGAAACGACCGTAAGTATGACTATTTGGAGCCCTCGGTTGGATTAGCAAGTCTTGAGGAAAATGCCACTTATTTGCTTTGGGCTTGGTAAACAGACACACAGTTGTTTTTATGATGATATTAGAAAAGTATCAGTAGCGTGATATGAACCCATTTATATAGTTATGAGCTTGTCTTAAGCCAACCCTTTCCATGACCGATTTCGATTGCATTTTAATGGACGTCCTTGAAGGCTTGTTTTTCTTACGTTTGACAAGTTGTTAGTCCGATTTGTATGCACATTCGTGGTAAAATATAAACCAGGTACTCTAGATTGTACTTGCAATGATTGTCGTCACGCATGGAAGGACAGCAGCAACCTGACCAGCAGCTGCAAGGAAGATAATATCAGGTCCGGGTCAACTCCAAACATGTACTGGCGAGACGACAAAATCAAAAATCCATATGCTTTGGATCTCGTTCTATATCTTCGGCGTCCCTTGGTGTCATCTTTGCGCAATGGTACAGGGCAGCATCGAAGTCTCTTTGTCGAAAAATAAAATAAAAAAATGACAAGGCTGTCAGCGTCGCCTGAACTGAAGCAAATACACTTTATAAATTGATTTGTGCATAGACGCTGAAGTTTTTACGAGATTTTTTTCGTCTAGAGTTGCAAAACTACGCTTCCCATATCGAATGCCATCGAAGTGCCTTCCAGGCCACAGGTTTTCAAAGTTTAGCTTATTGTGTGACTTCAAATACCAATGGTCCGCATGATGTAAGGAAAGTCTTTAGCACCCATGCTTTCACATGTAATTACTCTCGAACACAATCGGGATTCGCATCTCAGTACAAAGCGCAGAAAACAAAATAAACACACGAAAACCTCGGACAGACAAAGCAAAATAGCTCATGCGACAGACAACGCAAAGTTTTACGGAAAATACAATAGTGAGTGATACAATAGTGAGTGATAAAATTAGGAGTAGTAGTGGGGCTATGTTGACATGTCCTATTTACTTTTTAACATCCATTCACGAAGAACCTGCTTCATGGTTGTAGGGTTTCATACCACGATTAATCCTCCACAGTACAACCGTCTCCTCTTCATTCTCCTCCAAAGCCATTTGCCACAGACTGTCAAATGTCTCTTCCGATAAACCGCCCAGGTTAACAAACCATCGCTTCATAGCCTGGAACCGACGGATGGCCAGGTCTCTGAATAAGTAGCCATTTTCCCTTTCGTCTTTGCAAGGAATGCATTAGCACACATAAAAATGCTGGATAAACAAGACCAGTCATGGCGCTTTTGGAAAAACTTACTTGCATCCAATGGCCATTCTCCAATAGGTACCTTGTATATATCCTCTTCGCAGGTGACAAAGTTACTCTCCTCCAGGTGAGATTTGAAGTGCTGAGCGTACTCAGGATCTATATCTGCTTTTACCAATGCTATCTCAAGAACATCAACGAGCTTTTTGAAATTAGAGCTGCGTTTGATTGCTCGGTAATCTGTCGTGAGAGTATGAATGTGTTACTTCCACTGGCGCTACAGCACACTGGATGGAAAGACTTGACGATTTTTTTACCTGGTTCAATAATTTCAATCCAACCACCAGGGCGTAGGACACGATAGGCTTCTTTAATGACGGATAACCATCTTTCATTAGTTGCCATGATGAAAGCCAAATCTCGAATATATATGAAATCCACGGTATCCGAATCAAGCAAGTGAATACCCGCATCAGGCTGGAATAAGTCAACCTTAGCAAAGCTTAAGTTCTTTAGTGATTCAGGCACAGAGACAGTAGGAGGATCTAATGCCCATCCGACGATGTGGGCTGTAGGATATTTTAGGGCCATCTCCACGCACCAGACGCCTTGCAGGTGGATAAACAATAATTTTTTAACATTAGCGGCCGTCCCGTTGCACCAAAAATAAATAATAACATTAATAATTATATGGTTTCAAAACTTACCAGTTCCACAACCTAAATCAATTATCTTTTTAGGAGACTCAAGTGGAGACTTATGAATACTTCCAAATATCTGTTTGAGTAAATAATGCTAAGGAAAAGAAGAGGTCAGTGGCCCTGTCTGACATTGTACCACAGATCGTGTGGTTAGAAGGCGTGGCATTGGTGCTTACCTGGCGCGTATGCCTGAAGAGGGTTTAGCGAGAGAAGCAGTGTTAGATGGGGTTTCAGAAGGTGCAAGTATTCCGAAATTAGGCTAGTCTCGGCTTACCGATCAACTTCCTTTCTACGCTCTCCAGCATTTTCTGACAGGTAATACATTTGCTTTGCAACGCTATCGTCTGACGCTGATGTGCTGCCATAATTGACGACAAGCTGGCTCTGCCTTGGTCTGTTGACTGGTAAAACCGATGGTGCAAGCCAAGGATCGTCGTCTCCCACGCTCCCTGTAGCTTCTGCTGCTGCTTGAATAGCACGCAGAATTACATCATCTTGTATTTCGCTTGATGTGAAAAAAGATTTATTCTCGTGGTTGATAGGTGTTTCATGCATGGATGGGGAATCAATGGTGGACACAACCGAATCGCCTTCTTCTTGTATCTCTTTTGACTTTTTTGGTAGTAAAGGTGAAAGGATCCGTTTTGTCTTTCGGCGCTGATCTCCTTCTGTAGTAGAAGGGTTATCAAATAGTGTTGACAGCCTTCGTGGTTTGCTATTTTCTCGCTTCGCCTTTGTATCTTGTTCGGTATGCGACAATGATTGAGAAGACAGCAACGTATTGGATTGAGAAACGGAACCGATGGATTTAGTGGAACGACTTGTGCTTCTCTTTGACCCATGCTTTGTACTGTTTTCTTTGCCGTGGCTGTTGCCCATCGCTGGCGATGGTTTACCGCACAGTTACAGCAAAAGTGATAGAAACGAAGGAGGAAAGTGATATTCCAAAAATTGTGTCGGAGAAAAAGGCCAAGTGCAAAAGCGAAACGGTCAAGGTGGGCAAACAAAAATTGTTTAGGTGACGCAACAACTTCAAAAGCTTATGCAAGAAAAATTTGTAGGTTTAATTATTCCATTGAAAGCTGTAGAAAGCTAGAGGAAACTGATGTATGTCTAATTTTTACAACTTTGGGCTGGAACAAAATATATTCTGCTTTGCCAGAAAATATGAGGTTTTTAAGAATTGTGATATAACGTTTCCACTCAGCATACTCTTAAAACGAAAACGTTCTGCTTTCCGCATGTTAGCGGGCTTACTCCCCCGCCACCATATCAGATCCGCATCTCGCTTCTCCGAAAGGGTGCATCGATATTTAACACACGTACGAGCGGGACAGTCCGTTCGGATGCAGCGAGTGACATGAATAGCTACTATAAATTAAATAGATAGCTCGTTCTTTGCATATCTGAGCATTTCTCAACATATCCTGAGCTTCACTCAAAATGTGTTAGTCCCCGCCACAACGCTTTTCAAAACCTTCCAAAAACCTTTTAAGAAAACCTTCCAGGTCGCCCTTCAGGACGAGCTTTTTATATGATATATTTTTTATATCTTTCTAATGCAGTAATGTTCTTGGACTGACCACCAATCTGTCAGCAGCACTAGCTCCACCAATGGAGCTATGACATTTTTTAATCCGCGTTGTAGTTAGCGTTCATCAAATACTCTCACATAACTTTGTCGTAACACATTGTATAAATGAGTATATTGTACGTAACAGATTGCGTTCTGTGCATAACCAAATATTACACCCTTTTAACTAGATGCAGCGAATCCATTCGATTTATTTATGACAAGGACATTTCACTGTAAGTCTAGGCCAAATTTACTTCAGAAGATACAGTTTTCCAAGTGACCAGTTGAGCCAAAAATTCTGAAGGTTGTTCAACCCTCATTACACAAAGGCTTCTATCTAAAGAGAAATAATCATGATCAACAAGGGAGAAGTGTGTACTGACAATGCGTTTCTCACTCACAGCTACTGAAATAGATTGTGTAGCCGATCTTATGTTGATATTTGTGATTATTTCAAAGCACTGTGTTATTGCAGGCAAGGGGCAGGGCACAGTGTAAACTTAGCTGCCCGAGCTACATCGTCATTATCTTCTTTCCGACAAGAGAGCAAACGTTCAATGGGCGAGTCACGTGCATCTTCTCTTGCCCTTATGACGATATTTCGATTGGAAGTCCTTCCTTTTTTGTTCACCTGTACATTTCACTTCTCCCATGCAAGCAACGCCTGGTGATTCGTCCGCAGCGAATCAGCGTACGCCTCTAGTACGTAATCGTAGTAGCCGTCGTCCACGACCTCTTCGACGCAGGAGTAGTGGTTTCGACCAAGGTCTCTATTCGGCTAGTGCCTACAAAGTCATAGAAGCTCCGTTGAAGCGGTCTCAGTCTCAGGCAAGCTTACAAGCTGGAACTACTAGTGGCGACATTGTCCAGCAACCAGCTGAACATTCGGGCGATGATAAGGATGCTCTTACTGGGCTAAAGCTGCTACTTCTAACCATTTGTATGGCTGGCGTCCAGTTTACATGTAAGTCCTCAGTTCTATTATTTCGGAGTCGTCATGGCCTAAAACGTAACTCAGCTCACACACACTGTTCATTGTATGTCGGAACTCAAAGGGTCAGTCGAGTTATCGTGAGTATATCGTCATTAATGTAGATCAAGAAAGTCAATGTTATACTGATATACTTGACAAAATAGATATGGTACTCCATATTTATTATCATTAGAGCTTCCAAAGGAGTTGACAGCCTTGGTTTGGCTCGCTGGCCCTTTATCAGGTACATTATTTACAGATCGTCGTAGCGTTCTTACCTATCGTTGTTCTAACCTTCCTTTATCAACAGGGCTCATCATCCAACCGGTAAGCCACCAGAACAATACTTTTTTGCCTCTCCGTCAAGCATACAAATTAATGAAATTACTTTCGCCTCGCCCTTCGTTTAGCTAATCGGAGCATATAGCGACAGATGCACATCATCACTTGGTAAACGCCGACCCTACATCATCTCTGGTGGCGTTTTGGTTTGTTTTTCTATGCTAGGGGTTGCATACGCAAAGGAACTCGGGGTATTGGGTGTACGTTGGTTTAGCCAACCCCAAACGCCGGAAGAAATTCTCAAACAAGTAAGATTTCTTACCATATGTAGCTCCTCATGGTAAGGTTGACTGACGTTCGTCTTAGGAAAAATTGGGGGCCATCTTCACTGCAGTGCTTGCATTTTATATCCTTGATTTCAGTTTGAATGCTGTGCAAGCCTCGTGTCGCGCACTCATTCTCGATGTACCCCCTCTCTGGCAGCAGCAAATAGCGAATGCTTGGGCGGCGCGCATGTCTAATATCGCTATGGTGATAGGTTACTTCACTGGATTTGTCGATCTGATCAAATTTCTGCCTTTCCTTGGTGACTCTCAGGTCAAAGTGTTTTGTCTTATCGCCATCTTTGTATTCATTGCAACGCTTGGTATCACTTGCTTAACGACAAAAGAAAAGGTCTATGTCCCAGAACGCGATCAGGATGAGTACGTTTAGTGAATGCGGGCACTCCATCATCTCCTACTTGCTTACGGTTTTTCATAATTATTGCAGGCCATGGTACCATGCCCTTGGCTACATTTGGCGAGCATTCACCAATTTGCCTAACTCCGTTCAACGTCTTTGCAATGTTCAATTCTTTGCTTGGTTAGGGTGGTTTCCTTTCTTGTTCTATAGGTAGGCTTTGCAATTCGTGTATCCTTAAATTGCAATTCAACATAATTCTGATGACACGTATTCAATACAGCACAACTTGGGTGTCCGATATCTATTTTGTGAGCAACCCTATGGAGGACCCAGACTCATGGGCAAAAGGTACTCGCGCTGGCTCCTTTGCTTTGTTGTGCTACGCCATCGTTTCTGTCGTAGCTGGTATTATTCTCCCATGGATGACTGAAAGCGAACACTTCAAAGGCATAACAGTCAAAAACGTCTACACTGGTTCCATTGTTCTATTTTCTGTTTCTTTGCTATTAACCTTTTTCGTCGAAACGGTTCTCCAAGCTACTATCATTGTTGCCATCATTGGTATTCCCTGGGCTGTAGTATTGTGGGTTCCATTTGCCCTTGTTGGAGAATACATCAGCTATGAGTCCGACAAACTTGAAGAAGCCAAGGAAACGGCTAAACAACTTAAAAATGGACAAAGTAAATACGGCGCAACACAAGGCGAAGCTGTGGATGGACCAGTGTCGCTTGAAGCCAATGAAGACGACGACGATGACGATCTCGATGCTGGTTTGCTGCTTGGTGTTCACAACATGTACATCGTCTTCCCACAGTTTGCGGTCGCTATTATAGCTGCTGTTATTTTCAAGATTGTCTCAGCGGTTGAAGATCCCACTCAACCAACTAATCCTGCCCCGGCTCAAGATAGTGGTGTCGCGTGGGTACTCAGATTTGGTGGCATTATGGGTCTTTTTGCCGCCATTCTGAGTCGCCGTATCATTGAAGTACCAAGAAGACCTGGTCAACAGGCAGTTGTGGTTGTTGCTGCCGGCCACTAAAGAGTATCATACCTTTTTATCATTCCATTGCTTTCTACACACTTTGCATATTCATACTCTGCAGACATGTTTTATCTTGTAGTTTTTTTTTTTTTTTTTGGAATTACTGTACAGTGGGTAACATTGATATCAGGGTAGGAGTCGTCTGGAACAAGAAGAACCTCCAAAAGCTACAAATAAAAAAGCGTCAATTTTTTTTTCACATCATCTATTAGTTCTTCGTCGTTGGCTGGAATTAGTTGGCCGCCGCCTGGACCTTGATTCATCGTCTATTGGATCGTGGCCGTTTGCTTTTGAGCTTTCTTGCCATGTTTGCCGGCGTTCTTCAAGTGCTCTATTCAATTGGGTTTGAGTTTGGTTATCGTTCTCCCTAGACTGGTAAGAGAACAGGATACTTTACCTTGCCATTTGTGCATCAAGTTCTTGCTGCATATTCGGCAGGCGCTCTAATCCATTCGATGCTCGTGCTGCGTTAACTTTCTCTAATGATACAATGGAGAGGGCGACATGAGAAACCGATCATCAAAGAACACCTGGCATCGCATAGCATTTATACCTTGTAATGGCTCATATTCGTTATCTCGTAAGTTTCGTAATGATTGCTCTAAGTTTCTACACTCGGTTTGCAATGAGTTTTCGCCTTCTGTCATCTGAATCACAAGATAAAGGTATTGGGATTGGTTGACATTGAGCGCGCAGTTCTAATGAGTCGTCTTACCGTTTCAATATCCCGTTGAATTGCCTGAATCATATCCATCATCATTCTTTTCTCCTTCACAAGCCGTCTTCGCTCTGAGGTCATTTCTTCTAATAAATTTTGCTTGACTTCTAATGTCTCGTTGGTCACCAGTATTTGCGACTTGAGGTCGAAAAGGCTCTGAGTCTGCCGCCTATTGAGAAGAAATATCAGTACATGCAGTGATTTCGATAGCTAGTTATATATGCTCACCTCAAGCCTTTAAGACTTTGCAACTTTGCTATGAATTGCTCGTCCGTGCCACTCTCCGCTCTTCAAACAAACATTAGAAATGTAAGATAATTCACAGAGTTAGATAGACATAAACATACTGAAGTGCCATGGAATCGATTTGTCCGATCTTTTGTTCGATCGGTAACGCCTTAAAGGAAATGGGTGTTGAATGAGAGAACAGAGCTTGACAGTCCAAGTTTTTGACAGCGAAAGCACGTGAGGTGTTTCCACGTGATTTTTCATTTTGCCCTGGCATTTTTTTTTTCGAAGGTGAAGCGCTTTGAAGCAATTGATTTCGTACACTATGATTGCAAACATATTGAAAGCGATAGGTATGCCATAAACACAATTCAGCTACCATACTCAAATGATTGTTACTAATTATGCGATGAAGCATCACCAATAGCTTCTGTAGCTCGACCCGTCGGCATCAGCATGTACCAAACCACCATGCAAGCTCGATTCATGTCCAACAAGCTCAAGTCACATTCCGGCGCCAAGAAGCGGTAAGATACGCCAAACAGCGGAATCAGCAGAATGAAGATCAAAGAGACTAATGAGTTTTCTTTTGCAGCTTCTTTCCAGTAGGTAACGGCCAGTTCAAGCGTTGGCAGGTTGGAAAGCGTCACATCAACGTCGGTTTCACGCCAGAGCGCTCCAACCGACTCAAGGGCTCACTCGTTGTCCAAAACAAATCCGACAATCGAATGCTTCGAAAGGCCTTGCCCTATGCTCACTAAATACAGTTACAACTGCCATAGATTTTTGTAAAAATTACACAACAAAAAGAGATTTCTCAATCAACAATATACAAAGACTTAAAGACTCAACTCAACAGCACAGTGCAATTTTTTTGGTTTATCGCCGTGTTGTTTGATGTCAACGAAGTGTGACTTTGACAAAGTTTATGGCAGAATTGCAGGTTTTATTTACAAAAAGGTGTACATTGGTGGTATTAAATATCGTCCTCGTCACTGTCGCTCAGAATAGCTCGATTGTTTCGGCGCTGAAGGTTTAGTTTTGTGACAGTATTATCTATGTCTTCATCGATATCATCCTCATCATCCGAGAAGATCACGTTTCTGGGTACAGCACGAGTTTTTAAGGATTCCATAGCATTCGTAGAGACAAGATCATCTTTGTCATTTTGACTGATGTATTTTGGTGAAGCATGACCTTGCTGTTTGGATTGGAAGGCTTGTCGTCCAGATGTAAATAGAGGTGCTTCATCGTCCATGGAGTCATCGGATGCACTATCGTCTAACGGAGTCGTCATACCAGGCATTGCTGTTGTGTCTGTTATAGCATGATGGGGAGTGGTTTGTGAGCTAACAGGCTGACTATCGGGTGAAGTTCTGTCTAATAAACCATGGTTATTTGATATAAATGCTGCCATCTGTAGCAAAAGATACACATTAGTATCAAACATGACGATATGATATCAAGACTGTAAGCACTACTTACGTTCTTCTCTCGTAGCTTTCGTTCATTGGCAAAGAACGCCTCGTCATCATCGCCATCAGAATCAATGATGAATTGTTGGGTGTGATACACTGGCCCAGCGTTCACCTTCTTCGCTCGCTTTCGTTGAGAAGAGTCTTCGTCGTCAACATCCTTTCTAGCTCTCTTCTTCTTAGCCTTTTTCTTTATCATATCCTTGGCCGGCATACCATTTGGTGCCAAAGGGTTGGCAATGAACTCTGTCATCATGTCTATATATGACTGCAACGTTTCTGATGTCATAGATGCAGGTATTGTCCAAGTGGTTTCCATATAATCGTCTATTCACCATAGAGTTCAAAATTAGTCAAGGAAATGATAATTTCGTAGTTATCTCATAAGTCAACCCACCCTCAGTCTTTTCGAATTGTAGCAAGCTGAGCAGCAGTCTGAGCTTGGCATTTTTTCTGATGGCTGATTTCACTGCAATCATTGTCGCTTCCATATCTGCATCAATTAATCAATATATGTCATTTCCTCAGTGGTCTGATATGATTTTTTCACGAACTAACCATAATTTTCGTAAGCTTTTACGCTCTGACTCTCCGCATTTCCATTATCCGAAATGCGAACAGTGTCTTCAGATGCTCTCTTTGCTATGGCAAACATGATTTGCTAACAACAAGTTAGTTTTTGCTAATCAAGTTGTCATCGTCTTTCAATTACCCTATTATCTACTAACCTCGTTAGCCCATTCGACCAAAAAGGCTTTCTTGTCCTCTACTAATACTGCTATAGCTACTCCAACTTGCTGGCTCCAAGTGAGGCCAGGTTTGATTTCAAGTTCCACCGTAGTAGGATAGCTCTGAAATGATATGTATTGCGTTAATATTTCTCTTATGCGGCCATGTTATATATCCTCTGTACTAACCGTGATCTGATCATCTTCTCCATTACTATCATCGCTATCCTGATGATCACGAAGTCGAGTAACGGGCTCGTCGTCATCGCTTATTGGTTCTCCGTTTGACTCCAAGGCAGACTGCCGAACACCTTTGAAAAGTGATTCAACCAAAAAGAGCGGATTCTCTTGGGCGTGCTTGACGTATTGCTTGATACAATATCGAATAAACATCGCTAATTGTTGGAACGACGACTTGTTCGGTTGAGTCTTGATGACTGGAAGTATACGATTAAAAAGTTCCAAAGTAGGTAGCTGCAATTGTTCCCAAATTAATGGATCTATTGTGATCGCAGTACGCAGTACCGAAGTACTTACTTTGAAAAAGAGATGCTCCATTTTTCTTTTCACCATCAGTCGATGAAAGAAATTGGTGATAGCATTGAGTGTGCTATTAGGCAACGTCTGGAAATCCTCGAGCAGAATGCTATATATTCTGACAACTTCATCATTTGCAAACCGCTAGAAAATGGTTTGCTTAGAACCCGCACACGTCCAATAAGGCCGGTCAGTCATCATTAAAAGATCCTTACCAATTCGAACGAGTCAAACTTGAATTGATGCTCTCGATAAGCTTGCTTACGATCTCTTTCTTCCTCGTAAGTTTCTTCATCCTCGCTCTTTTCATCATCAGTTTGGTGCTCTTCACCTTCAGGTTGAACTAGATTCATATGTCCATTAGTAAAGGTGCAACTAAGGTTTCTGTTATTCACAGATGTCACTATATTTTACCTTTTTTATCCTTTTCCTTACGGCTTTTCCTATTTTTACGAACAAACATGTACTTCTTCCCTGAGGCATATCGCTCTAGCATCCTCAGCATATGATGGTTGAGTTCTACAACAGCTTTCAGGTATCTGGAAGTTCACGTTAGTTAATATGGCTTTGTCATTGGCTATAGCTACGCTGCACGTTCAGCTACTTACTCTGTAGATTGGAACCTATACCCGCGCACCATTTCAATGAAAAGATCTAGAGTTGACTGCTCATAGTATATATTACTTTGAACATATTCAGCAATTTCAGCGAATTCTTCCTCGTCTGATTCAGCCATCCCAGCAAGGGTTTGAAGCTGGGTTATAAGATTAATAAGATGTTGTGTATCGGAGGCAGTTTACAATCATTGGCTACTTACCATTTGCTTGAAGCATTCTGCGCATGTTTGTACGTCCAACCATTGCTTTTCATCAACTGCTTGCCGCATTCTACGAACACAGAGAAGGAAGAAGCGAATATCCATTGCGGATGCAACCAAGTCAAAATTAGCCGGATTTTCAGGTAATGTAGTTTTTGCTTCGTTGCCATCCCGGTTTGGTATATGCAGCTTTTCGGCATCCTTTTCTTGCTGCTTTTTGATATCGGCTTTCCATTTCGAATGGATGCAAAATCGAAATTGAAGTAGCCAACCGATAACATAGTAAAATTTAAAGTGATCCGGTTCAAGAATCTGTTTGCTTTCACGCTCCACGTCTTTTAGGAGAGAGCTATGTAAAGCTAATAGAAAATTTGAGCATTAGTAAACGTTCCGTAAGCCAATGACGAGAATCTCTACAAGAATTTATCATTATAGAGTACCATTGAATGCTGAATCCAAGATGACGCTTCCAAAATCATACAGGATGCTTCGCGCAGCTTGTGTTTGATATGGTGAGCGAGTACCAATTTTGTCCTATGGCAAATGTTATGAACGAAGCTCACACTGATAACAGACATCGCCAGATTGTCATACCTGAAGTTTCTTTTTCTTGCCTACTCGATACTCTCGCTTATTACTGTTCATTAAGTCAGACAAGTCAATCACACCTCCAGTTTGTCGATGTATATTGTATTTTTCACCATCCTATTCATAAGACAATAATGTATCAGAGCTAGTCCGTAACCAGTAATCAACATCAGCACAACGTCTACTTTATCACTTACCAGCACTTCAACTGAATAGCTACCGCCAAAGCGATTATGTCTACTTGGTCCTATTTGTCGACTTGATGACCGCTTTCGATTTTCTTGCTGCAACAATTCAGCCAGCTTAACGGATACCACTGTGTTCTGCGTTTGTTCCTATGGCCATTCATTTCGTTGTTGGTATAATTTGAAAAATGGTAATCAAATTCTCTTCTAGTACTTACATCTTTGCTATCTGACGAGGCTATAATAGTTGGATCACTTCCTTTCAATAAATAGAATATAATCTGCATTACAATGACATTCCACTCTGCGAAATCTGGATGATTGCTACTGGAGGCGATGGTGACCAGTAACTCCAACATTTTCGAATCATGTAGTCGCGTAAGATATTTTTCCTGTTGGAGCATGATCGCACGTCAATTTCCTCTGTGGCAAACCAGAGTTTCATATATCGATTACGCACCTGCATAGTTGACATCTCCACCGCGCTTTCGCTTGATGATTGGGAAGCATTCAAATCCGGAATGGCTGCAATGTTTCGAAGCAAGGTGAGGACCAGACGAATGACAACATGATCGCGTTGAGCACGTTCTCTACATTGATCAAGTTAGGATTCCACTTGTAGAAACGGAAGTCGTCCCAAAAAATGCGTACCTGAACGGTATGCTCAGCGGTTTCAGAATCACATCCAGTGCTGCCTCCAAGATTCCAGGTTGTATCAACGACACCTTATATCTTCGGTGCAGGTCTATCATATTACTGTCTCCTGATTCGTCACCTTCGTCGTGATTTTCTGCAAGCGGCCATGTCATAGGAACGAACAGCTCAACTGAAAGCACATGTTAAACAAGGGATATTCATCTTCAAGCATTTATACGTCTACCAATACTAAAATAACTTACGGCAAGCCAATACAAGACGTTCTGACACATCAGAGGTCAGTTCATTGTTGACCAAAACAATAGGGATTAGGTCGGTGCTCATGATGTTGAATTCGCCCAAGAGATGCAATACGTAATTATCCGGGTTCTCTGAGTCGTTTCGGATGAGCTTTCGAATATCCTTCATACAAGCTGTTTGAAGCGGATGAGTTTTAGGCTTGATTCGTTCTACCGTGCTTCAGTAGCGCACTTGATCTCTTACTTACCCAGACATTCATCGCCCATGGCATATTTTGTTAAGATTTCGCCATTTTCTTCCTGGTACTCTTCCATAGCACCAAGCGCCGAGCATATTGACAATACGTCTGCCCGTAGCTGTTCCTCGGGGGTAAGCTCTGGCACGTCTGGCATGGTGAAGGAAGCCGCGTCTAGGGGTAAATTTTTCTTGAGTTTGAGTTTTTTTGCTTTTTGAGCCTCAGCGCGACGCGTTGGCACGCGAAGCTGAACTGGACGTCACAATAGGCGTCGATTTACACTCTTGAGCAATGCAAGATGATTTGAATAATGTCATATTAAATGATAACTTACATCTCTTTCAAACTCCAGCTATTCTTCTTGACTTAGATTGCGAAGAACTCAATAGCAACTACCATTCAACCTGGTGGACTTTTTCACGTTTTTGTCTTCGGCGCCGCAAAGTCATAACAAGGTGAGTCAAAGACCTGTACTTCGCTTTGACTCATAGAAAAACTATTCGCCTTCTTTACGTGACATCGATCATGAAAATATAAACACGAGGATAGGAACATACAAATAATAAACAATAGATACAAGTCAATTGTAGACTCTAAAGCGATGACGGATTTATTTTACCAATACCTAGTATTATAGATGGCGTAGACGAGGGAATAGAAAGTGGTTAAAGTGTACATTACGCATTACATTGAAGGAACAAAGGAGATACTACTACAGCACAGCTGTGTCTAAAAGTTCTCTGCTGGTGCCTTTGGAGCCTGGCGTAGCCAAGTGTTAGGTGATTCATTTCTTCCTAGCCGCGCAGCGGCTTCGTGTTCCCATTCTTGAGCTTGGCGATAGACTACACTATCAGACATTTCAATCATTTCTCCATTGCGGTATTTCTTTGCACCGTCAAACCGGACTCCAGCTGCTTGTGAGAGCGTGGGACGGAGGTCTTTGCTGACTGGGATGTCAATACTTGCATCCTTCACAAAAGGTTGAGTATCCGAGTAGTATGTTAGTCCAGGAGTGGATGTCGATGACATACTGACTTGCTCAGAGTTTTTGCGGTGCATATGATAAGGACTATCTGTGTCTCGGGTGTGTTTGGTGGATGGCGCTGTGCTTACGCTGTGTGGTGTTATAGGTCTCATAGGCTTAGCACCTTCCATTTTGTCGGGGAGAACTGTGCCAATGGTAGCCTCTTGAATGGAAGCATCCTGTGACCGCAACATGTTGGCACTATTCGCATTGACTGCAGACGGACCAGTTCGATTATGGCTGAAGAGGTAGGAGCTGTGTGGATCATGAGTGGTGTTTCGTTCACCATAATCCTGATTGGGATGAAAAATGAGCACCATCACAAACCAGGCGTTGACAACGGTAAAGTTCGCTATGCAAATCAACAGATCAGCACTAAACCTAAAAATTATGGATTGCGAACGGTAGCACCAATGTATTTAGCCAACATTGTAGTCAAAGAAGTATTAGCATACATTACGGTTTACTCACTTGTGGACATTGAGGTAACGACTTTCCGTTAGATGGCTATGAAGATTTCAAAGTCAGAGTTAAGCATGTTAAATTAGGTGCACCAAATAAGATATTTTTGGATCCACTTACTCTGTGCTCAAAATAATAAAAGCACTTCCGCTGATCAAAAGCATCACTGTCAGTAGCTGATTTAACTCTGAAAAGTAGGTGATTTTTTCCAGAACTGATTGAGCGTTTGAGGAGTCTCGGGTTTGCTTGATAAGTCTTTTGAATCGACTATGTGTGAAGATCCCAATAGTACCAATAGCAAAGAGCTCAATGCCATAAACTAGCTCGGGAATAACTTCTTTGTAAGTGATATCATATTGTGGCCGACTGAAATTCCATCTAGAGACAAAATAAAACGGTCAACCTGTCTGTGCCCCAATCATGATGGCGCCGGCGCGGCACAGCAAAAAATGCTTACTGTAGGACAGGAAATAGTGCCAAACTGACAAAAAACCAAGTAATGTAGAGCTTGAACTCCCAGCTATACAAGAACGAAGCTTTGACAACCGAGTTGACCTAAATTTTGCATACATTAGTATGCATGCAACCAGCCAATTAATTTTTCTTTCCAATCTGAATTGCCTTACCAGATATTGCCAGAAGCACTGCAGGAGGAACAATGTTCCGCTATTCCCAAAGCGTAGAAGACGCATCAGCCTTAAGAACTCTTTTTGGGAATGTCTTTCTAATGTTGGCATAGTCTGTTACTTACGTTTGGATAGCAAACCCCACACAGAGACTGTAGTCTGTAGGAATGACTAGTTGTTCGTCGGCTGCGGTCCAGTATTGTTCAGGGGTCTAAAGGGAATTGAGGATATGGAAGGTTAGCTAACCAAGCTGTGGATGGGTTCCATCACATGGGTTAGTGTGAATACGTATAAACATACGGTGACTATGGAAGTGGTGTTATCGGCTCCTTGCATCATCATAAATCCCTCGTCGTATTTAATTTTAATGGATGTAAAATCTGTTCACATCGTTGTTAAAGTCTGCTTTTTTTAGGATGTACATCGTTCAAGAAATGGTTGACATTTACCATAATATAGTTGTGCCGGACACCCAATTAATACTAAGTATGTGAATATGCTTTTTAACTCGCCTTGCCTAAGCCGAGACGGTCTCAGGCATTGGAGTCTATCGAGCTAATGGACGATGTGAGAAATAGGAACAGATTGAATGCTGGTCGTTGCAATGCGATTTTACAATACCTTGGCAATGCGATAACAAGCCCATACGTATAGAAAAACCAAGGAAACAGCGCGTTCTTTTTATGAAAGAAGGTTAACGTTGGTGATTTGCTGAGCACGATTTTTATATGTAGGTGTTCGGTAGGTCTACATACGTAAAAAACTGAAGTCGCTCAAATGGGTCATGCTCAAAGAAATGAGAAGCGGTTGAAAGCACACTATTCTCGTTTTCAGATTGACCGATCTTTTTCAATAAATCATTATGTGTAACAACTTTTGCTCCCAGGACCTCTTTACCCCAGAATTGGGAGTACGACACTAGCGATGTGAACTTAAAAAATTCGAGTAGATTGGCCTAAGCCTTTCCTTTTTTTTTTTTTTGGCGAGCGATCTAAGAACCGACAAGCTAGAGATACGATCGTCGTGATTATGATCTTTGATGCCAACAGCATCTCTCTTTGCTTGACATCCAAGGTACCTCGTAAAATCGCTCTCACATTTTACTAGGCGAGCCGTGCGCTGCCAGGCTCTGCTGAAGCCGCCACAAAATATAAAATCGCAATGTCACCTCGTGTAACTAATGTCAAGACTCTACCTCTTCTGATACATTCGGCTCATTATTGTGTCTAAAAACAACGTGACATCTCCCACTCGGACCATGGCCCCCTCTAGTAAGTTTTACCTAAATCGATTAGCCTAAAGATATTATTATGCACACACTGAAGAGGATTTTTAAAATAAGTATTAAACGAAAATTGTATAATGACAAGGTATGCAATAAATAATAATAATAGTAATAGGTAGTCTGTCAATCATCCAGATCAAAATGACCTCTATATGCGTTTTTGGTCCAAACCTTCCAACTCTGGGAATAGGGCTATGAAAATTTCATCTAACATGGTATATACGAGTTGTTGGTTGAGTCTTTTGTTTTGTAAGACAGTAAAGAGTCGCCTAGCACCTTTTCGTGCATTCTGCCGCCCGACCATATTGCCAATTGTGTCTGAAGTGCAAGATGTTGAGTATGCTGGTTACAGCGTGGTTGCCCATTCGTCATTCTAACTTCTTCCTTACCTGGTAACCACGTTGACAATTTACGATTAGCTTCTTCCCTTTCTTTCATCTGTTGCTCGTGTTTTCTGGCTTCTTTTGGCGGTGCCCGTTCGCCATTTGGCCACAGCGAATCGGTGATCTTTTGCAAAGCAAGTAGAATCATGTCCTCACTTTGGAGCGATTTGGATGTCTCCCGAAGTTTTCTAGAAGGAAGAATAAAATTAGATCAGGTAAAGGACATTTATACACAGCTGGAGTGCGCATTCAGAGTTCCCTCCTTTTTACCTTTCCACAGTACCGCCAAAAAGTTGCTGCAGTACAATGATGACAGCTTGACGCCGAAGCCAATTATTTTTCTCACGAAGTTCGAACATCTCGATAAATAAATCGCAAAGAGAGTCAGTAAACCTTGTGGTACCTTCTGCTTCGGCCGATTTTCCAAACCCATCGATAGCTTCATTTTGCGGCTGAGTTGGAGTGGTCTGGGAAAGATTCAAACCTAGAGAAGCTGCAGCGGATACAACGGCAGCAGTAACATTATCAGACTCAGATGAATATTCGGGTGTTTGGCCAGGAACAAGAGGGGCAGTCGATGGATCCGCAGAAAATTCCATGACCTGTTGACCGAGTTGTTGAGTGATCAAATCCAACATGGACGGCCCCACTAACATATCGTCGATTCCTTGTGCCACCGTTTTGTATATATGTCTCATAAATCCCGTCGATCCTTGGTGCTTTAAACCGGGTCGGCCTTTCATTTGTTCCAAATAGTCTGTATCCATGGGAAGGTTACCAGGAACAAAGTCGCCGGTGTTGGCTCCAAAGGATCTGAAGTTTATGTCATCAATAATCTCAGATGAAACTGAGCTAGGTCGCGATCGTGGACGACCTCTAGTAGAGTGGGTGCTTCCACCGCTTCCAGTCCGCTGTAACGGCGATGAAGTAAATCCTCTACTGGATGATGCAGAATGGCTATCTGTAGGATCGGCATTGGTGGGTGCATATATATTCTGCTGTGATAAGAAGGCTCGTAGGGTAGCGCTTTTGCAAATGTCTGGACTCTTGATCAATTGCTGAAGGTATTTCTCCAAAGCAATTCTACGGCTTTCCACAAACGTTTTTTGTAACTTTAGAATGGCTCGCTTTCGTGGGAAGTCAAACATTCTAACCATAGGGTATTTTGCATACAATTGGCGGTGAAGTGCATAAAATTCGCTATAACGCCGCCCTACTACCCAACCTGAATCGTAGTTGCCATCATATCCAACTTGATGAATTTCAATGACATAGAGTGCATAATCACCATGGTTGTCTGTACCAATAGTAGAGTTGGTGATGCTAACATTTGTGCGACCCTATAATGAAAATGAATGAGGTTAATTTCGTGATGGCTACAACTAGACGCTAATATGTCCATCATTTACTTACAGGGACGAGCACGTTTTCGAACTCCTGGGATTCGTATTGGCTCTTTTGGTATTGAATTTGGTGCAGCTCTCGGATCAACGCATTTTTGCTCTTTTGAAGTATTCGAAGTTCTTCAAGTTTTTGTGCGGCTTCTGCTTTTCGAATCAAGGCATCCACGATCGATTCCTGTTGCGTCAATTTTTCGATGTCGTCGGATAGCTTTTCGATTTTTACAGCCAGCATTAAATCACCTGGTGGCGCTAAGTGAACGTCTGATAATTCGCCGTCTGCTGTTTTGTCAAGAGCGTCATGTACTTTGTCCAAGTTGGAGGAAACGCTAACGGGACTCATAAGATCCATCTCATCATGAGCCACTTCGGAGGTCATCTTAGAATTGTTAGCAGAAGTCCACGCGGGGGAAGCAGATGTATTGCTGACAGGCAAAGCCATAGATGATTTTGCATATTTGGATGGCCGAATCAGTAGAGAAGATCGATTGGATGGAGGCGTCATAGAGTCTGTAGACAGTTTTCTAGGTCGTGTGACTGGAGGAGACATCCGTCCATGTGGAAGAGGTGGTGTTGCTCTTGGCGAGCTTGGAGAAACTGGTGCACTGCGATTCGTTCTTTGGGATAAGTTATGATTATCGTCGTCTCCATCAGTGACATCCTCATGTTCGCTTAGATTCATTTCGCCGTTATCCATAATAGATTGAAATTCTGCCTCCACAGCCTCCACCGTCGCTGTCCGATAAGCTTCGCCTTGCAGTTGCAATATTGCGTTTCGGTCGGATTCATCCAAAGTTCCTACAGAGCTGGTCATGTTGTCATCTTCATCATATTGCCTATTTGTCTCCAAAGAATGAATCGAGCTGGATATCGAGAGCCTTTTCTTTTCTGTAGCGTTGGCTTGTGATTCATCCTTTCGTTTTCTGAAAGGATACCACTCACTCGAAGGTAGCCAATCATTTGGAGCTTCCAGGAACTTTCCGAAAGATTGGAACCGATTCGGATTGCCAAAGGAAGTGGTATCTGAAATAGCTCTCGAGTGGCCTCTTGCCCGACCAAATTGCGCGGCGGCATTCAACGGTCTCTTTGGGTGGACTGAAATTTCACCTTCTTCTGCATGATTGGCCTTAATGGCACCTGCTACTCTTGGGTGGTCGAGTTCAGAATCCGATTCAGCTCTCTCGCTATCGACTGAGTCCCATTTTGGTGACAAATGTGGCCTTGCAGACGCAGCGCGTTCTAATAGTAATGGCTGTTTTGACAATGATTCGTCTTCCTCTCTAATCAATTTAGCTGTAGCACTATCTGGTAGTCTGCTATCATCCAAGCTACGCCTGCTTTTAGTCGGCGGTTCGCGGTCAGAATTAGCATACGTTGTGAGATATTTGAAATACAAATCAGAGCGCTTGAAGGCCGAGAAGTCGTTGGTCTTGATATCTTGAAACACGATCTGTTGAATCGTGGCGAGAATGCGGCTAGCTTCCTTCCCAGCGTTCTGCAAAAAATTGTCGTTGACTTCTGAGGGATGCTGTATGTAATCTACAATGTGTTGCAAATCTTGATAGATATCATCGGGAATTGATATGCGGTGAACAGCTGTTTCAGAAAAGTACATATCATAGACCATGCGCACATCATCCAAATAAGCACTATCATTTCGTTCGGTTTGACCATTTGTACTCGTTTTGAATCCTTCAACCAAAAGCCAGAACTGAAGACGGATCATGTCGCCTCGTCTATCCATAAATTCCATGAAATAAGATAAGCCGGAGGAGTCGGACAGGACATCTTTCAAGTCAACAGTTTGAGCCAGCGAAACACTGGAGGTGTGCTCTCTCTGATTTGATCTGCTTCTACTGGATGTGCCCTGCTGTATCATTGAATGAAATAGAAAATACGGGTTACAATTTACAATGGCAATTTGGATATGAAGCCATTGAAGCTGCTTACATCTGTCAATTTCTCGCCTGTTAAAATCTCGATTCGTCTATCGGCGTAGGTTTTGGCGATGGTTAAACGATGTACATACTTGAGGATGTCTTCGACTTTTTCGCCATTAACAATTTCGCCTGGTTCTCGATCCACTATATAAACGTTTTCACGCGTAAGGTGAAGTACACGATTTGATTACATCTACAGGTCAACTTACCAATCTGGGCTTTCTTCTTTCTGATTTGCGTTACTATATCGTTACGAATTCTCTTGACATCGAGTAGGTTCTTTTCATCTTGGATCATCTTCAAGAACTCTTCGAAGGACCTGAGACCCTTATTGGTAAGACCAAATCCTAGCTGCGACTCCAGTTCCGGATCATACGGAAGCATTGAATCATCCTCATCATCCATTCCGGTGATTTCTCCTTGTCCTTTATGACGTAGCGCAGCGAGTAGCTCTTCATTTGTCTTTGCTGACCCTTTATGGTGCTTCGATTTGGATTTCTTGTGAGCTCTGGCCTCTGCTTTTGCGATAGCTTGCATGTCTTCGTTGTCCAGGTCTTCTGCATGTCGGTTTAATACTTCACGTAACTTCTTAACCATGTTCCTGGAAAAAAAATACCGTTAGGTATGTTATGTTTCACAGATCAAAATCTCATGGTCATCCTTACTGTTCTCTGATAGCTTTACTCAGCTGTATCATAAACCATTTAGTATATGATGAATAACATTTTCTCACTCATGGCTTAGTTGACTTACTTGTGTATTGATGGTTTGATTCCAATAATCTGGATCCGATAGCATATCACAAATTGGCTGTAGAACGACACATGCGACGATTTCTCTAGTGAGGACTGTTACAGCTGCTGATCGGCCTTCTTTTTCAGGAATAATCAGTGGTATAATGCGACCAATAACTTGGCGCAGATGGGCAGTTTCCGTGATCTTGGTACTAACGGCTGATGTCGAAAGAGCCACGTGCAATTTACCACCTCTATACTGTGATGCCAGCAACAAATCTAATTCGTCGGATTGCGTTAGTGATCGCTCCAACGTCTTTCCTCGCATATGCATTTCAGCCACTCGATAATCGGATATATGGGCCGTTATTTTAGGTATAATTCGATTGACAGCAACGTCCAATAGGTCGGTCTTTTCCAGTCGTTCCTTTAAGGTGAAACTGGCGGAGCGAATGGCGGATTCAACAGCCTGCGGAAATCCGATTTCGTTGGGCGACTGAGATATTCGCACGAACCAAGCACTGACAAAGTCCCGGATCAGCAGGGATATCACATTGTCAAAGCTTTGAGAAATGCTGACCGAGCTTGGTATAATAGGTGCCACGTCGATACGTTCAGTTTCAAGCTGTCGCTGAGCGAGTATCTCGGCCCACGTTTGAGTTTGTGTGAATGCAAGTGGTTTGAAAATTTGTAAACGCGAGCGTTGAGTGCTTGCTTTGACTTTTCTGTAGGCAGGATTGATAACGTAGTTGACGTATATGACAAGAATGCCAAAGTTGAGGGTAAGTAGCGACACTAGGCATGTGAATATCAGCACCACGGAGCCAAACACGTAGTAGGGAGTCTGAGGCAGGTATATGACTATCCAGCATAGTCCAAATAGCAGTACCAGTAAAAGGAGTACAAGCAGTGTCCTGCCTGCTAGCGATGTTATCGAGCCATTCATTCAGGGCATTCGCTCAAACCATGCAAAGAGGATCAGGCGACAAGCCCAAGGTATGCAGGAAAGGAAGTCACGAGATAGCGACACACCAGCCACTGATGCGCCACATTTGCCACTGCTGGTAGACATTTTTCGAACCAAAACTTTTTTTTTTTTTTCTTTCACCGGTCGTTGCCTAATTTCTTTGAATTCCAGTCATTCAAATCCTTTCCTTTATCTAATGTCTTCTGCACACAATAACTCTGTCGAAGCTCCAAAGGGAGCAACTGATGCTGTGCTTGTGCAGTCTGAAGAAATGCCAGCCGATACCCCACTCATTGAAGGACCTGATTTCAACAAGGTCTTGTCATTGTCGGACTTGCTCGCAACTTATAAACATATGGGCTTCCAGGCCAGTGGTTTAGGTAAAGCAATTGACATTGTTGAAAAAATGGTAAGTTAGATTGGTTATCAAAAGAATTGAATGTACTTCGTATTTACTTAATTTTTTGAATTGACAGAGAAATTGGAGATTGTCAGACGAACCCATCGCCGAGGACGAACCTGAAGAGTTTCGGGACCCTCAAGTCCGAGCCAATACCAAGTGTAAGATCTTCTTAGGATATACCTCCAACCTTGTATCGTCAGGAGTGAGAGAAATCATCAAGTTTTTGGTTCAACATAAGATGGTGGATGTCATCGTTGCTACTGCGGGAGGCGTTGAAGAAGACTTTATCAAGTGTCTTGCTCCCACTTATCTCGGTGACTTTGCATTGGATGGTGCAAGCCTTCGAAAAAAGGGACTCAACCGAATTGGTAACCTTCTTGTACCCAACAACAATTACTGCAAGTTTGAAGATTGGTTGGTCCCTATTCTGGATAAAATGTTGGAAGAACAAAAGGAAAAGGTACAAATCTTATATATTTATTGTGTCGAGCGAGTCAGATGTTTGGCATCCAATAATCATGATAACGATTTAGGGAACAGTTTGGACTCCTTCATCGATGATTAAACGATTGGGCGAGGAGATCAATGACGAATCCAGCATCTATTACTGGTGTGCAAAGAACGATATTCCAGTCTACTGCCCAGCCATCACAGACGGCTCCTTGGGTGATATGATCTATTTCCATTCCTACAAAAACCCAGGTCTCATCATCGATATTGCCGGTGATATTAGAAGCGTCAACAATCAAGCCGTATTTGCGAAGAAGACGGGCATGATCATTCTTGGTGGCGGCATCATTAAGCACCACATCTGTAATGCCAATCTCATGAGAAATGGAGCAGATTATGCAGTTTACATCAATACTGCCCAAGAATTCGATGGCAGTGATGCTGGTGCTCGACCTGATGAAGCCGTTTCATGGGGTAAAATTCGACTCAATGCCGAAAGCGTCAAAATTTACGCTGAGGCTTCTTTGGTATTCCCTCTCATTGTTGCTGATACCTTTGCAAAAGGACATCATGAGGAACAAAACAAAAAGGATAAAGCTCAATAGACATTTTCTATGTAAACGAATCTGGCAGCTTTGTACTAGTCATAGATTTTCTGTTCTTGTCTAATCTCTATCAATTGTATCATAATTTCCATCTTGTTCATAGACAATCATCGTTTAACATGACGGCCCTCTCAGTAATTTCCCTTTGAGAAAACATTGAATTGTCAGTGTATTGTATACCAGCATGATGCTCAACTACCAGTGTATTACAGTGTGCTCAGATATCAAGCTTGCTTATATGACATATGCTTATGTCTGGAGGTTAGCCAATTATCATCCATAGGCCACACCGGCTTGAAGCCAACGTTTTAGCTTTCGCAAGTCAGATCCGTTTATTTATATACATTTGTGATGTGAATATAATACTGAGAGACCTATTGGCTTGTCTGTACGATAACCGAGTTCAACAAGCCAGCATCTGCCAATGACACATTTTCATCTGCAAGAGGCTTAGGTGGGAAGCTACTTCGCAAGATATATGGTCGACTGGATTCACCAGGTCGTGAGCTGCAGATACCACATGTTAGTCATAATTGAACACCCCATCTTTTGGACAAACAAAAGGAAATACATACGCGTTGATGAAGTTTCGAACATCAGCAATGGTATGGGTGTGATTGAACTTGGCAACTAGCTTTGTTCCATCCGCCATACGGATTTGCAGTGAGGTGATGGGTTGAGTGGTGTCTACATCCAAATGAGTGGATTTAGGAGCCTTTGGTTGCGAAGCCGATGAGGAGGTTCGAGACATCACCTCGGGAGACGGACTGCCTAGACGATGACCTGCGCCTTCAAATGGTTTTGGGGGTGCCTTGGGGGGAGGGGTGTAATCTTCATCCAATCTCTTGGCAACTCGGACATCTACTGCTTGTCCAGGCTGGACATCGAGCAATGATAGTGGGGCCCGTCTAACCATAACTGTTTAACCAAATATACACACACACAAACAAAAATACATGTCGAGTTGCATAGCATAACCTACCCGCTATTGATGGCATTGAGGGCGTATTCATTTGCTGGATCATCATATCTGAGAAGGGGACCCTCGCCAATGCTAAAGCCGTTACGCCAAAAAGTCAACTGACGAGTAACCTAAAGAGTGAAGTAGGGAGAATTAGAAGACTATTTGGTGCTGGAGATTCGCTAATATCGGAAAAGTAAGCTTACCGGGACACTAGATTCTTGGGTTGCCTCAGATTGTGGGCCAGTACCAACTTGAATTGATGGTTCGTCATCACTTCCGAGAGTGTAGCCTAATATTTGGGGATGAGCATACCGTAGGTTGACCGACAGAGATGTCAATAATGCATTACCTGATCCTGAAAAGTATCTGGGCCTTTCCGGAACATCTTCATCTTGCGGTGGTGGTGCGCCAGCTCTTTTATCGAGAGTAAGTACTACTATCATGGAGACCCATCAATTACGATAAATGGTATCTTACTCTGAGGCTTTTTTCAAGATGTCATCAACGATGTTTCTCTGTTCGTTACCGTCCTTTCTAGGGGCTTCAACAAGCATGCCACTATTTAAAATTTTGATTAATACATTGACCGACGACCCGGTGAGCTCCTGCATACTTACGACTTCTCTCCGCCAGCAAAAAAGCTTTGAGGCTCGTCATCTTTTTCCACATCATCGCTATCAAAATCACGAATTGTTGCAACTCTAATTGATACAATTACAATATTAGCCATTTTGCACACGTATCAGGTCAAACTTCGTACCGACACGTCACCTCTTCTGTTTTGACTGAGCTTTGCTTGAAGACTGTCCCTCTGGAGCAGCATAGTTTTTTGAAGTTAGTGACTCATCCATAACGCTTGCGCTGGGTTCGGATTCCTGCTCGCCACTAGGATCAAAGTATTGACTGGCAGCATCCTACACGGTAAAGTATAGAGAATTAGTGAGCAAGCTGGGAGATCTGACTGTCAATGCAGGAGTCATACATACATTGATATCCCAGTTGCTCATTTCAAGATAGAACTTGGCTTTTTCCGCAGACATTCCGGTCATGGATGTGAGCTGCGCTATTAATTGATCGTGATCGGCCATTTCAGTTATTGATAACGTCGAAAAGGAACGCTTGGTGCGTTTTGCGTAAGCGGCCTAATTATTGAAATTCCGCATGACAAGCAAGTCATAACATGTCGTCAACTCCATTGACAGTATTTCACTTTATCGCACCCTTTGTCTCTTTTACCTATTAATTTTATTATTAAAAGCAGCATACTCTTTAGTGTTTTATTTGTATATAAGTTACTAGGTATGGATTCTCTGGATATCGATCATTTAAATGTTACAGCCTGCTGGTAAGTCATATCAACCAATATACAGCCAACATCGATGACTACAATGTCCAGTGTGCCATAAGCAACGACATACAATGTGCCTACGTATGTCTTTCAACATGAGCAGCAGATTGATGATAGCGGTAGCTCAATTCATACCAAAATGGCTGCAGATTTTGCTGAATAGCCTGCAGGCGGCTAAGAGCGATATAGTGCAGTTTCCCTGAACCTAGGAACGTCGGTATCGCGTTTAACATGAAGACCACTTGGCATTCATAAAAAAGTAAACATACCCCTAGGTTTGCCGACATTTCGAAACTCTTTATAATCTTTAGCGTAAAGTGAATCAATTTAAAAAGTAAAATTGTTGCAACAAACAAGATGCCAATGAAGCACTGATTGAGCAGCTCGTGCGGTATATGAAAAATTTACAATTCCTCCTCATCATCAATCTCGTCGTCGTCGTCGTCGTCTTCACCATCTATAGCCACATCTTGCTTGTCAGCGTCTTCGTCATCATCACCGCCCATTTCGGCTCTATATAACACATCAAGTAATATTCTTCTTTCCGTCCGTAACCGTCTCAGCTTCTTTTCTAGATCATTGCATTCGTCGGTCAGCATTTCGTTCTCTTGTGTAATATAGCTTAACTTTGCTTTAGCCAGTCGGTACTTGTCTTGGAAACTGAGGGTGGATTCCGCTTCATCATCAGACAAGGGTCGTAGTGCCGTGTTTGGTCGATGGGTAGATAGCGTTCGGTCATCATTAATCTTCTTTCGCTTACTTTTTGTTTCGTGAGTTTCTTCTGTTCGCTGATGCTTCACAGGCGACGAAACGACTTTTCGGCCTGGTTTTCCACCTTTAGCAGCAGAAGCTACTCGTGCAACTGGTGAAGTTCTAGGTTCATCATGTTCTGATTTCTTGTGTTTAAGCATAGCATCCATGCGACTGAATCTAGAAGAATTCAGGTATTAGTGGTCTCATTATCTATATGGCAAGTTCAAAAAATAACAGGAAACCGTACGTTTGGGTACAACCAGGTTGTGGGCATTCAAATGGCTTCTCTCCAGTATGCGTCCGCAAGTGCATAAGAAGAGCAAATCGACTATGGCTCTTTATATTCCTACGTGCACACCCATCCCATTCACAATAATAGTCAGGCCTTTTCCAGCCGATGTGTACTGATAGGGAGAGGTGAGATAAGTATTGCATGTCCTCTACGAGTGGATTCCTTTGATATATCGTACCTTTAGAGAGATGATTCGCTAGGTCAGAATGGCTATTGAATGGACTCATGCAGTTGTTCCAGCGACAAACGACATTTTCTTCGCCAAGCTTGTCAGGAGATAACTCGTTGGAGTTTTGGATGGGCTCATGCGGAGGAGAGCTGATTTGAATTTGTGGTTGTTCTGAATACTCTGAAGAGATTTCAGTGGCATTATCTGTTTGCATTTGATCCTGTTCTGGGTATATTGGTGATGGATCAGGGGAGGCAGGTTGCATCATTTGGCCAAATTGAAACAAGAGGTAAATCAACACTGAGCGCGTACGAAGTGATTTTGAGCGTCACAAATTTTTTATAACTGTGCGCCTTCTTCTTTATTAAATTTATGGGATTGACTAGTCTTCACCAAGATTTCTCCACACTTGGTTATTATCATCTTCCTCCTCATCATCTTGAACACCCCGTTCTTCCTTTTCGAACTGTGTCACATCTACGGCTACGTCACCTTCGTCCATGTAAGATGCATCTGATGAAGCGAGTGTCTTGTCTTGTTCAAAGAGCTGTCGACCGGTGAGCTTAGCTTTGCCATCTGTCTTGATCTTGCCTTTAGCTTCCTGCTCCTTTTCTGCCATTTCCTTATCAAATTTAGTTTTCCACGTCAAGAAGAGGTCGACCGTAACTGGTGTGCCCTTGAACTTTCTATTTTCTGCTTCTTCTGCCAATCTAACTCTAGCCAGCTCCGCCTCGATTCGTGCCTGCTTTCCTTCTGAGATCACCACATAAAGCTCTTCTTGTAGCATAGAGGCCATGGTAAAAATCATGGCCATTCCTATTGATTCCTCCGCCTATTATGAATATAAGTATAAGGTGTTTAGACTTGATCTTCCATTCCGTATTATGTTGAGGTAGCTGCCAAACTTACTGAGGCGGTTAAAGTGCTCATTATTCGTTCTCGTTGATCTTGTGTCAATTCTCCTTCTATCGATTCAACTTCAAATTCGGGAAGTTCGTCAGGGTAATTTGGTGTATATTTGACTTTTAGGGCCAAGACGCCTGTATGACGAAACATTGCCTTGTGTCAATACGATGCGTAGTTTTAGGCAAATGTGTGATATGTACGATGTCCTTACTCGGTGCTTCCTCATCCTGGTCTTCCGGACGACATATAATTCGGAAACCTTCGGCGCCAAGATCTGTTATCAAGGAGATTGCTGGTCAGATTATGTTTTTTTTCTATGCGTGAAAGTACTGCTTCATGTTACCTTCGAATTCGTCGGGATAAATTGACTGGAGCGCTTCAAGCTCATTTTGTTGTTCCTCGGCGTAATCTGAAGCCAGTTGATTAACGACTATTTAAACGTAAGGTTGAGCGAAAAGAACGGTAAAATACCTGTCATTGCTGAGAAGTGGTTGCAAATTAGGCGGTGGAGAGCCAGGTCACTTCAGTCCACAAAAATGAAATGTTGCGCTGTGACCGTGTTTTTCTCAGTGGTGGGAGGATGAGACTGCAATACCTGGGCTGAAGCAACCCTGTAAATTTTCGAAAGTTCAGGTACACATTTTACGCGATTGATAAAACAACATTTGTAATAGAAAAAAGTAGCAGTTTATATAAAAGAAATATATGAAAGAAAATAAATTATTTCTTGGTAGTTGATGACCACGAATTACATGAAGTTTGTCAAGAAGGCGCCGACAATGCCACAAAGAGCAGTGGCAAAGACAATAGAAGCTTTTCGTGAGACAGGTACAGCATCACTAGAACCGGTTACAACATTAGAGCCAGTAGCGGCAGGTGCGCTAGTACTATTATTAACGCCATTCGTTGATTCATTCAGAATGCTTGAAGGGTCAACGGTGTCAATATCGGTTCCTACAAATGCAACAGAGGTGGGTGGTAGTTTAATGGTGCAACTGTCTGCGTCACATTTTACTGTCTCCAGTTGCAAATCGCCTTTCAGTTGACCGTCAAAGGAGCCGCTGAAAGTTTGACCACCCCAAGTAATGTTGTTCTTTTCTTCATAGTTTGATGCCAATAATCGCTTAACCTTGACCTCGGAAGGCATGGAGCTCCAACCTCCTTTGAGTATATAAGTGGCATCTTGATTTATATCCGTATTGAGGAGGACAGCATACTTGAAAGAGTTGTCATGGAAAACACCGTAGGATGACAAAGTGCTTGATCCGAGATCAATGTTTTCAAATTGAGCTTGTTTGTCCTTGCCCACGGCCTCAGAGATAGCTAATGAGCTGTAATAGATAGGTGCAACCTCCCATGCAGAGTCAATATTGTACATGGGATTATATAAAGTAGTTTTTCCTCCTATTTGTAGTGACACGGATGAAAAGCCGATGGATGCAAGGTACAAAATCCAGTCAACTGCCCAGAGAGCGGATACGAATGTATCACTAACACCGGGGATACCGCCACAGGCAGCCGTGTTTGTCTCTCCCATGATGAGTTGCTTTCCAGCAGCATTAATTGTCTTTGCAGATTCTGTATACAATGCCTTGGGGTTCTTGATGATCCATTCGTGATTGAGATAATCTGTGTAGTCACCCTTTGCTTTTCCAAAGCAGTTGTTGGAACTGTACTTTTGAACAGTGATAGAATTGAGATAGTTCATATTGTTGCCATTTGACATGAAGTTAGATTGCATAATATCAGAGACATTCCAGTCACAACAAATGACAGCACCGGTGAAAATATCCTGTTTCTTGAGGGCAGGTGCGAACTGTTCATGAAGGGTGGAAGCCCAACTTGTCCATTCGTCAACATACTGAGGAATACCCCAATCGGGTGTACGAACACCATGCTTGGCATATAAATCTGGTTCATTACCAATCTGAATGGCAAACAAGTGGTCACCGAGAGTTTCGACAGCAGCCTGTCCCAGGTACTTTGCAGAGTCCATATTTTTCGCATCTTCGAAGTTCAGGCCATACATCCATTTAGCACCAGTGGCTGAACTGACGCCGTTCATGACATCAAATAGCTTCTTTGACACCTTGACATCAAAAGTCGTTGCACCACTGTTGATGCGTGGAGCTACTACTTTAGTCTTTTCAATAGCTGACTGGATATTTTCATCCGGATAGGCAGTGTCTTGCGAATTTCCACCAACCTAAAAAATTGTAGTGTTATTGTTCTGAAGCTCTCATAAAGTTAATACTATGCCAATACATACACGCAATAACAATGAGCCGGTTCTATCTCTGACATTTCTCAGCAGCTGCATAAAAACTGGATCGCGATGGTTTTCGTCTGATCCAAAATACTCGTTCATTGAGGTCAACTCCATAGAGAACCCATGAAAGTGATTGGGAACCTTAACATTGCTTGAGGATGAAGGCAAGTTGACGGTCACTTGCTGCTGAGCCAAAACCCCAGCAGAGAGTAGTAGGGAAGCTGTAATAAAACCGTACGTCTGCATTGATTTTAGACTTGTATATTCGATGTTAAATGAGGGATAAGCAGCGTCCTTGACCAAAAATCATGTGCTAACTTTCCAAAGAAAACAGCTCTTATAAGTCATCTCATGAACAGGTTGGAAATTTTAAGGCCAAATAGGTCAGGGTGGAAAATAGCCTCGGGACATCAATGGAAATGAAAATCCAGCCCCACAAAATGGTTGTTTTAAATTTTCCGGTCCCTCAAAAAAAACCCCCTCGATATCTTATCATAATCTCGCTGACAGCCAACGATGTCTCCACAAAAAAATGGGTTGCATAATTAAACATTCCTTTCTATTGGATCTAAATTGTTTTTAAGAGGAGCCTTAGAACTACAATCACACAGGGATTTTGGTGCCTAAATGTACCGCAAGCTGATCATGAGGCGACATAAATTTTCCGCAAGACAATTTTCGTTCAGGGATGCATTGGAGAAATGGTGCTTTATTCTTCTTGCTGTGGGTCGGCATTTTGTGTCATAACTCGAGCGATCTGAAGTACAGGGTCGCATGTTAATTTCAGTCAAATGACCCACGAATTTAGATCACTCAAAAACGAACAAACTTACCTCTTCTAAATCCTCCAAGTCCCAATCCAAAAGCGTTTTCGATAATTGGAAGTGATGGAGTTCGCGGGCCAGGGTTTTCAACACATTATCACTAAGTGATAGGGTCTGATTAGTTTTCATTTAAAATAGTATGTACATCAAGAGCCATGTAATTACCTCGATTGTTGAATCCATATACAATAGTCATCAAGCCATATTTTGCTGTAGATATAATAAATATCATGATGGTCAAACATGTCTTTGATCTCTAGTAGAGCTTTTAAGATTGCACGTTTTCCAAGCTTCAAAAGTATATATACATCTTGAAGGATTTTGTCGCAGAGTTTGTAATTACGGTATAAAGGGAAGGCTAATGCACGACGATAGCAAGAAATAAGTGTTTCTTGCAAAGTTGAGAATTTCTTTGTACAATAGAGAACTGTTAATACGGAGTGACAAAGATATTATATTCCACTGCATCAGTATATAGAGATATCAACACGTTTACCTCTAGACCAGCAATACTAGGACTCAGCTTTCCTATTGTCCACACCGACTCGACTGTATCTTCGCCTTCGGTCTGGCGGTGATTGTAGCTGTAGGCAAACAGTATATCAATCAGGCCAAGATAGATGCTTTTCTCATTTGAAAGCAAATCTATAGGCGGTAAAATTAGCTCGTTGTTCCTACAGTGACCATAGATGACGGCTCATATAACCTACATTCTCTGTTAGGCATTGTACGCATAATAGAGTTTTCTTTTTCGGTAAACTCTATTAAACTTTGCGAGTAGTCATTGATCTCAAGGTTTCCCATAGTCAAATCTGCAATGTCGCTATTACTTTCCGGTACGACTTCCTGAATCAATTGCACTGAAATACGCAGGCATCAATACAGAGCCAATAAGTATAAAGGCATTATCGACATGATATCATTCAACTAGTGGAAAAACGCACGTACCTTTCGATTGTTTCTCTTCAGCTGCCGCCTTTTTCTGAATCCTCTTCAGTTCTTTCCACCAAATAGATTTATACTTGATAATATCGTCTATCTCTTCGGTATTTACAAAATCGTTCCTGTTGTGATAGCACTTAGAAACAGGTATCCAGCCAAGTTTACGGGCAATAAAGGGGCGCCATATACTTACACATAGTAATCTTCATCAAATTTGGCGTTTTCCTCGTTTACCCGGTCTTCTCTTCGAGATTCAGCTGTGGACTTTTCAGGGCTTTGTACGCAATTGATTTCGTTGGCAGTTTCATCAACATGTGTGAAGTAGTGATTATATTGACTGTTGAAGCCGTATGTTGTAGTACTTGTAAGAAGCTCCTCGGTTGGAAGCTCCTGTGGTAGTTGCCAGTCAAATTCAGCCGCTAATTATAATTGGAATGGTTATTAAGCCAAGAAAAAGATGAACTGAAAATGGGTTGGACACCATACCATCCATGATCTTGTCTTCTTGCATTTCGGTAGTACTGCTTATGACTTCGATTAAAGGCTTTTTGGGTGTGGATTTCACTGGTTTCACTTCACCACGTCGAGCCAACAGCTTTGTAAGCAAGTCCAAGTCCTCAAAATGCTCTCCTGCTGTTTCCTTGGTGACCATTATGGTGAAAATGCCTGTTGCTATGTCGTAATTGGCGGTGGATTTTTCATCCTCTATGATATTGCCAGGTAGTTGTAACCTATATATCGAAAAAATGCGATTTACATATGACAAAAAGTGACTTTAGAGCTTGCACATGGTTCAACAAGTCCAATAAAAGCGTACCGTAGAAAGTAAGGTTTAAGATAAAATTTGAATTCACTACCCTCGACAAACAGATCAACGTCTTGAGCCTGTTGGCATTATCAGTGTCAAGTTTCGACATCACGATTGCGCCATGTTAAATCAAATTACATACTCTGACGTGCGGCGTGTTTATCTTGATAGTAACACTACTGTGATCCTGCTCTACGGTGAATGCTGGAGTGATCATGCTTGACAGTGAAAAAGTCAAGGTTGGGGACTGCCCAATTTACCTCAAGCAGTCCGAACCGGACCTTGAAAAATTTCAGGTGAGGGTTCAAATTCTTGTGCTGAGACGATAGGTACCAAGCAAAACAGAGGAATCACCCTGAAAAAGAGTTCGAATGCCAAGAAAGAAACTACGAAAGCTACATGACAGTACTAATATATTACCAGATTCGTCTAAAAGACGTAGTCGATTGAGCAAAGTGGACTATTCAGAATCAAATACTCGGACTGATCGACCACGACCAACCCAAGCCAACAGTGATTCTGAATTCTCAAAGTCATCTGATAGCGAGGAAGATAAACCACGAACTCCAGCCAAACCTTTTCGATCATCCATATTTAATACGCCAACGCGTCGAAGCTTAAATCTTATAGGTGCTTCGCCCAAGCGGACGCCAAAGAAGCCGCTCCTTGCTTACCGAGCGGTTCAGAGGTCAGTTAGAAAATTAAAAGCGTCCACGATATGCGACATTTTTGCTTACAATTCAGCTTTACAGAGTGAATCAAACAAACGAAATAGTACCACTACCAAAGCGGTCACAAGAAGCGGCGGCTGCATCGACTTCCTATGAACGAGCGAGAGAGCGCCTACACGTTTCTGCTGTACCTGATTCTCTACCATGTCGCGAGCTCGAGTTTGAAGAGATTATGGCGCATGTAGAAACAGCTATAGAGGAAGGAACTGGAACATGTATTTGTAAGTTTTTGGAATGATATAGGACGTTCTTTCATGTATGATTCTCACAATCCATCACGATTGGTATAGATATCTCTGGTGTTCCAGGAACAGGGAAAACAGCAACTGTACTGGAAGTTATAAGGCACTTGCAACACAAGTCAGAGAACGAGGTTTGTATATAGTACTGTTTATTTGAAATATTCCATGGTTTCCTTTGTTTATAGGCCGCTTTTAGAATTTAGGCAAGTTTCAGTTTGTGGAGATCAACGGCATGAAGGTGACAGAACCAAGTCAGGCCTACAGTATCTTATGGGAGTGCGTCAAGCCCGACGATCCGAGCTCAAAAAAGAGACGAGTAACAGCAAATCATGCTCTAGATCTCCTGGAAAACAGATACAATACGTATGATGAGGATCGCCAAACAACGTATGGAACATTTTTATTCACCATGCGTTGAAAAAAATACTGATCAATGACTAACGCGTTTATTTGGAAACATGCAGTGTTGTGTTGATGGATGAGTTGGATCTGCTGGTTACCAAGAAACAAACAGTGATGTACAATTTTTTCGAGTGGCCAAACCGAGCCAATTCCAAGCTGATTGTCATTGCGGTTGCCAATACTATGGATCTTCCTGAGCGAATGCTGAGCAACAAAGTGTCAAGTCGATTAGGTGTGTTGAGCGGCAGGATTATAAATGTTGTTGTCACCGTATCTGATCATCCTACTCCTGTCTCTTAGGCTTGACTAGACTCAATTTTCAGCCATACACCCATCATCAGTTATATCAAATTGTCGAGTCTCGACTGGATGGCATTGAAGAATTTGAAAAAGAAGCGGTAGAATTTGCAGCTCGAAAAGTCAGCGCGGTCAGTGGTGACGCAAGACGAGCATTGGATATCTGTAGAAGAGCTATCGAAATTGTGGAAGAACGGGTTAAAAAAGGAAACGCCAAAGCCCCAAAGAGTAGAAATGTCACGATTCCTGTGATCAACGAAGCAGTTCGAGAAATGTTCAGTTCTCCCACTGTAACCTTTGTTCAGCAATGTTCGTTACACCAAAAACTGTTTTTGGTGTCGGTGCTGAAATGCATTCAACGGAACGGATTAGCCGACGTCGAATTCGGAGAGGTTGCACAACAGCATGTACAGACCTGTAGATGGCACCACATTGAAGCACCAGGAACAAGCGATCTTATGCGTGTATGTGAAAGTCTAGGGCAGACAAGGGCCTTGGTGGTGGAAGGCGGTCGACTGGATTTAGGCATGCGAATAGCCCTCAATATTTCAGAAAGTGATCTCATCATGGCATGCAAAGGTGATAAGCTCATTGGAAAATTAGTGTCAAATGCTTAATATTCTTTGTATGTGTAATGTAAAATAAAAATTTGTATGCGACGAATATAAAAATCAAATTATTGCACTGCAACTGCTGTATGGTATAGAAATTACTGATTGCCAAGTTTAAATAGATTTGGTGTATGTATAGCTATGTTCAGAGGGTTGGGTAGCGGAATGTAGAAAACGGTATGTACAGAGGGAAGAGGATTTGATAAGAAGTGTGATGGTGCCAGCTATCATGCTTCGAGTGCTTGTTGATACGTTGGTGGGCTACATTCATCATATGCTGGCAAATTGTCCTCGTCGCATAGTTGTTCGTTCAGTAAGAATCGCGGCTTAAACCTCATTCCACTTTCGCAGAGCACTTCCCGATCAGTATAGGAAAGGAGCTCACGTGGAGGAGATATGCCTCTTCCTAATGTTCCAACGGTGATAGGAACAGCAAACTTGATCTTGTGGCGGAATAATGTGTTGGACTTCAGGTGCACAGTCACGTATAGCTGATATAGGATTTTCAGGTGAGATGAATAGGAAATAGAGGGAAGAGAAGTTTTTGGGATGCATAATTCCATAGATAGCGTCTCTGGCAGTGATTGTGGAGCAGTTGCTTTTGTGGTAGAAATATCGTTACGCTCCATTCTGTAGTATCCATCATAGCCAATGGTGATGATTTGTTTCAATTTGGCTTGCACGCTGACAATCTTATTATGGGTACACGGACCATTTGGCGTCAGCCGTAGTTGGAAAGAGGCAGTTTCGCCTGCTAGGAAGCCTGTTTCTGGCACGATGATTTCACCCATCACATGGTCAACGCCTTTGGCTTCCGTGTGTACCTCCTTATGCAAGCTAGTTGCTATGAAGGGCATAAATTCAATAGGATAGACATCTGTGTATTCTGGCAAAGAGTCGGTAGCTCGTACGACGGCGGTTTGGAGTGAGAAGAAAGATTGGTAGCTCTGATTTTGATATGTCATATTGTAATTGACCATGGGCAATTCAATCGCGAATGGGTAAGTGTATGTGCCGGCTTCAAGTCGTGGCCATTTGTTTGGATTGGGTTCTTTGTGTTTTAACCCCCAGAGATGAGTCTTAACTGCAAAGACATGTGTTGGAGGAGGGTTGCTTCCCCACCCTGTTGCTCCATATTCCAGGCGTTCTGTCAAATTGAAATGGAATACGATTAATCTCTTTTGTTTTCAAAGAATGACGGTCAAAGGTTTAAGCTTTGCCGTTTGTAAAATGATTTTCAATGCATACCTGATGATCTCAAAATAATTTTCAAGTGTTGAGCTCTGATAGCAGAAGCAACATAAAAGGTGACAGTTCCATTGATAGTGGATCCAGGATAGAAGACCCGTCGGCCATCAGGATGTAAAACACCAGAATCAGGAGTCAATGTAATCTTTGTAAATGTAGCTTGCTCATCAAGGCTTGGTCGGTAATCAATTGATGATGAAATGCTGGCCCTAGCCAATGATGCGAGAGGCGATGGCATTGTGAAAATTATTCAAAATCTTTTCAGAAGACTGTTGTTGTTTTGATCTGATCTAATGATAAAGTTGGGGGAAGACGGCACCTAAAACGTCCTTTATATATGGAAAAAATTGACCGACATGGCGGGTATAATGACAGTATCTGAGATTATAAATAGGGTTAGGTGAAGTCTATGTGGTGGTGGCCACCGTCTGGACTGCCAAATGACTCATGTACCGCAGTCGCATGATTGACAAAGCATACTTTCATTATTGAACCAACGCTCAACTTCAACAAATGTGATTTAATGATTACTTGAATCAAAGTTTTCTTTAGTTTAAACTCTTTGCTTTAATTATTCATGCATCCAAAAAGTATCGATCATAAACATTTATTAATAATCTAACGATGATCAATTTCTGTGACGGGTTAAATCATCTGAGAATTCTCATAGGGTGGCATGGCTTTTAGAGGATGAGGGACAAGAGCACAGGCTATATCTCCCCACCACTCGTTCGCGTGTCTGGAATACCATTCAACTAAGGTGTGAGAGGGCATACCAAAAATAGACGTACAAAGAATGACATGTGGGGGGGGGAGGAGATGAGCAATCGAAAGTCAGAGGATCTCCGTGCATACGGGCAAAAGGTAAAAGCATCTAAAAAACTTACTTGACTTGACTAATCCAACATCAAACGGGGTTTTTGGCCGCCAACCTAATCTTTCCAGCTTGGAACAATCTACGGCATACCGTCTGTCGTTAAAAGCTCGATCTTGCACGAATTCAATGTGCTCATCCATCTTATCTTCCAAGCCGAATAATCGGATCAATCTTTTAGCCAAGTCCAGATTCGATATTTCGAATGCTGACCCGATGTTGTATGACTCCCCCACCTGTCCTTGGTGGAAAATGGTATCCAATGCGTCCGCTACGTCTCCAGCGTACAAATACTTCCTTGAGTTGCTTCCGTCACCGTGCACAAAGCTAAAAAACCATGGGATGAGATGATTAAATTTGGATCATTCCATCTATTCCCTTCTATTGCACGTCTTTAAGCTTTCTTTTTTTCTCTCTTTCTCTTTCCCTTACCATCGACCTCCTCTCAAAAGACTGCAAATGAATTTGGAGCAGATTTTTTCTGGGTATTGGTATGGTCCAAAAACATTATTTGAGCGAGTAATTAGGATAGGCAGACCAAATGACATGTAATAGGCCTTGACTAAGCATTCAGCTGCGGCTTTAGTGGCTGAGTATGGGTTGGATGGTGCAAGAATAGTGTCTTCAGGGCAATCAGGCTATGCATGGGAAGCCGCAAAGTCGGTATATCGGGGTTTAGGTCTCAGACAAACATGTATGATATCATTTGTGACTAAAGTTTTACTTACACGACTGACCACTTCACCGTAGACTTCATCCGTACTAACATGAATAAATCTTTTGATTCCATGCACTTTGGCAGCTTCCAAGAGAACATGCGTTCCCATTACATTGTTCCTATTGAAATCCGATGGTTCCCCGGAAAGGATTACTTAACCAATGGTGTAACATTATGTATGCTATTGTTAGGCTCCGCACTTACTTTGTAAACTCGAAAGAATCACCAAATGAGTTGTCTACATGCGTTTGAGCTGCCAAATGGAAGATAACATCGATCTGCTTTTCTTTGAGAAGGAATGCCATGAAGTCGGGTGAGGTAATATCGCCCTATTTGACATGTCAGCCACTTGGAGTCAATTGTTCATCAAAATTTTGGACCCTGAGTGACACACTTACTCTAATGAACGTATAGTTAGGGAAATTGCCAAGGGACTTTAGACTTCTGGTTGAACCACAATAGTCTAGTTTATCGACAACATAGATGTGATACTCCGGGTACAAGACGACCAGTTTGCGAGCAACAAAAGATCCACTAACCACACCATCAAGAGAAATTGTGAGTTACAGTTGTATGGACCGGCAAGTTACCTACTATTTAATGGCTAGAAAGCCAGCTTACATGAATCCTGCACCGCCTGTAACTAAGATGTTCCTGACATCTTTCAGGTCGGATGCGGTGTTCTTCTGGCGAGATCCAATGTCAACTAGGTCGAATTGCGAGATGTACTTCGAGACAAGTTCAGCATGCTGCTCGTCAAGATCAGCAGAACCGAGATGTTTGCCATTGACAGTGTTGGCTTCTGTATTCAGCGACTGTGAGTCGTTATCTGGTGGAGCCATATAGAAAAGACGGAGTAGTAAGAGAGGTGGAAGGAATGTGGAGTGACAAAGACGGCAACCGGGTATCAAAAAAAGTTCCCCTCTTCCCGACCTGCCAGAGATCACAAAAGCACGTCACGCCTCATCCACCCATTGCTTTTTCTGCTCTTCTTGCCCATAATCCGATGCAGCGCACCATTTTTCTGTTACTGTCTGTGTTCGTCATCACACAGCTGTTTAACTATGCCTGGAGTACGCGGAAACATTCATCACGGTTTATAAAACGTGCTGATCCAGTTAATACTTGGGCTGAGAAACAGGTATGCCGTACTAGCCATGCGAAACGAGATTTTTTAAGGATTTCAGAAACTCTGACACTTCGATTCTCTTATAGTGCGACAACATTTGGGAACATGAGGACCAATGTGCCTATGTTTTGGAACACTGTTCTGAAACTATTCCTAGCCTTATAAACTATTTACAGTGGTACTATTGCTCCGGCTCAGTAAAGCCTCTCGTTTTAATATGCTTGGTAAGTTGCCTGCGTACATCCAAGCACGAGCCAATATTTTTGCTCATTACGAGTATGCTTTGATTAGTCCACCTGGCTTCTGTTTTTATTTGGTTTTGTTGGCATCGCAGCATCCGACTTTTTTTGTAAGTTTCTTTAGAACATTTGAGAACCTGTCATGTTCCATATTTGACCATGGCTTTCAGGCCCCAACCTCCAGACACTTGCTGCAGCATTACATCTATCAGAAAGCATGGTTTGTACAATTCGTATACGTTACGGGGAATAGATTCAATCCAATTCTCATCACTATCTGTACGTAGACTGGCGTAACGTTCTTGGCATTTGGTAACGGTAGTCCGGATGTGTTCTCTACGTTCAGGTACGCAGCACGTTAATTTCAGTACTTCTGCTGATGCGAAAGAAGGCTAACAGAATGTTCAAAGTGCCATGCAATCCAATCTTGGCTCTCTTGCTCTCGGAGAGCTAATCGGAGCTGCGTCATTCATTGTCAGCGTGGTAGCTGGGTAAGGCAAATTGTAGTGAGGCGCATTGACTTGTTCTAGCATTGACAGCATTCCACACTAGAACTATGTGCGCAATTCGACCTTTTCGAGCAAAGCGTCTCAGTTTCTTACGAGATGTTTCCTTCTTTACCGTTGCTCTCATTTTAGTGCTTCTCATCGTTGCGGATGGACTGATTCATCTCTATGAAGCCATCATACTAGTGGTCTATTATGTCATATATGTTGCTGTGGTTGTCGGTGGCAACTACTATGTCAAGCGACGTTCAGCTTATATGAATTTAGTCGAGAGAGCGAGAGCAGAATACGAGGACAGTGATGGAGATATGGATAGATTACTGCGCATAGACCATCGTGACTGGCGAGACGAAGATTCAGGAGAGGATGAAATGGAACTGTACGATGAAGGGTTTGAAACAGAAGGTTTTGGTAGTCATTTATCTACTCCGTCATCAGCAAGGCATGACGCTGCCCACCCAAGCCAACAATCAAAACTCCACATTCGATCTTCCTTGTTTGCCGCACTAGAGGTGACTACTTTAGCTATTGAATAAGGCGCTTCTTGACAGATTGTGGCTAATTATGTATTGTTTTTCATAGTTTCGAGATGTAGTACAATCTCTGGAACAAGCAAACGCCAGGCGACATTCCACCGGTGGCCTTCGAAATAGAATCCACCGTGTCTCGCTACAAGCTCAACGTAGTTCAGCCAGTCTTCACACCATCAATCACCCTGAAAACTACCAAAACCCGCATTTGGAGGATATGGAAAACGATGAATTGGATGGTGAACAAGTCGAGAATAACAATATTGAGCACTCTACTGAGGAACAAATTTCAGCATTCCCGCAACCTCAGGATCATGTGGAAAGACAGCTCGACGCTGCTTCCCTATCGACAATAGCGAAAATAAGCTCAAAGATATTAGCCGTCCTGCATCCAGTAACAAGTCGGATACCTATGGCAAATGTTGAACTCCCAGAAATGGAAAAAGTGATTATAACCTTGTTCCCGTCTTTGATCAAATTTCGAAAGAAGCCATTGTATTCCAAGATTAGCTCTATTCTCTCCGCTCCCGTCATCTTCCTTTTAACAATCACCCTACCTGTGGTCACAGAGGACTCCCTTTCTTCGTCATCCGGTGGCGTTCACTTGGATGAAGACTCGGAAGCAGTTTTGCAAAACATGGATGAGGATGATATCCTCGTAGATTTTGATCCTTCGAACAGTTCGTTGGAATGGCAACGATGGTTAACAGTTACACATCTTTTAATGTCTACTCTATTTGCCTCTCTTGTTCTCACTTCTCTTGGTCTTGGTCCCGCGGCCCTCATAATCCCTATCTTTGTGGCCACTGGTGCTGTCCTGTCAGTGTTGCTGCTCTTGACGACATCAGCTCACAGACGGCCTCCCCTGTTTTGGATGATGTGTTTTGTAGGCTTCATCGTTGCTGTTTTGTGGATATATGTTATCGCCAACGAGGTTGTTGGTGTTTTGCAAACAATCGGTTTTGCTCTTGGTATTAGCGATGCTATCCTTGGTCTGACCGTGTTTGCTATGGTAAGTAAATGATGACTATGCTTATGCAATTCGTTCGGAATGGTTCTTTACTCATATATACATATCTCATTCAGGGTAATAGTTTGGGTGATTTTGTAGCCAATGTTACTATGGCCAGAATGGGATATCCTATGATGGCTATCAGCGCATGCTTTGGAGGACCTATGCTTAGTAAGTGACAGGATATTAAACTTTTATTTTAACGCTTCGTCCTAACGGCCTCTGGTAGATTTGTTGTTGGGAATCGGTATCAGCGCAACGTATGTCACTACCCAACGAAATGAACCTTATGCCATCGAAGTCGGACCCACGATAGCAGTATCTGGCATAGGACTTCTGGTCATTCTCGTATCTGCTCTCATTCTGGTACCTCTTAATAAGTACAGAATGTCCAGATCATTTGGATATGCCTGGATCGCCATCTATATCATTTGCACTATCATCAATGTCTCGATTGAAGTGTCCAATCGATCCTAGCGAACTCATAATTCTATTTACATATCCGCCCTTATCATGGATGGCTTACCATTATACACCTTTAAAGATACCATACTTTCCCTTGTACAGTAGTGTAGAGACTTTCAAAGGAAGAAAGAAAAAACTAAAAAGAGCTATTAATTTGGCTACTTGCAAAAAAGTATAAAATTTCACTCGCCGCGACTTGTGACAAATTTAACTGACTGCGACAGCGCTACTTTTCACGGCATCGATCACCTTAAATTCAATACTGTTGGATTAATCATGAGCGACGCTGGAAATTGGTGCTTGATTGAAAGCGATCCAGGTTTCTGTCTTTCCAACTAGATAATTTATCCATTTCGTGTTGTAATTCCACTTTGCTTATCTACGTTTGCTGCCTAGGTGTTTTCACTGAGCTTATTAGCGGCATGGGCGTGAGCGGCATTCAAGTTGAAGAAGTGTTCAGCTTGGACGAGACCTCCTTGGACAAATTGAAGTAGGTTTTACAATAATGAATACGCTGGTGTAGACGCATCAACAAGTATACTCATTTTTGTCTGCCGTTGTCTATGCTAGACCCATCTATGGCTTGATTTTTCTGTTCAAGTGGCAGGGCGCTCAGTCCTCTATGCCACACCCAGATAGCCAGGATGATGCCAATGATCATGTCTTTTTCGCAAAGCAGATCATCAATAATGCATGTGCAACCCAGGCTATCTTGTCCATTTTGATGAATAATTCGGATATAGAACTTGGCGATGATCTCAGTAACTTCAAATCCTTTACTGCCGACTTTCCACCGGATGTAAGTTTTGTCTTTTGAAACTTTTCTGCTTCATAGTATAGGTCTAATACCTTCTATTTATAGCTCAAAGGTCTTGCTATATCCAATAGTGACCTCATTCGAAGTGTTCACAATAGCTTTTCAAGATCGGATCCATTTATTAACGAAATGCAAGACTCGTCAGCACAAGGGGACGAAGACTTGTTCCATTTTATATCCTATGTCCCTGTTCATGGCGCTTTATACGAATTAGATGGCCTTAGCTCAGGGCCAGTCAATCTAGGTATGGAGTGAAGGACAGCGTTTATGTATCCTACTTGAATGCCTAACCCGCCTATTTCAGGACCATGCAATGAGGAGAACTGGACAGAGAAAGCTAATCAAGTAATTATGGAGAGAATGAGAAAGTATAGCGAATCGGAAATCCACTTCAGTTTGATGGCTGTGACCAAAGACCGAATAGAAACGCTTCAGGAACAATTGGATGAATTCAGCGGGCTGCTCATGTCACTTGGAGACGCGGATCAAGAACAACGGAGAGAATTTGAATCCCAAATCTCTATTTTACAGTATGAATACGAACAAGAGAAAACAAAGCGGGCCAGGTGGAAGGTGAGTCCTGGGAATATTATTAATAACGTTCCACTCAAACTCCTGGCTGACATATGCTGTCATTCTAGCGTGAAAATCAACTTCGCCAGCACAATTTCATTCCACTCACTTATAATTTGCTTCGAATTCTTGCCGAGCGTAAGAAGCTTCAGCCTTTGGTCAATGCTGCAAAGGCAAAGAAACGATTAGAAAGGGAAAGATCTGATAAGAAATAAAGACCTTTTTCGTAGTTTACAAGTTCCGCGCTACAATTTTCGTCCGATGTGTCATTCCCAATTTTTTATTTTTGTTTTATTTTCTTCTCCCCCGGGCTTTTTCAGCAACACTTCTCACAGGCACAAAAAATACATTATGTCTACTAATCACAACGCGATACAGTCCACGACTACCTACGAGAAAATAGCCTCGGCATGCACTGGTGCTATCCTGACATCCATCCTGGTGACACCCATGGACGTTGTCAAAATGCGACTACAAACACAAGCCATGAATGCAGCGGCTGCCCAGAATTACAAATCAGCAAAGTCGTTCTCCTCCGTCTGCTGCATGCCCGCCGACTTGAAGAAAGTAGCGGGAGAGGTCTGCAAATGGAACACCATTCCACGACATGAGCGAAAGCGCCTTTCTCCTACTAAACTTCGGGCAGCAGCTATGCACGAATGTAGTCATGGAGTATTACGTTTGGATGCAGCCAGCCGTGCCTCTCGACCCTCCGGTGGTATTCTGGTAAGCGTCCGAGATCATAGATTGAGAGTAGTAGTCAAGTTGATTTTAAAATAACTTATTTTATTGTGTATCAGGATGGTGTTACTAATATCATCAGACAAGAAGGTCCCACATCTCTTTGGAGAGGATTGTCTCCCGCCCTGGTGATGTCTGTTCCTGGAAATATCATCTACTTTGTAGGCTATGATTATCTTCGAAATGCCATCAAGGATTGGACTGTTTACAAGCAGAAAGATTATGCCCCTCTTATTGCTGGAGGTGCTGCCCGAGGTAAATTCATTTTTTTATACCCTATGCCTATTATGAACTGTAATTACTCACCTCACGTCACAATTTGCTATAGTGGTGGCTGTCACGGCTATTTCGCCCATTGAACTCTTCCGGACTCGCCTTCAAGCTGCCAAAGGTGTTGATGGCTTTGCCTGTAAGCATTTATTTTCCCTTTTCTTTTGATTTAGCAGCAAGTCATGAAATAACCGAATCATTATGTAGCTGTGATGAATGGAGTAGTCAAGCTGGTGGAAAAAGAAGGCGCAAAGGCCCTTTGGCGAGGTCTCCCTCCCACTCTTTGGAGAGATGTGCCTTTCTCAGCGTTGTATTGGATGGGCTATGAAGAAATGAAAGCGTCTTTGAGCACAACAGGCATGAGCGACTTCAATCAATCCTTCTTGGCCGGCGCGTCGTCGGGCATGTTTGCCGCCATGGTCACCACCCCGTTTGATGTGGTCAAATCGCGACGACAAATTGATGCTGGTCGAGATGTTCCAATGTTTAAGGATATTCGTGTCCCAGCCATGTTACGACAAATTATTCAGCAAGAAGGATATCAAGGATTGTTCCGAGGCCTAACCCCTAGAATTGCCAAAGTTGCTCCGTCCTGCGCTATCATGATCAGCTCTTATGAAGTTGGAAAATCCTTCTTTGCCAAATCACGCGAACAACTTTGAATACCTATATAACGTTTACCATAGAAAATCCCCTTAGAGACAAAAGCATCATTCCTCCCTCCACTGTAAAATATCGTTCCTCACTCTCCCTTTCTACTACAATACCCACACTTCTCAGTCCCTTGGGACACCCTTTCTCACTCATTAATGCCTACCATGCATGATCTAAGCCATGCTGACGCCTTCTTACGTATTTGGAAAAAAAAATGGTCCACCTTACCGTTTAACAAACACACGTTGGTGACACTCTGAGTCTATGAGTCATATATTTGGCCATGCTTAAATACTGTTTACTTACAGAAATTTGGGAGAAAAAATATATGAAACAAATGGGGGAAAGGCAAACAGAATGCCTGTGATTTACATGTAAGTGCTTAGAAGGCGGCGAAGGGTGAAAATTATGTAAAGCCAAGAGGTAGAAGAATCTATCATTAGTTATTATTGTACAACGAGCATAAGGACGTAAGGGGAGGTGGAAGATATTTTTTTTCTTTTCCGATTGGGGATTAATGGCCTTCATCACGGTGAACGGAAGACATATGACGTAGACAATCGTGTTTTCGCATGAAGCGTTTATCGCAAAAGTTACATTGATGTTCTGGGACAAAGTTAGGGTCATGAAGTCGTTCGTGGGTTTTTCGATTCCATTCGCGAGTGAAAGCAAAATCGCAGTAACGGCAAATAAACGGTCGAGAAGAACTGGATGAGTTGCGTCGTATTGATTGACGCTGGGTCTGCTTTCCTCCCCGAGAGCTGCCGCTACTCGTGCTCACCGCCGGCATGGGGGGAGAGTGACCGAGGATGGTCTGTAGGGAATTAGCAGAGTGGGAGCGTTGGTGTCTTTTGGCACTACCTCTTGAGGCAGATTTGTAATGCGCCAAATTGGAAGGTATGCCCGGTATAGGCGCCGAAGCTATGCCATGGTCAGAAACGTGACCATCGTCCGAACCGGCTGGCGTGACAGTGATAGTCGGGGATACAATATCGTCAATGTCCGCGCCATTAAGGCAAGGAGACGAGCTGCGTCGGGGAATATGAAGAGTGGGTAATCCCAAGCTGTTGTGGCTAGGCATGGGAATAGGGTCAAAATCAAAATTAGGAATAACCGGTTCGTACTTGTCCTTAAATTGAACGGGTGAAACGGGTTCTTGAGCTTCCATGATGTTAAATCGATGAAAGAGATCTGCTACGCTATTGTTATCCTCGGTGAAAGAAAACGTTGGTGAGATGGGGCTTGTGATTGTGGCGTTGGGACTTCCGTTTCGAAATGCATGGATAGGTAAGACCAAATCCTCTTGTTGTTCAATCGGTGACGGTGTCATAAAAGGAGAGGCTTCAATCAAGGTCTTTATGTCAGCATTATGTGAAGGAGGAGTGTCCATGGCAGAAGATGTGGATGAGTATGAGCTACCTAGTAAAGGGGGTGTCGTGCTTGGCACTGTGACTGGAGTATGCATTGCCAAGAAAGCATCGACTGGAGACCGCCAAGCAGTTGTATCAATAGGAGATGATCTTCCAGATCCTGGAAAGTGATCTGAAGAGCAATACGATGCCGGGGATAATAAAGGCGAGATATCTGGGATCGAAACCAAATCAGCTTTTTTTTTTTTCTTTCTTTTTTTAACACGTTTATTACACGCCGGTCCTTTTTTTTTGTCTTACCTACGGGTGAAATGAAGGGAGATGTGATATTGATGGGTTGTGTTGCTACTTGCTGCTGTGATTGCCATCGATGGGCCGAGTCGGGAGACAAGCTGTTCAAAAGGTCTTCTTCAGAGCGATTATGAGAAACAGCCGTGGGTGACAGGTAAGGAGATGTTGGATTAGGTGAGGGCGGTGGGTAACATAACGGGTTAAAGAAATTGTAGTTGTCGTCCATGGGGAATATAAAGTGCTGTTTACGAAAGAGAGAAGGCATTAGCAATGACCGACGTTTGGCTTTTATACAGTTGCCGGGGACAGCGGGCTGGATGGGGGGTCAGGGACGCCTGAGAATGATTTGGTCCTGGAGCAATCAAGGCCAAAATGGCGCACTTTAAAAAAAAAAAAAAGGTGGGTGTGGCTGGAGGTCTCCCATTGAAGGAAGTTGGCCATTTAAAAGCGCTGACTGTAACTCAAAATACTCCCAAACACGCGACCTCGCCAATCCCCTAAACTGTACTATCCTACCTATTTTCATCCTTTATTTATCCCGTTCGTTCACTCTGAAATCAACGAAGAGTGGAGCTACCATGTGTCAAGCATACCACTTTTGATGAAGCAAGTCAACTGCGCATATGGGGGGAAAGAGAGGTACAGCATATTGGGAGGGTTGGAAATTAGACGTATTAGGGAAAATAAAGAACAACGGGTGGCTGAGGTTCGTAGAAGCGGGAGCAAGAATGAAACGTTTGAAAGAAAGATCTATGCTAGAACTTCGATGGAAGGACACGAGTTGGAGATTGATTTCCCGGCGGCTGCTGTCTTAGGGTTTTCACTCCCCAAAAACCCTCTCTTCCCATCCCCTCTCATTCCTACCACGGATAAAATATGGCTCTCAGCGTCCATTATTAATGATAAATAGGAGAAAAAATCTGTTTATGTTTGTTATGTAAAAATATACAAGAAGTATTTGCTGGAGGCGCAAAGCACCGGAATCATTGGAAGTTTTCCATTGGCTGGTGTAACCATACCAAATTGGACTATTTCAGCCGAAAGTAGGCATCCGTAAGGAAGCTCGCCTAGTCTGGCTATCGAGGCATGGATCTTAAAGTAGAATCAAGGTCTTGCGTTGCTTGACGGAACAAGACATTCTCAATCACCTCTTTTCGTTCATTCATGTTCTGAAGGGGAGGAGAAATCATGTTATTAGGACAGAGCATGGGCCCGGATAAAGGACTACCCAATATTACGCACTGCGCACTTTGTAACAAAAGAAGTTTCTTTTTTGTGCGCTGCTACTTACTTCTAATCTCTCCAAAGCCTTGGTGATCATATTATCTCGCCGTATGAGTTGTCGCTTGAGTTGTTCGTGTGCTTCTAGTAATTCTTCATGTTCTTCATCTAACTCTAGGTATCGTTGTTGCTCGCTATGTAACATGGCAGCATGACGCTCCAATTCCTGACGAAGTTCGTATTCTTGCCCGGGATCTCTTTCATTAAATGACGCATTGCGTTTGTTAGCGGCCTCTAGTTTACCCTTGAGAGCCAGTTGACTCCCGACCAATTCATTCATCTTATCCTGAGCCGCCTTCCTGTCCCTACGTAATTTGGTTTCCGATTCTTTGAGTTGAGCTTCCACGGTATGGAGTCTCTCAGCCCAACTTCGTTCCAGCTTGGTCATCTTGGTCGTCAAAGCCTAAAAGTGAAACACAGCATTTTGCGTTACAACAATGAAAAAAAAAAATGACGGGGGAGGAGTAGCGCACAGGCACACTGCGCAAATCTCTTGTACCGCTTTTTTTCAAAGCCTCACTGTTTAATTACCTCTCTGACCTGCGCAATCTCCTTTTCATGTTGCAGTTTAAGTTCCTTTCCACGTGTCTCGCTCGTGTCTAGTCTGTTCTTCAGATCGGCATTCTGCCGTGTTCGTTCATGGACTAGCTGCTCGGTCTCTTGAAACCGGATATCAATTTCGCGCAAATCATGCTCATGCTGGGTTTGAGTTTGCTGCGCTAATTCAGACCGCTCTTCCAATGTTTGTTCCAATTCTTCAACCTTGTGTATAAGTTTTTCCATTTCTCGCTTGCCATGTTTCATTTGTCGCTCAGCGTCTTGGTATTCGTTTTGTAACACCTGTAAGCTTTCCAGGCGTTCGTCCAATTCATCTTGAAGATTCTTGATGATGTTCTCCTTATCTTGAATAGCCTTTTCAGCCTGCTGAAATCGACTTTCCAAAAGATCGACATCTTGATCATAAAGACGGTCTTCTTCGGCGTGTTGATCCAATCGACTCTCAAGAGTGGCAATGCGTTCATCACGGTCCTTTTGTCCCTGCTCGAGTTCTTCTATAAAGGCAATCATGTTTTCCATTTGAACATCGAGGTCTTCAATTTCTTTTTCTCTTTCGTTAAGTTCTCCCGTAAGCCTTGCAACGTCATCCTTATGAGCCACTTCTTCGTCTTGAAGTGAACCCTCTATGTCTTGTAATCGTGTCATCAGGTCACTGTTCTGTTTCGACAGACGCTCTACATCTTGCGCTCGTTGATGAATACCAGATTTGTGCTCGTCCAATTCTTCAACTACAGAATTATGATGTTCTATCAACTCTTCTATTTCTCCATTCAATTGATCGATTTCCTTGTCTTTGTCCCGAAGTTGATTCATCATATCCACATTACGATTCCGCACGTGGTTTACTTCCTAGAAAGGCAAAATGGAAATCCACGAATTTAAGTACAGAGACCTTCTAAACAGAACACAGTATGGCTGAGGTGAGGTACCTCTTGTAAATTATAGTTCGTGTTGCTAAGATGATCCGTTCTTGACAATAAGGCGTCCCTTTCGGAGAGAATCGCTTTGAATAATGCGTTGTCCGTCGTCGCATGACTGGGCTGGTTCTCTAAGGAATGTATCACCCTCCGCGCTTGTGCCAAATTTCGCTTGCATGCTTCCAATTCACTCAAAGCAGAAGATCGCTCGTTAACCAGTCGTTCCACATCGACTCCAGATGGCCGATGATCATTTTTACATAATGCGTCTGTCAATCTTGCAATTTCCGCTGCTTGTTCGGCCATTCGAAGGTGCAGGCTTTCGTTCTCAAAACGATAAGAATTGGCATTCTCCAGGGCCGATTCCAACTGTACCCTTTCATGATCCTTTTTGCCATGATTGGATTGATATTCTTCTTCTTGTTGCAACTTTTGTTGTTGCAGAATATCAATGGCTCCATGCAAGTCAACTATCATCTTTTTATATTTCTTAAGCTCCTGTACCAGTGTCTGCATTTTGACCTTCAAGTCGATGTTCTAACAGCGGAAAAAGTTACATTAGCCAAACCTGCGTCCATCGACGTAATATCTCTTGCACTAGATGACATTATGCCAACACTCCGTCCTCCCAAAAAAAAAAAAAAAGTTCCTACCTCGCGCAGAGCTTCATCCATTTGCCCTGGTGATAACTGAGCTAACCGCTCCTCCAGGAAATAACACTTGAGCTTCAAGCCAAATGATTCTTTACGCAACTCATCTATCGTCTGTGCATGAATAGATCGCATTAGTCCTGAATACAGTGCCCCCTGATCTAGCCAATAGGCCTGATCCTTACCTTCTCTTGCTCTTTCAGCGTTAATGTCACTTTACTTTCTTTTTCACGTGAAGGGTCGCTCTGTCTGGACAGTAACGATTCGTTGGCATCGTCGATCGATAGTAGATCAAGTTCATGCGTGAGCGTGTCATTGGCATCTTCATTTCTCTCCGTCGGAATGACGAAATCCTGACTGCCGTTCACGTACTCCTCGTCTTCTTCGTCTTCAAAATTCCGTTCTTGTTCCTTAGACTGTTGTGAAAATCGTGTGCCGGCGGTTGGAGTCACTGGTGAGAATAAGTCACTGTTCGGCAAGGACCCAACTTCCAAAACATGCGGTCGGTTGGTTACGTCCATTACAGACGATGCACAGATGAATAAATAGAGTGGGAACGCTGGTTAGGTTCAAATGGTGTTGCTGCAGGGACAGACGCCACTAGTCGGTGGTCCTCTGTAAGGGACCAAGCGTCAAAAATTAAGAAAAGAACAAGAAGTGTCTATGAGCTTGCTGTTAAATATACAACAAATACCACTCTTTGTGAAAATGACCGCACTGCCAAAGCTATAAGAAGGTAAACATGACATGGTGGTAATTTTATTTTTACTTCATACATATTTGCTATGATGATGAATGTCTACGTTTACATTTCATCGCTAATATCTTTAAGCTTGAGCACCTTAGCAAGCATTTCTTTACCCTTGATGGTCAATAGGACGTGCTCAGCATTTCCAGGGAGTCCAAGCCAAGTGGGCGGTTCTCTCTCGGGTAGTTTGTTCACCCATTCTAAGAACTGTTCCACACGTGTGCCATCAGGAATTACAACAGCTTTGCCTTCAGAGGTTTCAGGTACCAACTTGAAGTCAATATCATAACTGTGAGGAGTGAACAGGGTGTCCACAAAGGAGTCAAGAATGTCTTGATCGGCATCATTGTCAACTCTACCACCATACACTGATTCTTTGAACAAGGTGCCAATAGCTTCCCATGGTATCTTTTCAGGTGAAATGTTAGCTCTTCCGCTAGCTGCGGTGTCAAGCCAAGCATCAATGGTCGTGAAAGCGCAGTCAAGATCGGCATCGTTGAATTCGTAAGACTTTGACCAACCCAGAGGAACATATCGTAAACGTTCTTGAACAATGGCATGAAGCCAAGCAAGCAAAAAGTAAAGTCTGCTGCGTTCGGCTGGTCCCTTATTAGATCTTGCTTGTGAGATACTGCGAAGAGAATCTTGCAAGTTGGCTTTGATACCCGGTGGAGGCTCAAACATCAGTACACGAGAAAGTCGCAGCAAGTTGACAGGCACCTTGGGATTGGTTTCCATTGTCAAGAATAGACGGAAATTTCGATGGGGTTTGAGACTGTGCAACTTCTTTTCCAACGAGCCAAGCCAGTGTGGAGCAAGATGAACGTTCTTGAGTAACACCCAGTTACCGGTCTTCACAGCAGAGGAAATGGCTTGATCAGCCAGTGTAAATCCTTCAGCAGAGCCCATGGCTACAGAGGTACAGCGGATATCACTAGCAGCGACCATTTGGTCGACTCTGTAACTGGCATCATAACCAGGAATGGAGCAAAGAGCAATAGGCGTACTGGCCTTGGTTTCCTTATTAACAAGGTAGGGTAAGTTGAGTTCTTCGTTGTTGATGAAGTCAGCGCCAAAGATTCTGGAAGCAAAGATGGAAGCTGCTGGAAGCACACGATCAGGTCTAAAGGTCTTCACCAAAAGCAATTCTCTCAAGCCGTCAGCATAGCTGTCAGTCTTTTCCCAAGAGTAAGGAACATTGGCTTCTGGTAAGTTATCCTCGCTGAACCTTTGCCATTCTTGCTCACGCTCATTGATAGCTTCGGGAAGGTTCTTGAATGCGGGCAAATCAGAAAGTTCTTCAATGCGATGCTTTTGTTCTTCAGAAAGCCATGGTGGCAGATCCAAAGAGTACGACGTCTTGGGCTTGCTTGAACCTTGAATCAAATAACTGTATTCATTCTGGTCGATGCTCGATTTCTCATTTCCGCGCAATACAATCTGACACATGAGCATGGCAAAAGTGATATGATCTGCATGAAGCAAACTTCTTGAGGCTCGTTTGTAGGACACCATAAACAGGTCGCGGGACAAAATTTGAAGTCGTTCATCCGGATCAGTCAATCCTGTAAGATTGGGGTTCTCGTGCAAAACATATTGGAAGATGTTATAAAAGAAATTCAAAGAGAATTGGTAAAAGTGGTTGATAAGATTGAGTTGTTCCATGACAAAGAAGATGGATGAACATGCTTGAGCCAGAGGAGTGTAGACAGTGGTACTTTGTTCAACTTCCTGCATGACAGTGTTGGTTTCTTCAACCTTGCGAGACACTTCTCCGGCTTCCTTCTTAAGGGTTTCAAGTGTTTCAATGACCTTATCGTCATCCAAAATATTGCCCTTCGATTCATTAAGAGCTTGCAGCAAAGATTTCTCCAAGAAACGCAGACGGAGCTGGAACTCTCCTTGAAGTTTGATGAGATCCGTTCTTCTTTGGTCGACATCCGGTCTTTCAGCCTTGAGTACCTTATTCAAGCACTGACTCTGGAGTGAGCCACGTGTGACGGTAAAGTTAACAAAGGTAACTCTTGAGCAGATATCAGGTGGGAAATTGACGGATGGATCTCTTGTTGACAAGAAAAGCTTGAACGAAGGAGAGAAATCGATATCTTGGTTACCAAGACGAATCAACACACGACCACCAGTTCGTCGAAGTTCCTTGTTGAGAACAGGATTCAAAATAGGATCCAAATGCTCTACATCTTGAATGAGGATGGGGTTACCGAAACGAAGAGCACTTTCCAAATTCTTGATAAAGGCATCGTCCAAGAAACTAGTGACAGTAATCTTACGATCTTGATACTCATTGATCAAGAAATTGGTAGCTTGACCAGATGGATCGATGATGAGTGGGTATCTGTTGTAACGCTTGAGCATGATAGCATTTTCGATACACAGGTCATCAGCAGGCAGGCTGTTTGCTTGCCATGATAATCGGTCATCGGCAGTACTCAAGTATTCGGTCAAGGACATGTCTTGCTTGAACTGCACACCGGAGTTGCCAAGATGCTCGGCCCACTTGTGCATCAACATTTCGCGATATTGTTGATCGAAATAGCCTCCGTAGGCCAAGAAAGCAGCCGACAAGAGGACGTCTCCAACAATGGTGCCCATTTGTGTTTCAAACGCTTGACTTGCAGACTCCCAACGCTCCTTCTCAGAGCCCAAGCTGCTGAGCAATGTCAAACTACGGTCAACCTTGGATTTGACCCGTTCCATTTCACCCTTGATGGCCTGTGTTTCACCAACAAGCGCAGCATATTCCTCCTTGTAACGAGCAATACTGTTTTCCAGGCCAGCAATCATATCTTGAATTTCCGAAGCCTTGAGTTTGGTTTCATCCGCACTGCGTTCCAAGTCAACAACCTCATCACGAAGTGGGCCAACACGGTCCAAAATTTCAGAGTAGTTCACTTGAGCAATCACCCACTTGACGAGAGGACCACATGCCGTGGAGGCACGGTTAACGGCTTCGTACTCAAAGGAGGGGTTGCTGAGATAGTTACGCTTCATGTACTCACGAAGCTGCTTGACCATTTGCTTCTCAGTGTTGAAGTTGACGATGCTAGCAATGAAATCGTCACGACGAATGATGGATTGTACCGTCTTCCAGGACTCAATCTTGTGTCCGAGTAAGTTGCAAACAGATTCCATCGCAAGCTTGACAGCCTCGGGGGGGTTACCCATAGCTCTGACTTCCGTCAAATGTTGACGTTTAATGTTACTGACACTCTTTTGAGCTTCCATGACGGCGGGTTCGGCATTGGCCAAATCACCGAGAACAATAGCGCGACGCTCTTCAATTTCCTAAAAGCGCAAATTGTCAGTAAATTATAAACCGAATCGACATACATTTCGGTCGTTTGGTCTGAGCCATTTGGCTAGCTAACTGTACCTTGTTCTGCATTTCAAGGGCAGCTTGGATTTCAATGGATGCAGCCTTCTTGTTTTCAGCTTCCTTCTCATCCGCTACCATTTGACCGATCTTCTCGTTAGCTTGAGCATTTTTGATTTCCAGTTGGTTCTTCTTGACAGCCAAACTTTTGCGAAGCTCTTCGACCTTGATAACAGTGGTCTTCAGCTTATCCAAACCAACATTCAAGTGACGTTGTTGTTCCTCGAGATTTTCACGCTTCTCATTGTAAAGCTTCACATAGTGCGAAATGAAATCCAAGAAATGTCTAGGAGTGACAAAGTTGCGACGACCTTGACGTTTGCTGAGCTTGAGATTGATATCATACAAGGATGTATGCACATAAACAAGTGCGTTGACCACAGCATCACGATGAGTAGGTGGAATGGGTAAGTCCTTATAAATGATGGGGAAGTTGAGAGGTGCACCATAGTTAGGAACGTCGAGATCCAAAGTATTGGTGAATTCACGACCGACTTGATAGAATGCCTGATCGGGCCAGTCACCAAACCAATCCAACACACAACGATTGAACAGGGCAGGGGAAGTGGCAGTTCTTGAACCTAAACCACCCTCTGGAGGATTCATCGTGAAGACAACGTGAAGGTTACGCATCACTTGTTGAGTGAACCACTTGTAAAGTTCTTCATTGGAGTCCAGCATTAAGCCATCCCGCTGGGCGCCTTCTTTACATCCAGTCATCAAGGCAGCAAATTCATCTCCCTCGAACAAACTAGGCACTTCGGCATTGGCAAGTAGAGTGTTCATTCTTTCCAAGAAACCAGAATCAAGAACGTTGGATTCATCCATGATGAAACAAATCTTTTCACCTTTGCAACCAGCTCGTCTAAGAACAGTTCTCAGATCCTCGTCAAAGTCAACTCCGGTATACTTGTTATGAACCTTGATCTGGAAAACAGAAAGACCATTCAACCATGCAACGAAACGTGACAAGGTGGTTTTACCACTACCAGAGACACCAATCAACAACAAGTGACCTTGTGGTTGACGGAAGACACGATCAATGCGCAAAACATGCTCCAAGACATCGTTGAACAGAACGAGAGGTACATCCAATTCTTCTTCGTAAAAGACCTTCAAACGGGCTTTGACGTACTCGCGAAGCTGTTCATGCTCGACAGGAATGTAATGCTTGGACAACCAGTTGGAGAACAAGATAGGTCTTCTCAGGGCTTCTTGTTGATCAATCATAGGGAAGTGCTTCATGGCGATTTCATTGATGTTATCGTCAGTCCACTGTCTTTCTTCATCCGTGACCAAACGATCTTGGAATAGTCGAAGAGCTTCATGTGCCCAGATACGAACAAGACCTTCAACAGTCAAGGATTCCAAAGGCTTGATGGCTTCGAAAATACCTCTTACCCAACGAGTCAATTCACGAGGCGAATAGATGTAGTGAGCCTGCTTGTCAGGTGTAAATCGTTTCTGTGACATGAGATAGAATTCCACCATAGCAGCTGTAAGCGGCTCTGCATATCCTCGTAAAGTGGGGACCACTTTGAGCATGGCTCTTGAAAAGGTGCTGTAAATTTGCATCAAAGAAGGCTGACCAGCGTAGTCAACCATGACCACGGGTGCATGTCTAAGGAAACGATGCGACAAGGGTACACGTCCAGGATCAGTGGGAGGGTTACAAGCTCCAACAAACTGAATACGCTCAAGCGTCACCCAAGACTTGTCACTGGCTCTCCAGTAACCGTTGTATTCAACTAGTTGTCTCAAGAAAGAGATGACACGCTGAGTGTTGTACTTGTCTGTCGCTGGCAAATTGATTTCGTCACAGAAAATAACAAGCCATCTTCCGATCAAGGTAGGTGACAGGATAACGCCATTAGGTGTCTTACGGTACTCACAGTGCTGTTCGAATGTCTTCATAATGAGCTCAGGAGTAGTAGCACTTGAGAAGTTAAGACCAACCACTTCCATGTCTGGCAACTTGCGCAAAGCACTGAACAAGGTCATGGTTTTACCAGAACCTGGGGGACCACACAAAATGAGGGGTTTGTGCTCAGACAACCAAGAGTACAACACTTCTTCGTGACGAACAGTATCAACCGTAGGAATGATCATATCGGCTTCAGCCACTTTATGAGTTTCGATCTCAACGGTTGGAACCTTTGATTGCCATGGACTCCATTCACCAGAATTGACTGCGATGTCGTAGTCGATGATAGACCAATCATTCACACTTGGAGGGAGATCATATGTTGTGATGCCGCGAAGGTATTCACCGAAACTTGTACGTAGATCCAGTTTGGCATCACCAGCAAAACTCCAAATGAGTGAGTAAACGGTACGTTTGGTGATATATCCATGCAAGTGTTCAGCCGATAGAGGAAAGTCCGAATGCTGAGCATTGTATTCCAAGACATTGCGAATGGTTTTGTTGATAAGGGAGAACAAAGTAGATAGTACTCTCATGCGAGTGAAATCCATGATATGCTCGAAAGTGGCAGCATGACGCAAAGCTTTACCAACCAGACCGTCATCATCTGTGAGATCAGGTTCAATGATCTTAGCAATGGCTCTTTGGGTAGCCAATATGGGCGATATGGATGTATTATCGTCACTTTCCAATCTTCTTCGTGGAATTTCTTCATCGAGTTCATCCATAGGCACATTTCGCAGAGTTTCCAAGTAATGGGTGAAGATCATCGGCAGTGACACAACATCTTCGCTGAACCAAACCATTCCGCAACGAGAGACAGTAGCGAGAGTAGCGTATTTCAACGTTTCGACTTCGAACATGATGCGGACGTTAGGTGGTAAACTCAAACGTTCACCATTAGGCAAAGTGAGCAATTTGTTATCATCGAGCACCGAGTTAAGATTTTCGACCCATTCAGGATCAACATCACCATCGAAGATAATCCAATGACGTTTGGTACTTTCACCACGGACGTTGTCAACGATCTTGCGAAGAATATGAGTGAATAAACCATCTGTCCATTCACGCGTTGTTTGATCCAATGTACCATAGAGAGCTTCCTTTGACAAAGCCTTGGGATCAATGGTGTAGGGAACACCTTCAGTACCCTCGCATCGTTCAAGAGCAGTGAGTAGAACCTTCCATGCTGTAGATTTACCAGAACCGGATGGACCAACCATCATAAGACCGTGGTGAATATTTTGGATTTGATACAACTGAATGACCTTTTCAACCCAAGCATCACCATAGACTAGACGTTGCTCTTCACAGACATTCTTAATTTCTTGTTTGAGTTGATCAAGATCGACAGGCTCATAAACAATGCCAGGGAAGACATCATTTAGGATATTCTTTAGAGTATGAATATCTTCAGCAACCAATTTCGGCATGACTGTTTCGGATATACTGGAGATGACGAGCTGTTGTTCTGGCACTTGTTCAGAGATAGCGGCATATTCAGTGTCGTCCTTCTCACCGCTACTGATAGCTTGACGTAAAGCACTAAGGCGGTCACGCTTGAGGTTACCAGCACTAACCAGCACACTCTTTAAGGCACGCAGACCGAAATCGTAGTGAGATTGTGGTGAAAGTTGTTCGTCGCACAGATTGAAAAGAGGTACAACACGAGATGCAAGATCTTCAGCATTTCGGAAACCTTGTGAGTATAACATGACTTGAGCAATGAGTTTTCTGTCTGGTTTGGTCATAGCGATGCTACGGAACAACTTCTTCAAATTGTCGGGCAGATTGGATCTTCCAGCATAACCAGGATTCATGGTAATGAAGATACCAGTGTTTTCGTTGACACGAACGTTCTTACCAACCAATTCGATTTCTTTCTCGGGGTTGGTCATGGCATCTCTGAGACCCAGTTGAATAGTTTGTACTTGCTGTGAGACAGCAGACAAAATGCGCTCTTCAAGACGATTAAACTCGTCAAAGCAACCCCAAGCACCGACTTGGCAAAGACCAATGAAAATACGACCCATAGCTTGGAAATCAAAGGTTTCGTCACAACAGAAGACGAGAACAAAGCGACCCAATTGGACACCAAGAGCTTTGACAGATTCGGTTTTACCAGTACCAGCAGGACCAAATGGCGAGCCTCCCATTCGTTGCTTCAAGGCTTGAGTCAAGGTGAGATAACATCTGTCAGTAAGAGGAGTCTGGACAAGACGATCAGGAACACCAAGGTATTCATAACCATAGAAGAAGGAGGCATCCGCCATCTTGATAACCAGTCGTTCGAGGGGATTAGCTGTGGCTGCGTTGAAGTAGAAACGCATTTGGTACAACCATTTGAAGTCCTTGGGTGAGTTCACTTTACTGGCCAGCAGGGAACGGATCAAATCTCGCTGATGAACCAATTCAGTAATAAGATGTTCGCATTTGCGTCGTTTGATGGCAGAGAGATCAAGAAGCACAGTGTTAGCCAAGACAGTCAAGTTGGATTCAACAAAGGTGAGAGATTCCTCCAAAGGTGTCAAATCCGAGGGATTAGTGCTATCAGCAATTTTGTTCAAAGCCTTATCGACTGAATGCGTACATGTTGTCTGAGCAGCCAAAACCACCAATTGGACAGGGTATCTCTCTACCCAGTCTAAAAATACAGTAGTAATGATTTCAGAACCATCCCAAATCTTTTCCATCTCAATGACAGCATCTTGAAGTAACAAAGCGAGGGATAGACGCATATCCTTCTCAAGCATGGTGAGCCAGTCGTTGATCTTGGGATGATCAATGAGTGAGATAGGGTTTTTGAGTTGGACTTCTTCTCCTTCCCTAGAAGCAATGCCTTGAATGACATTTGTTTCTTCATCCAAAATGATGTTGGCAACACCAGCAAACATCTTCTTAAAATGCTTTTGAATGCGAAGGATATCCTTGCTATTACCGATGATTTCAAGCAAATCTTCATCACCGACAAAGTAGAACCGAGGGAAAGATGAACGTTCACGTTCCAAGTATTCACCAAGGGCCTTTTGGATTTTGCTGAGAAGCTCTGCCAAACGCTCTAAAGACTTTTGCACAGTAGGAATATTAAGGACATCCAGTACAAAAGGTGACTTGTAAACCTTCTTCATGACGGTCAAAAATTCTGAGTTGATGTTCTGGAAACGAGAGGTTTCAACCGGCAACAAATGCTTGATGTCAGCACTACCACTGAAGATACCTTCAAGGTATACCCACTGGCGTTGAACATCAATCCAGACATCGAACAAAACGTGGATACGGTTCAATTTTTCTTCCCATGCAGAGGCTTCTTCTTCAAAGACCTTGTAGTAAGGTGACAGTTTCATTGCGTTCAAAGAATTAATGTGTTCACTCGTCTTGGTGAAGAGGTCGTCCCAGCCACGAATCAAGCGGCACTTATTCTGATAGTTGACCAAGTCCAAAACATAGTTGGTCCAAGTTTCCTTCACTTGCTTCAAGAACTCTTCCAAAGCCATTTCTCCTTGAGCTTGAATAATGACGTCCTTAACCACTAGTTCATTACGCTTGAGATCAAGATCCCAAAGCTGACCGATAGTCATGTCACCCAATGTGAGGCGTCCATCTATGCGAAGCGTCTTGAAAATTTGTCTCCAATGTCTCTCTCGGAGAGCTTCCGATTTAAGGTCAGAAATCAAGGGATTGACACGAAGGTAATGACGCAAGACTTCTTGAACATATTCATATGCAGCGTACTGACGCATGCGGTTGGGCATGTCCTTCGTGGAATTGACAAGACCATCCAAAGATTGACGTATTTTGCGAGGAGCGATAGTAGACCACAAGGTGTCGCGAATTTCATTGATGGATTGCCAAACTTTAGCAAGAGCAGTCCAGACAGACTTCAAATCGCGAAGTTCTTCAAGAACTGGCTCAAGTCGTCCATCACTGGTTTGATCCAGGTCGAGAGCCTCCTTTGCCCTGCAAACCATGTCATATTCTTCCTTAAGTCGAGTGACTCTGCCTTCAAAGATACTGAGAGTGTTGGTGGCAATATCAGGCTTGATATCACCTTGAACAGGTTTGCTCTTTTCCCACTCAACGCAGATGTCACGGATTTTCTGTTCAACAATCTTGTCCTCAGCTACAATCTTCATTTGCAGACCAGCTGTAAACCATCACACGATATTGACATTAGTACATAACCAGTGGAGGTTTCGTTGACATATAAATGTACATAATTCAATTCACTCACCAATCTGTTCTTGAATAGCGTTGTTCTTTCTAGCCAAGATTTCATTGAATGCACTCCATTCACCATCCACTTGGTCCACATACACCCAATCACTGGGAAACTGGAACCGCTGACGTTCAAGGGTTTTTTGGCCATTACGGAAAAGTTCAACATCATTGCCCCATTTAGTCACCTTGCGCTTGAGATCTTGAACAAAAGTGATAAATGTAACGGCTTCACCAGTGGAGTTACTCTCGATGGATTGTTGCTCCAATTCGTAGCGAGCTTTGGAAACCTCGGTATGGAAATCGCGCATAGCAAAGCCAAGCATGCTTCCAAACTTGTTGAGAATTTCGCGCTGCCACTGGTCGTACTTTTGATTGACTTTACTTTGGACTTGCTCATAGTCGACGATAAGGGGTCCAAAAGACTGCTCGGTTTCAGAGTTATCAAATGTGCTGCGAGCACGCTTGATTTCGAGCAAGATCTGTTGCCATTTCGCCAAGTCGTCACCAAGAATGCCAAACACCTTGCTGGATTCAAGATCCCACAAGCTTTGATATTGCAACCAAATGTCCACATATTCGGCCACTTGACGAATCTTGTCCTCAATAATTTGGTAGGCGTGTTCAAGTGAACTGTCGCCCATATGAGTTAGTAGGCTGACGTAGGTCTTCTCCTTAGCAGAGTTGTCCTTGACACTCAAACCTCCTTCGTATCGAGAGCTTTGGACTCTAGGCAGATGACAAACGGTAGCTAACCAGTCGTGAAGTTGGTGGAACCAGCTGGCGCGAGCTTGTTCAATCGGAGGATCCAGATACATGACTTGATCACGAATGCGAATTTCATGTACTAGGGTCTCAAGAGCAGGTTTAACCTCTGCTGATTTCGTAGTAACAACAGCCTTCTCAGACACCGTGAGACTGTCTCGACCGCCCTTGCGCTTGCGTTTGGACTTCGATATAGAGCTTTCCATATTGACCGGGTCCTCATCAATGCCAAGGAAGGCATTGTTCCAAATCTTGATAGAGGACTGCAATCTTGAAATTAAGACAGCTTCGATTTTTCTATCCAGGATCGCCACCCATTCATCTAAATTAGAGTACGATTCTAAATTGAGTCTGTCGATCTTTTCAAAGACAATGAAAAATAGGCAGACTAGTCAGTATAATACAAGGGGTAAAGGGGAACAAAAGGAGTAGGCGTGTCGATGTCCGTGCACTTACCAGCTTCTGAATCTTTTTCAAAGCATCTTCAAACTTGTCAATTTGGTAGGGACACGATTTCATGTCTTCGACCGACTTGTTGATTTCATCATGGTAAGTGATGAGAGAATCAACCTTGTCTTGAAAGAGGGATACAATGTTGGCAAACTCCCTGACGAAAGTGACATGACGGTTTTCACGAGCATCAAAAGGAATGCCAGACATAGATGACAGAGGCCGGTGATGGGTATCATAGGTGTTGACAAAATAATCCCAACGGAGGTTAATACCTAGAGCGAATGGACGTGAGCTTAAAAAGGATACAAAATGAAAGCGTCGTCAAACCGGTTTTTACCTTTTGTGATCATGACATGGACTTCGTTACGATAGCCAGCTACTAAAGTCACAATATCCGGGTTACGGTTGACCTTGTGGATGGTTTGGGAAAAAGTTCTGACGGTCTCCATCAGGCTGACAGCATAAGGATAGACGCGTTTGGCATCCTTGGCAACATTGGAAATGGTATGAGGAACCTGGAAGTTGAGCCATAGCAAGTTACGAACTTCCTTGAACAAAGTAATGATCTGGCTATCAAAATTGACACCCAATTGAAGAGCACCACCTTGTGCACGGTTTCGAGTGATTTCGAAAATACGACCGGACACAGAGAGATCTCGTTTGGTGATTTCCTGAAGCCAGTTGTCATAGATGAGGCGAGTATCCAACTTCTTACGGAAACTGTTGCTCTCAATTTGTAGCTTCTGACCTTCAGCATACAACTCCCAGCCTTTTCCGAGGACATCTTCCACCCTCTTCATATATAGAGTCAGTTGGCGGTCGATTTGACGAGCCCAGGTGATGGCACCCGAGATGGGCGGTAAATCACGTAACTGAGCCATATGATAGGCTTCGGAATTACGATATTGCATCTTGAACTTGTCATGAAGCTTGTTGATATCCTCCTTGACACTGTCAATTAGCTGTGTCTGATATTCTTGAATGGCTCCACGAATCTTGGGTCGAACGAATAGCGCATTGAATTTGGAGAAAACTCCAAACATCTCATTGGCATTTTTGGCGGTACCCAATCGATCACGAAGTCGAGAAATGATTTGATTTTCCACTCTGGACACACGTTCATTATAAGCTGTCTCTGCTTGGATCCAGATCTCGGTACCCTCCGGCGACACATCCAGAACATCAATGTCCTTCACGCTGTCATATGCAAGCTTGACTTCGTCAACAGAGTTAATGTCGCTGACGCTGACACTTTCCTCTTCTTCGACAATGCTCTTGATTTGGCCATCCTCTACGATTTGAGCTTTCTTGGCGCGAGGGCTAGTCATGACCTTTACAATGGTCTGGTGAAGTTGTTCATGTTGCTTACGGAAAGTACGAACAAAATTGATACGTTCTTCCAGCTTAGCGTGAGCGGGATTGATCTTGATAGGAAGGAACTTTTCCGATCGCTTGCGAGTAACATCTCTTGCGACATTTGTAAATTCTTTGATCAAATCATCCCAAGTGTGAAAGACAGCTTCAGCGCTAGCCATAGCCTTTTCAAAATCGTCGTACTCCATATACATGAGCTTTCGGCTACCAAGTACTTTGAGTAGCTGATCATTAAGATCTCGAGAAATGGCATCAACCAGGGGAAGAGCACGTCGAATAGGATAAGGAGAGAGTTTGAGCTTCTTGTTGAGATGACCAAAGATCAACAAGAGCGACTCTCTCACTTTCTCCACGTCGGTGGCAGATAAAAGCTCATTCAATGGGAAGTCTTTCATGAGCTGATTATATTTGTGAACAAGTTCAGCTGCTTCCTTCAGACCAGTATCAGCAATGAAACTGACAGTGGCGTGGAAGCGTTTGGCATGCTTCAAAATATCCAGAGTGAGCATAATTTGGTCACTTTTCAACTGCTCGTCGATCTTCTCCAAGGCTTTCTCCATACTCAGCCAAAAGTTGATCTCTTGAATAGCTGTACCGCTGGCAGGATCTCGAGAGAGTTTGGTCACTTTTTGAATCTCCTTGATCCAACCATTCACATCACCTTGCAGCTTATTCAGAAGACTAGAGTCGGAAAAGAGACTAGGATCCACGGCTTCTACAGTAACACGTTTGTTTTGTTCGCGACACTTCTCCACAGCACGTTGAACGACAGGATGTATGTTGAGGGATATTTCAGGAATTTCGACATTTTGCTGCAGATGCAAAAGACTGAGTTCCAGTTCAGCGATTTTCTTCTTGGCCATAGGAATACCCATTTTGTTGTCCTCGTTCTTTGATTTAGAATCGGAGCTTGTAGGACCAACTTTGGCGTTGACATAGGCGTTGAAGTAGGGGCTGACGGCCAAATGAATGTAGGAATGAAGCGCTTCATAAGGCGTAGCTTGGCCAGGTTCACCGGTGGGAGCACCTGGCAAATTAATAATTTGAAGTTGTGATTGCAAAGGTCGGCTAGATTCCAGTGTCAGACTTCGCTTAATCAGAGCAACCGATCCGACATGCGTAGGTTGGTATGTTATCTCCTGCGTAATGGTATAGGTATAACTTGGCGGAGCGTTCTCATCTAAAACACAGGGCATCAGTACCTGCCAAAGGTCTCACATGGGATAAGGGGCTCACTTACCGTCTCCACTGGAACCTTGTCTTTCTTTGATAACATATAGTACGGGGCTGTTTGGGTCGTTTGCGAAACGTCTACACTTTTCTACGGCATCAGGGTAGGCAAATAGGGATGTCTTCAGATCATCAAGCTCCGCGACCAACACGAATGGCAATAGATCGAAGAGATAGGCTTTGAGTAAAATTGGATCGAATGACATTAAAGAGTCTCCTCCATTGGTTGAAGTGGACATTGAGGTCGATGCCGACAATGCTGGAGGAGACATGTTGATGCCATCGTCATCTAGCATGGCGCGATCTCCGTCGCGTTAAAGACTTGAGGGTATAAAAAAATAACGGGACTTGACGAAGGCGACTGCAAGTCAATGTGGGGCAATTAAAATGCTTGTTCGCCTAATCATAGCTGAAATCAGTGAATCATTACCAGTAACTGAGCTGTTGTCTCCTAAAGACACTGATGAAAAAAGAAAAGGCTTCACTGGCAGCTGCTTCTGCCTGCAGTTTCTTTTGGCTTGGTGCCTGGAAATGGGAGCCATGAAGAAAATGATTGGCCGGATAACGACTCCGCCACTGGGCAAAGGTGATACAATACAGGATATGATCGGTAACTTTAATCGATTGAAATTAAAACAAAAAGGTATGTAACAGGAAAATGATCAACAATAGCGATAGATAAAAAAAAACTGGGATAGGACAAAATTGAATGGTACACACTGAATGTAAGGAATAAAGAGAATAAAAGCAGGAAATAATGCAATGAAGTATTTTGTGTAGTTGACCGCCAAAAGAAAAAGAGGTTATATGTAAGGTAGAGAAAAGGGGGTAAAGCGTTATATGAGAAATGTATGTAGAGAGATTTGAAAGAAAAGAGTAGGTTCATTTTCTTGATTTTTTACATGGAGATTGCCCACATCATGATTGTTGGGTAATCTTATATCTCTCCAGTAAGGATTCAAGCTCTTGCACTTTGCTCTGATACATATTCACTTCATTTTGCAGTAATTTGATCTGCTCCACACTCTTTCTAAGAATTTGACCCTTGTTGGGCTTGTTAGCACCATCCAGAGTGGTATCGGGCAGAAGTAGGCCAAGTTCCTGAATTCGTTCATTGATATTATCTCTTCTTCTTCGTTCAACTAAATTATGTGATTCTCGCCGACGTCGTCTCTTCTCCATTACTGCCTGCAGACTACATAACCATGTTTATTGTGATTAGTTTCCATATCCAGTACAGCGAACGGCTTAGCAATATTGAAAATTTGGCACAACTTACTTTGCTTGGGTGGCGTAGTCATCTTCGTAACTACCTCCATCACCTTCCTCCCCGATAGTGGGTGTTTGGGGATACTTGAGAGATGAGCTGGTAGTAGAATGGATGCTACTATACTGATCCCCATTAAATCCACCAATGTTGGCAGGGGCACTCATGGCGAAACCCTTGTCGTTTGGAGGGGACTGTATGTACATTGGATAATGCGGATTGAACGATCGCTTCATGTCCATAGGCGGAGTACTGAGGTCATCGTACAACAAGTCGTCTTGCACGAGAGAGTTGCTGGTGGGAGAATCGGCATAAAGATTATCGGGTAAATCGGTGTAATCCATGTCAGAAAGATGGGGCGACGTCTTTTGTGCTGGAAAGAATATATGAGGTTGAAAGGCAAGTGGGTCAATGACAAATTGTTGTTGGTCGAGGTCATGGCTGTTATCTCGGGTCAACCGCTGCTGCTGCATTTGAAGGTGATACTTGGTAGGGTGCGTCAATCTCGGTGGATTGGCAGCCGAACCATTGCTAGCCTTGTTACTAAGAGCCATTGTAAGGGGAAGAGAAGAAGAAGAAAGAAAGAACAAAATAAAATAAAAAAGGTATGAAGACTTTGAAGGAGGTAGTGAGAATATTTTATTTTTACAAGCTTCATTATAAAGATACCCGTCTCTATGCCGTGTGACTCTGTTGTTTTCCTTACTTTGCTTTTCACAAAACATCCCCCCATGCCACCTCCAAATGCGATCCGTGCGTAGTGCGAATAACATATCATTCTTTATTTTTAAGCTTTTCACTTTATAAAATATAAGCAATCTCTTGTAAGATAGCCCAAAAATGAACAACATTTCTGTATTCTAGTCAAGACTTGCTCACGCAGTTCTAAAATTACAAAAAATTGGAAGATTGTTGTCAAATATCGCAGTAATAGCTGCATCGTCCCCCCACCCAGTGTATATTTTACAGTGACCGAGGCGGGGGGAACATTCTGCCCACCACGGCATCTCCAAGAATGGAGAGCAGATATTCAGATCGCCAACGATTTGATGCAAACTACTATGAAGGTACCACCGGTGCCCATGTAAAGGCACGTGTACTGTTATCCATGGGCTCTTAGATACCGGTGACTTTTGTGGTTCTGCTGACGAGTTCAACGTCGTCACTCACAAAAAAAGGCTGGTGCTTACCCCCCATAGACTCCCTCTTTTCCCATCATGGAACTTTAAGCACTATTACCTTAATAAAAAACCCGTGTTCGTATTCAATAAAGAGATATCGTTTCACATGGTGGGCAGCCCGGTGACATGTCAAGAACTGTATGCACAAAAGCATACATTATTATAAACCGGTGTGTAAAACGTTTTCACCAATATATTACGGTCACAATTAAGAAAATGAAGATCACCTCTTGATGAGAGCCGTGCACGAGCCTCCTTTACTCTACAATGGAATTTTGTTAAAGGAGAAACCAAGCGAATCATCGAGGCGCAATCTTTGGCTGCAGCCAGTTCCCATGTCTGGATGTGTACGCAAACGGGCTTTTCCGTCCACATACCCAAAAAGATACATCCACAATCAATGCAATTGGCCCTCCAAACCCATACACAACAAATTTCATGGCCCCCTTCCAACCTTTTTGAGTTAAAGCGAGTGCAACCCAAACCGGTCCAGCCGAGAGCATATAATACGCGAGCTCTCGGTTGAACCGTGAACTGCAACATCTTGTTGTTTACTATTATTGTTTTTCAACTGACCTACATTCACCTTATAGATCCGCACATCTTTGATTATGAAAGAATAAACCCCCAAATTCCCTCTGTTTGGTAGTAGAAATAGGATATGACTAGAAAAAAACTCTATCGATCAATATCAAGAAAGAGATCGATGATTGCTTCAAAAGGACATGATGCGAGAATATCGGTCGCACACTCTCGGCAAATACCCAGCCCTAGCTACGATGTTGAAACTCCGTATCTCAGCTATAATGCAATCGACGGTGTAAAGGCTCTTTCTTCAACAGACCGTTTAGATAAACCAAGATCCTATAAAATGTGGTTTTTTTTAAGAATAGATTGGTACCTTTGTGATGGACGTGGCAAAGTGTGTCACAATCCGCACCATCAGCCAACCATGGACAGTTCGGTTTGTTGGGGCCAATCACTGATATCGCTGAGAAAAAAAAGTAGGGTTTTGCTCAACCCCAAGCGCTTTGCCCGCTTTTACCGCGGAATCTGATTGGCCTGAAAACGCACCCATTTTTTTCCTTTTGGCCCTTGATCCCTTTCTTACTTCTGTATTGCTCGAACTACTACCAATGGCCAGTGAATCTACCATAACTTCCAACCTCCACTGGATTTCCCAGATGGACGTTGATGTTGAGCCCACTGCTGGACGTAAATCCTCCATTATTTGCACTATTGGTAAGTCTTTGCCACCAACGCAAATAGTACCAAGTCGCCGGAACAACGTGTTTTGACGTCTGCGGTCTACTTCATAGGTCCCAAAACCAACAGCGTTGAAATGATCACGCAATTGCGCAATGCTGGCCTCAACATTGTTCGCATGAAGTAAGTTAGAGCCTGCATTTCGCCAAACTCATTCATGTCCCATATTTCATAAATTCTTACGCCACACCTTTGACTATTCTTTGTAGCTTCTCTCATGGTTCTTATGAAGTGAGCATATGAGCGTCAAGTGGAGACTCGTCTGATATTCACCCTATCTGATTATCATTTTCTCTTTTTTTTTTTCTCTACAGTATCACCAATCTGTCATCGATAACACGCGCAAGAGCGTCGAACGTGAGTTGCATTCTAGTTTCTGTTTGGCTCCGTTGAGCTCCCAGTGCTAATGAAATCACACCCTTTCAAACTCCGTTCTGTTTCACCCCCGCACAGTCTATCCTGGCCGCCCTATCGCTATTGCCTTGGATACTAAGGGACCTGAGATTAGAACTGGCAATATGAAGGATGACATTGAAGTGAGTACAATGCTGATGAGATGGGGTTCACCAACTTGTCTGGCGTTTTTCGATACTGATAGAGTTTCCCCGCGTTTCAGATTCCTATCAAGGCTGGTCACGAAATGCTCTTGAGCACCGATGACCAATACTTTGACAGCTGTGATGATAAGGTCATGTATGTTGACTACAAGAACATCACCAAGGTGATTGAGGTGGGAAAGATCGTCTACGTTGACGACGGTGTCTTGTCATTTGAGGTGCTTGAAGTTCAAGAGAACGCGTTGAAGGTCCGTGCTATCAACAATGGTAAACTATGCTCCAAGAAGGGTGTCAACTTGCCCCGTACAGCCGTCGATCTCCCTGCCCTTTCTGAAAAGGACAAGTCTGACTTACGATTTGGTGTGAAGAACGGTGTGGACATGGTCTTTGCCTCTTTCATTCGACGTGGTCAAGACATTCTTGACATCCGTGAGGTTCTCGGTAACGAAGGTCGCAATATCAAGATCATCGCCAAAATCGAAAATCACCAAGGTGTTCAAAACTTTGATGAAATTCTTGGCGAGACAGATGGCGTCATGATTGCTCGTGGTGATATGGGTATTGAGATCCCATGCGAAAGAGTTTTCATTGCACAAAAGATGATGATCGCAAAGTGTAATCTTGCTGGAAAGCCAGTCATCTGGTAAGTTTTATTAGCATGGGAAATATATAGAACCATGAAATATAAAAGGGCCAATTGACTAACCCATTTCACGTGACTCGTTCAGTGCCACGCAAATGCTTGAGTCCATGACCTATAACCCTCGCCCGACCCGTGCAGAAGTGTCTGACGTCGCTAACGCCATTTTGGATGGAGCAGACTGTGTCATGTTGTCTGGCGAAACAGCCAAAGGCAACTATCCTATTGAGGCGGTGAAAACCATGCACACCACCTGTGTTCTTGCCGAATCTGTCCTGTGTTACCCGCCACTGTTCGATGAATTGAGAGCCCTTACACCCCGTCCCACCGAGACAACTGAAACAGTGGCATCATCGGCTGTCAGCGCTGCTCATGAACAAAATGCTGGAGCCATTATCGTCTTGACCACCAGTGGAAATACATCTCGTTTGGTTTCCAAATACCGACCTAGAGTCCCCATCATTACCATCACGCGTAACCCACAGACCGCTCGTCAAGTTCACTTGTATCGCGGATGTTTCCCCTTCTTGTATCCTAAGCCTTCCTCTGCCAGCGCTGCCAGATCTGCCGTGTCTAACACACCTTATTTGAGTCCTGCTGAGACTGCACCATGGCAAGAGGACGTTGACCAACGTCTTTCATGGGGCATGGAACAAGCTATCAAGTATGGACTTTTGAAGAGCGGAGACCCTGTTGTTGCTGTTCAAGGCTGGAAGGGAGGTCTTGGAAATACAAACACTCTTCGCATCTTGATTACCCCGTAAATAGCCTGTCGTTGCTTCTCTCTCAAATCTTGTTCATCTCAACGCATAGCCTCAATGGTTGAATATATATACCGCCGTACGCAGATGTATATTCCTTCATCCTTTTTTTTTTAAATAAAAAGAATTCCCTTTTACCCGCACATCAACATATGCTTGACTCGCCAAACCATGTCTAACCTTATAGCAAAGGGTCTGACGTCGTTATTGGAAAACTGGGTGTGAAAGTGGGTGGATTGGGGGGGGGGTTGGTTCCATGAAAAGGATGGCCAAATCGCATAACGGAGCCGTAGCACAGACCCCGAATTTTTTATTTTTTGCCCAGGACCTGATTATTATTAGCGTTGGGATCACCAATTGTTTGAGTAACCTACACAAGTTTGGACACACCTTACGATGACGGAACACCGGAATTGCTATTCGTAATTTCTAATGAAGTAAAATAAGAAAGAAGATCATTGCAAAGTCATAAAGCTGCCGACTAAAAGGGCAGTTTGCTGTTGTTATTCATTTGTATGCTCCCAGAAAGGCAAACTTCATCCAACTACCTTGAGCGTAAAAATTTCACTTACTCGACCGAACCTCATACTCACACACAGTATATTTTATTTTTTTGTGGATCCCTCTTTTCCTCTCTTTTTTCTTCTTGCTCGAGATTGTAGTCGCTTTCTTTCTCAGCAATGGCATCACAAGGTCCATCTCCATCGCGATGGTCTCAGTCAACCCCTACCAGACAAAGTCAAAGTGACTTTCAGGCACAGGCTCCGCCCGTTCAACCACCGCATCATGGAGCCCCCCTTCCTCGACAACCCTCGAGATATTCACCACATCGTGGCAATCCCACTCCCCCTTCAGCAGCAAATCGCTATAGACAGTCGTCTGTCAATCGTCAGCGATCACTGACTCGTCCAGAGCGACAACGGCCGAGGCCTGGTATGGTCAGGTCGCGAGAGAACTCTGAGATCATTATACCTCCTGTAGCTGGACCTCCAGTGGATCCTCAGGTACAGCAGCAGAGAGTAGATCAAAAAATGAGAAACAGAATTAGGGGCTATCCCTCTGAAAATCGAGTCAGAAAAACGAGTGTCAGCCAACAACAGGGGCCGCCACAGGATGGTCGACTGCAGGCACAACGCAAAGAACTCAATCGCCGAGCTAGTTCAAAACGAAAACCGCCCAAAGCGAAAGTGAAGTTGACATGGTGGGCGATTACAGCTCAAGTCTTGACATGCTGCTGTCCCAACTGGTGTCTCAAGACATGTTTGAGAAAGAAGGACCCATTGGTGCGCCAGGCATGGCGTGAAAAGCTTACCCTCGTATATATCATCCTTTTCTGCTGTCTTTGCTTGGCTTTCTTAACGTTTGGTATGCGACTTGCGTTGTGTCCCCAGCAGCGTGTTACAAATTCATATTCCTACTTCAATGAAACGACTCAAACCCGGGAAAAGTACTATAGACAAGATATCTCGGTTTACGGCACCTTATACCCATACTCCGTCATACAGGATTTCCTGAAATCCAAATATAACATTACCATTAATGGTGACTATCAAGGCGAAGACTTTAGCCCCCTTTTCGATGCCGACGGTTCTTCAGTATGTAACAGGTACGATGCTGGCAAGTCTGGTAATGCTAGTACCATAGGTAACTGTCATGTTGCCGACCCATATGGTAAGTGCTCGGTAATTGGACTTGCAAGAAGGAGTAATAATAAAAGTATGGCCTCCTTTTTAATTAACTTGCTATGCTAACTAACTGCAAATCTACTTTATTGTAGGAGGTGGCGGATTGTCAACTAGTAACAACCAATGTATTCCCTACTCTGCGCTTCAGAAGTTCTATCAGTCCGACAACCTACTCAGTTATGACTGGATGGATCTGCACCCAGACGGTCTGCAGCTAAACTACAAGAATCCACCTTCCCTCATCGTTTTGGGTGACTCTGGTTTGTATTGGATTGACTAAACTTCATTCTCCTCCACAAACTTGAAAAGGCTAAACGTGTTTACCTGCTTTTTAGTGCTCAACATTTCCGCATACCTCAATCAAAATACCCATTTCTTTGGAAATCAAACAGATACACTTTTGCGAAATTTGAGGGGCCAAGATGCGTCCTATTTGATGTCAGCAGTGGGCGAGGCGAATACGGCAAGGGCATGTTTAACAGCTAGATATGCCGCCGGCGTCATTTCAAGCGACACCATGGGATGCATAGCCGACGATATCATTGTCGACGTTATGCTTGCTGTCATTATTTGCTTGATTGTCGTTCGCTTCACCATGGCTGTAGTGTTTCAGTGGTTTATTGCCGGAAGATTGACTAAACCTGGTGGTCGGTCTGGAGGCGTTCTCGCATGGCGATCTGTTGCAGGTGGTAACGCCGATCCTAATCAACACCGTCCTCCACCAGAAAATCGATACGCTTTGTCGTCCAACTACCCGGCGCCGTCAAACAGTTCTTCATCGCTCAATGCATTGTCCGTTAGGGGAGACTCATCGACCATTAGGGCAGACTCATCTTCGTCTGCATCGCTTACTAAACCTATGGACTCCCCAAAGCCCAGGCCGACTCCGACTCCAAAAGGCTCTTCTTCTGAGATAGTGGATACTCGCTTGCATACTATCATGCTTGTCACTTGTTATTCAGAAGGCCATAGCTCACTGAAGACCACATTGGATTCCTTGGCCTCAACTACGTACTCGCGCAAGCACAAGGTAAGACAAAGACGACACTTTTTCGCATCTTATTTCCCATAAACTTTATATTTAACATACCTTGGTTTCTTCTCTCTAGATCTTTTTCATCATCGCAGATGGAATAATCACTGGATCTGGAAACAAAAAGTCTACACCACAAATTTGTATCGATATGCTAGATTTGGAGCCAAGTATGGAGGAGCCAAAGCCCTGTAGCTATATCGCCATTGCAGACGGTGAAAAGCAGTTGAATGCTGCTCAAGTAGTATGTATTTGAGGACATGGCATGGTCCTTTCCTCACGAATTTTCATAAAAACCATGTTATACTCATATTAACGATTGCTTCGTATCAATTTTTTTTATTACAGTATGCTGGTCATTACAAGAAGGTCCCTGTGATTCTCATCGTTAAGTGCGGAACAACAGCTGAACAAAAAACAAGTCGTAAAGCTGGTAACCGTGGCAAGCGTGACTCTCAACTCATCTTGATGTCTTTCTTGCAACGAGTGCTGTTTAACGACCGTCTAACTGAGCTCGACTATGAGATCTTTTGGAAAATGACCTGGCTAACTCGTGGAGTAACTCCTGACAAATTCGAACTCGTACTGATGGTATGCATTTATCTACATCATCGTCTACAATAGTTCACACTTTGACTCACATTGTCTTATAACTTAGGTGGATGCCGACACAAAGGTTATGCCAAAGTCTCTCACTTACATGGTAGCGGCTATGGTGAACGATATTACTATCATGGGACTTTGTGGCGAGACTAGAATTGCCAATAAGCGCGAATCTTGTAAGTAAAATAGACCATTCAAGTCATGCCACTACAGGCAATGATCTGACTCTTGTTTTTCTAGGGGTCACTGCTATTCAAGTTTTTGAATACTACATATCCCATCATTATTCCAAGGCTTTCGAATCGGCATTCGGTGGTGTTACTTGTTTACCTGGTTGCTTCTGCATGTACCGTATCAAGGCTCCCAAGAATGGTGCATGGGTGCCAATTTTGGCTAATCCTGATATTGTGCTCGAGTATAACCAAAATGTAGTCACCACACTGCATGCCAAAAACCTTTTGTTGCTTGGAGAAGATCGTTTCTTATCCACACTGATGCTACGTACATTCCCCAAGAGACAAATGATGTTCGTTCCTCAGGCTAAATGCAAGACTGTGGTTCCAAATACTTTCTCAGTGTTACTCTCACAACGCCGCCGATGGATTAATTCAACTGTGCATAACCTTATGGAGCTGGTTCTGGTTTCTGATCTTTGTGGTATCGCTTGCTTATCCATGCAGTTTGTCGTAACCATTGATTTGATTGGTACCATTGTGTTGCCGGCTGCTATCTGTTTCACTATCTATCTCATCGTCATCACCTGTGTCAACTACAAAAATCCTCAATTCCAAGCTCTCTTCTTGCTTGCAGCTATTCTTGGTTTACCAGCACTGCTTATTGTCATTACTACACGCAAGGTGGTCTACATTGGCTGGATGGTGGTAAGTGTAGATGGCTGTTTGATTGGGAAGTATTTAATTAGCCAATGTACTCACACACACCCTTTTTTAGATATATCTTTTCGCCCTTCCCATTTGGAATTTTGTACTTCCAGTTTACTCGTTCTGGCATTTTGATGACTTCACTTGGGGTCAAACTCGCAAAGTGGCTGGAGAAAAGAAGGAAAGACATGGTGTTGCTGATGGTGAATTTGATTCCTCACAAATCACCATGAAGAAGTGGGAAGACTGGGAACGAGAAAGACTTGGTAGAAGAAAGATTGGTATACATGGACCTCATCGTAACAGTCTCATCACGCCTACAATTAGCCCAATTCCTGGCCTTGATAATAAGGGTGTGATTCAAGATGCCTATGGTGATCGAAGGATGTTTGGTACCGCTTCCCGAAGTATGCTTACTAGTCCCATAAGCTATCGGCCATCTTCCATTGTCAATGCGCCACCGAGTCCACGCCAGGGACCGGTAGCTACAGGACCTCGATATTCACAACCTCAGCCTGGTGGCGGATCTCCGTATCTCACCGCAACAACAGTCTCTCCACAAGCTCCTATAGCACATCGTCTATCTACACCTAATATAGAAGAGGTAAGCTGGAGGTTGAAGTAGTCATGTAAAGAAGTTGACAATGATGACTGACATAACATTACCTGATAGCGATTCCGAAATAGTCAATATGAAATGCAATCCACATCTAGCTTTAATAGACCTTACAGTTCATACGCCAATCGATCGTTCGAAAATCCACCACCTCCTATCAGCAACTCATCGCGATCCAATCTTAACCAAGGTTCCTTTGGACCAGAGTCCTCCACATCCCACCCACTCCCTCCCTTACCATATCCTCCCCCATCGCGTAACAATGATTCGGATGTATCGCTTCAAGATGTTATCACTGCATTTGATAGGAACAGGCAAAGTGGACGATATTAAACATGTAATAACAGTGAAAAGATAAATCATTTATTTTAATAGCATATAAAAAGTTGGTATCCCTGTAGAGAAAATATAAGTCATTGCTGGCAATAGTGAGGTGATCCAAGCTGAATAGCAGCTGTAATTGCAGGAGTCGTCAATTTTGGCTTCTGCTTGCCGGTTTTACTTGTTCTTTTGGCATCCTAGAGACAAGCAGTTCCAATAATACTACCCAATCGCACTTTTTGTGAATTATGCCGCTGATAGCTTTATTCTATAGCGTATAAACATGCAAGACAGCTCGATCTTGATGACTTTTTGTGCGGTCGCGATCTGAGTCCCGCTGGCTGGCTGGCTGGCTGGCTGGGTTAGGCGACAGAGGGATAGCGTGACGTCAGCATTTTTGGATGTTGTTTTGCAGGCAGCGAACCTTAACACTTGAGGTTTTCGAGATTCACCGTTTAACGCAACTCCCCTCTCACCTTCAAGTTTTTATATCGATCTCCCTACTCTTGTTGCTGAACAATGTTGAGGACAATCGCCGCTAAGCGAGGTATGCATCTGCATCAATGGTCGATCCTCAAGCCGTTTTATAGGCTTTTCCGTATAAATGTGAAATTCACTAAACAAAAAAATGTTGCAATTCATCAGCCTCAGCTCTCGTGAACAATCTTAATGTTGTTCCTACAGTAACTCGCTCTTATGCTACTCAAGCCGATCCTAACGCTAATCCCATCAATGGCAGAACCTCGTTCGGTAGCTTGTCTGATGACGACCGTATTTTCACCAACGTCTACTCCAAGCACGACTTCCGTTTGAAGGGCGCCATGAAGCGTGGTGATTGGCACAAGACAAAGGAAATCTTGCTCAAGGGTCACGAATGGATTCTTAAGGAAATGAAGGAATCCGGTTTGCGTGGTCGTGGTGGTGCTGGTTTCCCCACTGGTCTTAAGTGGAGTTTCATGAACAAGCCTTTAGACGGACGGTAAGTCATTCAATGAACACGATAAAAAATTTGTTCTATACGTTCCTCTGCTTTCACTAATGAATTCGTCTCTTTTTTTTTATATCACTTCTTGCCTTACTTAGCCCCCGTTATCTCGTTATCAATGCTGACGAAGGTGAACCTGGTACCTGCAAGGATCGTGAAATTCTCAGAGGCGATCCCCACAAGCTCATTGAAGGTTGTTTGGTGGCTGGACGTGCTATGCATGCCAATGCCGGTAAGCTGTCAACCCACTTAGAATCACCCTGCAATCATACAGAAAACTGACGATTTACCTATAACCAGCTTATATATACATTCGTGGTGAATTCTACAATGAGGCTTCAAACGTCCAGGAGGCTATTAATGAAGCCTATGCTGCTGGCCTCATTGGAAAGAACGCTTGTGGATCAGGCTATGACTTTGATGTCTATGTTCATCGTGGTGCTGGTGCCTACATTTGCGGTGAGGAAACCTCTTTGATTGAATCACTCGAAGGCAAGCAGGGTAAGCCAAGACTGAAGCCCCCGTTCCCTGCTGATGTCGGTCTTTTCGGATGCCCATCCACTGTTACCAACGTCGAGACTGTTGCTGTCGCTCCCACCATCTTGAGACGGTAAGAAAACGACGCCATCTTGCATCAAGTTCACTATGTCCCATTTCTTACTATGGCTTTTTATTTTTAACAGTGGTGGCAGCTGGTTCGCTGGCTTCGGTCGCGCTAGAAACCAGGGTACTAAGCTCTTCTGTATTTCTGGTCACGTTAATAACCCATGCACAGTCGAAGAGGAAATGTCTATCCCACTACGAGAGTTGATTGATAAGCACTGCGGTGGTGTCCGTGGTGGTTGGGATAACTTGCTCGGTATCATTCCCGGTGGTTGCTCCGTTCCCGTCCTTCCCAAGAACATTTGTGACGACGTTTTGATGGATTTCGATGCTCTTCGTGATGTTAACTCTGGTCTCGGTACCGCAGCTGTCATTGTCATGGACAAGACCACTGACATCGTCCGAGCTATCTCACGTTTCTCAGCTTTCTACCGCCACGAGTCATGCGGTCAATGTACACCCTGCCGCGAAGGTTCCAGATGGTTGGAAACCATGATGAACCGATTTGAGGAAGGCCGAGGAAAGCCTGAAGAAATTGACCAGATCTGGGAAATCTCAAAGCAGATCGAAGGTCACACTATCTGTGCCCTTGGTGATGCTGCTGCCTGGCCAGTTCAAGGTCTTATCAGACACTTTAGACCCGAGCTTGAGTCTCGTATGGCCACCTTCAAGAAGTCCCTTGAGGCCGCACAAGCATCCGCTACTGCGTAGAAGTCTCTGCACATATACACAAGACACCTTAACGATTGAAATCAAAGATAGTAACAACCCTTAAAAAAGTTTTTTAAAAAAAATAAATCTAACAACTTAAAAAAGTAGTAAGCCCCATCGTTAATTGGATTGATAAACATCGGCTTGAACCTTTTCCTGTTCTTGCTATGTTGCGCACGTTTTGCGGACGCTGAAATTCCAGCAATAACAATCGCGCAGCTGACTAACGGCAGCAATAGCAACGTTGTGCATGATTGTAACATTCTCGTACGATTTTGATCACACAAACATGGACATCACGCCAATACCCAGTTTCACCAAAGTAAGAGCTTGTTGAAACTTGATCATCCAGGCTAAATCACAAATGGGCACATCGGATTGTATCGGTTTCTCAGTTTATATTGAACTTCGTTTACCTTTCAGTTGCTACAATTTGCTTTCTTCTACAAAGATATCTGATCAAATCTACTTCGGAACAAAATTACCTAATCAAGGAAGTGAGAACTTTAAACGTCTCCTCGGGTCGTCCATTGGCATCAAAAAAAAAATACGTTCATGGAAAACACGCGAAGCAATGTGCAAAACACGTTCAGAACATATGTAAAAATAACAACTCCATGCGATCAACGGTTTCTGCTATTGACTCGTTAAGTCTGGGGCTCAGTCCATCTTCGATCAGCCCATGTTGATTTGATGGTTGTTTCACAGTTTTGGTATACAAAATGCAAATCCTCCAACCCCCTTGTATTTAACGGCATTTCGTATCAGTCGGTTGGGTATAAATAGGACAACCATCCCACAGCATTCCCCCACATCCAAATCGAAAAAATGTCAAAGCCAGCCTTGGAACCTCACACCGCCCAGTTTGTTGATTCCCTCAAGGGAGGAAAACCTATGGAAACATTGACCCCTACGGATGCCCGTAACTTTTTGTCTGGTGCTCAAAGTTCCATTCAATACAACATACCCGCCGCTGTTGAGGAGACTACCTTCCCAGTAGGTCCCACTGGGGAGGTTTTGGTCAAGATCGTTCGCCCAGAAGGCGCTTCCGGCACCCTCACTCCTATCGTCTACATGCATGGTGGTGGTTGGATCCTTGGTGACAGAAATGTCTTTGATCGTCACATTAGAAGCTTGTCTATTGGAGCTAACGCCGCCCTCTTCTTCGTTGAATACAATCGTTCTCCCGAGAGCTCCTTTCCCGTCGCTCCCGAACAAGGTTATGCTGTACTCGAATACGTTGCCAAAAACGCGTCTTCTTTAAAGGTGGACGCTTCGAAGTTGGTCGTTGCTGGCGATAGTGTTGGTGGAAACATGACCGCTGCTCTTTGTCTCTTGGCCAAAGAGCGTAGTGGCCCCGCCGTTGCTCTCCAAGTCATGTTCTACCCCGCTGTCGATAGCAGAATGAACACTGAATCTTACAAACTATATCACGATGGTCCATATCTGACCGGAGGCATGATGAAATGGTTCTGGGATGCCTATGCCCTCAATGACGAGCAAAGGTCAAACCACATCGCTTCTCCTTCTTTCGCTACCACCGAACAATTGAGAGGTCTTCCTACCGCTCTGATTATGACTGCCGAGAACGATGTTCTTAGAGATGAAGGTGAAGAGTTTGGAAGACAATTGGCTAAGGCTGGTGTTCGCGTCACTGCTACCAGATATCTCGGCACTATCCATGACTTTGTATTGCTGAACGCCATTAGCGATACACCAGCTGCCAGAGGCGCTGTCGCTCAGGCTTGCCAGCATATTCGCGCTCTCTGAAGCCCATTGTTAATATTGCCATAAAGCATACTGTAGGCAAGTGCAAAATTATGAAGATGATGTGTGCACGGTATGAAGTAAGCCCTCATGTAATTAGCTGTTACTATAGATGAAAAATGGAACGTATTCCACACAAATAAATTGTACCCAAAGTACGTTGGACAAAAGCCAGTGAATGAAACTTCTTTCATAGTTCACTTCTCTGGAAGATGCTGATATCCATGAGAGAACCAGGCGATCGGATGAATTTCGGTCTGCGTCATTCTGTTTGACCCTTTTAAAATAATGCATGCATACTACGTGCATGAAAGGAGTCGGGTAGAATTATGCCCATGTTTGGTTTCACATTTGGCAGGTATACTTCGTTAGCCGCACACGGTAGCTATATGAATCATTTTCCCGTATTGCTGGTGACGAGTACAGCGAAGAAGTTAGCTTTCACATTTCTAGAATTTTAATTCTATTTATCATTTATAAAATTCCGCAGAAACCATAATAAAAAATAAAAATGACAAATGAACGATGTTATGCTCGCTTTGTTGACTGGTGATTAAAAGCTCTCAAAATCATGGTGAGTGCACAAATTTTATTTCATATGAGAACCTCCAGCATGAACAGAGTTCAAGAACCAAATACGCTTTTCACACTCATCAATATGATCTTCCAAAATGCTGGTAGTAGCACAGTCGCCGTTGCTATCACAAATACCATGAGCGCTGCGTTGTTCCTTGAGAAGATTGAGGTTATCGGCAATAAGGTGAGTGATCATCTTTTCCGGCTCAACAAAATCTTCGTTATCGTCCTTGATGACTTTCTGTAAGCTGGAAATATGTGATATGCTACGAATAGTGGTTCCTCCAATGCGTCGGACTCGCTCAGCGAGAGGGTCAATGCTACTGTAGATGCTTTCGGCTTGATCATCTAACAGCAGATGGTAGTCCCTAAAGTGGCTGCTTGCGACATGCCAGTGGTAGTTTTTGGTCTTGACATACAACGCGAAAGTGTCTGCTATCAAAGGGTTGAGGGCAGCCGAGACCTTCTCGACTGACTCCTTCTTCAGATCTGTTGGTGTTGCTAAAAGTTTGTGTACGTTCATTGATAGCTGGCGCAGACGAGACATTATAAGAGATTTTTCTCTAGAAAAGCAAAAAGTCTTTTATAGCTCTTTATTTTTTTGGTGGAGAATATTTATGCTGGAAAATTACGACGTCCTTGCATGAACAGGTCCATTAATCGATAAAAATTTCCTTTCTCTTCAAAGACCAGGAAATTATACAATGGCTAAAGGAATAATAATTCTACTCTTCTCGATACTGAGCACTACATGTTTCAGCATTATATCATGATAAAATTACATGTCTATACTTCAAATGATCGATCGTGCCTTTATTACCAAAACTACGGATCTACATTAATCATGTAACTCTGCAGGATGATTCAATACTTGGTAAAACATGGCAAAAATTTCATATCGGCCGATTTATACCGTGATGCTTCCGCGCAATTGTCCAAAAGACATGGAACCTCTGTTAAACTTTCTCTGATGGTCAATCCATACGTCAAAATCGACAGGTCCTACAGATTTCTCGCTGGGCTCATTAAAGAACAACAGACGATAGCCATATTGCCATGCTTATCGAAAATCATGCATTGTGTTGTTCAGATAGCTGGAAGTTACATCCACATTCATGCGCCGCATTAAGTTTACATAGTATACATGCTTTATTGACCTTAAAAATAGCCATGGGTGACTTCCAAGCAAGAGTAAATATATTGATTTCAGCCATCACCTATACATCACAACACGTAAGTGTATCTGCCGAGCCTGCTCCCATGCACAGTAGAAGCAAGTCTTTTGTTGTTTGACCAACGCATGCCAACCACGCTCTGAGCACCAAGCTCTTGCTGCCACCTCTGCATTACCAGAACCTTGGACATTGACAAGCAAGATACCGTCCCATGCATTTAGTCCCTTCAGTTCGTTGGGAGTTACAATGTTCCGTCGTACATTTGAAAACTTATCCTTGTGTACAGCGTGGGTTCCAGTACATGGGTGGCTACATAAGAATAAAGAGTTTGCATGCAAATTATAGGTCACTGCGGCGCCGTCAATTTTCATCAGGAGCGATGCCGAAAAAGTGGTGTCCAAAGGATCAGCGTAGCTCACTTCAATTGAGACTGGGTTCTTCTTGAGTTCTATACCAATGATCTCGTACTTGTCTTTTTCGTTAGGCCGTTTGAGTGGGTTGGGTGGGAGTGGTATCATCCAGTTGGATGGATTTTCATAATTCTGAAGCACTTGATTAATTTCTTGTGCGGTTGGATTATCGCCAATGGCTGGTATGATGTTATCCGCATTATCCAAATCCGCATCAAAACTTGTTATGTCGGTATGGGGGATGAGTCGAGCCGTAACTTTGACCCATTCAGGCACTTTGGGCAATCCTCTTGCCACCACGGCGCAAGGGCCGACCCAATCCAAACTAGCTCTTACGCCAGGTGCTGCCCCCAGGACTCTACCAAGAACCGAGGTAATTCTCCAATAGGTCTTATCTTTAAGCACAAGGCCAGAGTCATAGTACGGAGCTGTTCCCAGGCGTTCGGTTTCTGGTGAGAATGTGGTGAGGGCTGACATGGCCTTGAAACTGTAATATTTTCCAGGCAGGCAGAGTCCAAAAAGCCAATCCCATACTTGCGAACTTATAGTTGCGCCAGAACGAAGGTCTCTGTAGATTGTTTCAATCTTTGATCGTACTGAACCTAGATACGGCCAGTTCATCAATTCTGCGAAGCGTATCAAACCAGCCGTTTGTTGCTCGTAAACCAGAGAATGCCAAGAATAATTGCCGGATGAAGCAGGATTGAGCGTTAGGTTCATACCGTCCCACCATCTTTTGGCTACGATCAAATCTGCCTTTATTTTTTCACGGATTGCCGATTGGAACGAGTTATCCTTGATGAGGGGAAGCCGGAGCCGGAGCTCGGTTGCCAGAAGAACAACGTAGAGGAAATTAGCAGTATCATTTGCGGTTTGTGACATGGTCCTGCTGACCGACGAAATAGTGGTAAAGTTAATCCACCAGTCACTGTTGTTGAGCAAATTGATAAGAGCGCGACATTGAGTTTCGGGTTCATAGACATCGTCTTCGCCAGAAAGAGCGAAGCAGCCTGGACCAACTAGTTTTAACAAGCTGTCGTATCGTTCTTTTGGCGTTTCGGGTAGTCCTATTAATCTTCGAACAGACAATAATTCTATAAGGGCAGGCGTTTGAAATGGGGGAATTTCTGGAGAAAGCCAAAACGTGACTCGAAGTTCGACATCAGCGCTTTTAATGTACCAATAAATCTCATTGTTAAAAGCCGCTAGCGACAAAGTTCCTGGGACTTGACCTTGGTAAGACGGAATGGCTTCTGGATCCACCTCGCTGTAATCTTGTATTTGCTGTAGCAGCCCATTTTCCTTCATAATATCTGACGCTTCTAAGAGCTTGAACGAAGGGTGCTCACAAGGAAGTTCATCGGAATAGCGCCTAAGAGCCGGATCAGTCTTTGGGTTCTTTCCATCAATGGTGACGGTCATTTTGAACTCGGTCGAACTTCTTACGCCACCAAAAATTGCCATACCTCTCCTTGCTTCGTCCACCCTTTTTTTGATGATTAACAGCCGTTGCTCTAACGTCATTGTGGAAGTATCAATGGCATCAACGGTGATAGGTCGTGCCACAGGAACTTCATGTGTCGGCACCGCTTTGCTAATCTGTGGTTTAGGCTTTTCATAAACGGATACAGGAGTTGATACTGAGGCGGCATAAGGTGGAGGGCTTTGAGAATCAGGCTGTGCATGACCCTCCGCCTTGTTCTTATCCTTCTTTTTGAAAAAGCTGAATCCCAGTGATTTCCGTTTTGGTTTGTCTTCTCCCATTTTTTTTGGCTAGGGAAGCAGAAAACTTGTAACTTCGGCGACTATGTGGCCGCGGACGCCCTTTAGTTATACGTTTCAATAGCTGTCTCCGTGCGACCTTGATCTCGTGCAAAACTGCGCACTCACATCATTTGGATTCCTGTGGCTCAGTTATCACCACAGTCGTGTTAATACACGTATCCAGTTTACTATTAGTAGATGGTTTTCAGTATTACCTTGTTAATCGTGATATTGATGAGAAGTGATGTAGTAGCCCCATGAGAACCAATTTTTGAGGACGAAGATAAAATGAAAACATTTATACGAGGGAATATCATTGCAGTAATACCTGGAATAAACAAACTTTTGATATACGCTGTTATATAAACGGATTATTGATCAAAGGTGAGGTCTGCAAATGCTTAGAATCGATGGAATCGATGGAATCATAAAGATTTTCCGTGCAACAAACCAAGACATACTTCTTTATGTGAAATCTCATTGGGGTGGCTGATGTCGCTGACTATACCACAGATGATCGGAAAAGGAGATTTTGCAAGATTGGGCTGCAGCCACACAAAGCCGAATCAGCCTCTATAAGCAGAAAGCACGTTACCCATCATCCCGGTTGAGCAGTATTTATATGGTATATTACATACAATTACACAAACGATCGTTAGTGAGATCGTCTGAGTGATACTCTGCGCATTATAGATGAAACTATGAGATACAGTAATGACAGCAGCCCTAAAGCCAGACATATCCATCCGAACGCCCCTCTGAACACAGTATAGGTGGTTCTTGTATAAGGTAGACGAGGGAGTTGAAAAATAAGGGTTTGGTTGGACAGTGTTGCAAATTGCTGCTGGTATGGACTATCGCTAGTTGCGGTAAACACACCTGACATACCCTGACTACCACATCTAAGCATAGTAAACCCATTTTCAATTGCTCTCAGTGAGTTTCCTCTAGCATGGAAAGTGCCGATAGGTCCCCACGTCCAACTTGCTTGAAGCATTAAATCCACTTGGTTTTGACCTGCCTGATCTATCAGCGATGGAAAGTTGTAATCAAAACATATCCCTAAGCCAATTCGACCAAATTCAGGAGTATCGACATATTGCAGCACATTAGGCCCTGCTGGTTGGTCTTCCACACCCACTACAGGATGAGCCTTGTTATATCGCCTCAAAACCGTACCATTTGGCGCAATGAGGGTCATTAGATTTTCGAAAGTATCACCAATAATATTGATGTACGATAAAGCCAGGTAAATGCTGTTGTTACTCGCGATGGCGGAAGCTTGGTTCAAGAACTGTTGCTCATCCAAACCATCCATTGTCTGGTATGTTTCTTCGGACCATAAAACAAGTTTAGCTCCATCCTATGAACATGAGGCAATTTTTAGTGATGTCCATGTACTGATGATGCACTTGATGTTTACTTACGTTTGCCAGTTGTATGGTTTGGTTAAACCAATATTGTCGGTCTGAAAGCGTATAACCCGTGCCGTCCGTGTTTCCTATTACACATCCAGCTCTAACGACGTCTCGAGTAATATAGTTCGAGTAGCTTGTTTGATAGAACGAGCCCTTGATGATGCTAACTTGCCCACCACCATAAGCGAGGAGAACAGAAAAAATGAGACAGTAAATACTGAGAGGCGTGAATATAGTTCGAAGCTTTGATTTCAACGGCTGTTTGCCATTTAAATGATCGGGCTCGGTATGCGGCGAATCGTCACTATCGGTTGGTTTATTGATGACATCGTCACATTCTCCATATCCATTCTTCGGACCCTGAGTCCGGTCCTCATTGCCTCCAGTCAATGTTTCGACTATGACAGTGCCGAACCACGCTATGAGAAAATCCAGCATAGCTCGACCGCCAAATGAAGCAATCTGCCGGAATGAATTCCATAACATACCAGCTTGCGAGAAAGTGAAAAAGTCGCCTAATGGACTATACCATGCTAATAGGTTCCAAGCTCCAGTCCACAGGAACGGGAAGGTGTAAATTCGGAGTAAAGTTGACTTCGAGTTGTATGCCCAGTGATCAATGGCATAGCACAATATGACGAGGATGTTGATAGCAGCCGCTATGCCTGTAACATGATGATGATTTAGTATTAAGATCAGTAATCCGTCAGATTGATAAGAAGTACCTACCGATCAACAAGCCAACGTCGGCATATCCTGGAGTCGGATCCAGATTGAAACAGCCAAGCAAAGCAAGCACATTTCCAAATAAATTTGCAATATACAATGGTAGAAGGTTGCTCCATGCTGATCGACTGTAATAGAGGGTAACAGGAAATAATATTCATGTAAAAATGGGAATACTTTGGTATCCAACACCGAATATACTACAACAAGTATAAGCAAGGGTCAGACGCTGATCGTCTACGCAAAAGAGATTCAGTAATGTCATTTACCTCAACACGAAGATGAGTAGTAAAAGCGGCTGGCGCTGTAGGTTAGCCTTTTTGAAAAAGTCTATCTTCATAAAGTACAGTTAGGCATTCAACAAAGAATGAGAATCGACATTTACGTCGTTTTTATATTAGGGTGAGACGCCGCCTATCCCGAGTGTAACCTCTGTGAAAGACGCTCCCATTTATTGCCAAAGCTGTTGTCTAATATCAAAAATCCTAATTTGGGGAGCGGCATTGATTGTTAACATTTATTATGCTCTCTTTCTACGTATGATCATTATTCAATAGCTTTTGATTATCTTTGCAATTGTCGTCGTGGACTATGGTTCGAAAAGTTGACGTACTACTGTGGCCAATGAAACCTTGGCAAGCATACATGTGATTTTCCGACGTTTCCAGTCATACCATCAATTGATGGATAAACAGTATGTATAACCCGTACATTGACATTTCTCGAGCGCAGCAGAAATAAGTTTGCGGGGTCTGGATCAGAAGATTCCTTCATTGTTGGGCACACCAAGGTGTTGCTCCTACATCTGCATCGGAAGTACCCTATACATTAATTATCTGTGTATGACCAAACTGAGGTGAATGGGGTATTGCTGAGCCTTCAAAAACAATGTGAATATGCTTGATTTGATATTTATGTCGTTCATGTGGGACAATCCATGTATGACTATAGATGAGAAGATAACTTTATGTAAGCGAACGTGGATTTGACCAATCACAATACTTGAGAGGTTCATTCTGGGCTTTCTTGTCTTGCAAGCCTCGAAAGTCTATTTTCGTGTCGTATGGTTGATGAGGCATTTTTGGTATTGGTATTCGAGCATCATTGGTGCATTATGAATTTCTTTGTCGTGTTAAGCAAGATTTGAAACTTTTAATTTTCCAAGAATGACTTCAAACAAAGTTGTAGCACTCCAGTGCGTGCTATTCGTCCAGCATCGGGTCTGCGTTGGTATGCCTGGCGGTACCGATTCTTTAATTTGCCATGGTGATAAAAAGCATTGAAATGATGGTTGCATTGGTACTGTAATATTTTTCTATATAATCATGCTCATGGATGAAGTTCCAAACGTAATCGTTAAGTATAGCTCCAGACACTGCCAACAACTAGACTTCCTTCAGATGCTTTCTGTCTTGTTGCGACATGGCCAATATTTCTCGTCTGCAAATTTGATTGTATATCAAGAACCAATATTTCTCGGACACTTCAGTGGATGATTATATTTTATATGAAATTCATTTCATCGAATCCACCAATCATATAGTGTAATAGAATCTTGAGTATTGCAGCAGAGAGCTTTTTAATTTGCCTTGACAAGGAGAGGAAACCGAAGTCTCATGAAAATCAGAGTCAGGTGACTTCCTTAATTTTTTGATTGCAGAACAAACTAGCTGGCAAACAAGTGAAAAGTACGGACCTTGTTAGTTTGCGCTACCATGTCTCGCAGGCGCCAGCAGTTCATGGATGGATCAGACTCATCGGACGAAGAAGGATCCGATTTTAAAGCTAGTTTCAATATTAGCGAGCGCGACTTAGAAGAAGAAGCTGAAGGATTTTCCGGTCATCGAAAGCGTCGCAAGTTCACCAAAGAGGATGCCATGTTAGGAATTTGGGCTGAAGACGACGAAGACAGTAGCAATGCTCCTTCACCTGCAGCGGCGTCGTTGCGTCCGAAGTTTTCTTCTGGAATCAACTTTAAACCGTCAAAAGTTGATTCACCACTGTCAAGAACCCAATCGCCGCAGTCCAGAAACGAATCTCCCGAACCTTCAAGCAGTCGACCTGGTCTAGGAGGTGGCTCAGCAACATCAAGAAGCAGTAGTTTTAGACAAGCATCATCGAACTCTCCAGTAGTTAACAAGGAATTTGCAAAGTTTGCATCTCATGGTACTGGGTTTGGTATGAAAATGCTGCAAAAGATGGGCTGGCAAGTAGGCAAAGGTCTTGGTGCAGAAGGTGAAGGTATTATCAACCCAATCGAAACGAAGCAGCGACCTACTCGGATGGGTATCGCTTTTAAAGGATTTGATGAACGTACAACTCAGCACAAAGAAGAAGCAGCTAGGCGAGGCGAGGTACCGTCTGACGAAGAAATGGAAGAAGTTACAACCAAGACGAAGAAGCGTAGAGATGCCTGGAAGAAGGATGCCCTTACGCCAAGTGTAGAAAAAGAGGAAACTCCCTCCAAACCGAGGAAACAGAAAACTGTGTACAAGACTGCTAGTGAAATTATCAAGGAATCAGCCGCCTCCCAGCCTGTCGCTGATAAAATCATTGACATGACTGGCCCTGCCGCACGAGAGTTAACCTCTCTTTCTCAGGTTCGGTCTCAGTCCCCAACCATGTTGGAAACCTCCACAAGACTACCAGAGCTACGACACAACCTTCGTCTGATAGCTGATTTATCTCTTTCTGATCTGGATCATCTGACACGAGAAAAACGTTTAGCGGAAGTTCGAGCGCAAAATTTGGAACACGAAAGAGAGCAGTTGCAGAAGCGTTTGGATTCTGACGACGCAGAGATGAAACGTGTCGATGAGTTGCAAAGAATCGGGCGCGAAATTGAAGCAATATCCAAGAGTGCTTTGGCAACTGGTGCTTTCGAACAAGGTGACATTACAGCAATGTTTGGCGAGCATTTCAAGCTACTAGAGACGCAATACTCTGAAGAATTCAAGGCATTTGGGTTGGATGCTATGGTTGTATCGGTTTGGGCTCCTATAATGAAGTACGGTTGTGTTCGATGGGACGTCCTCAGTTCTCCAACCTGGGCATCTGATTTGGTATCTCGATGGCGACGACTTTTACCGTGTAATGACGACTTATCAAGAAACGACGATGTAATGGACATTGATGGAGGTTTTCAAGGCAAACAAAGAAATGGAAGGCGTGGCGCGGGGAGCGAACGTACCTTGCTAATGACCCCCTTTGAGTCGATGATGTTCACGATTTGGCTACCTAAGGTTCGAAGTGCGATAAAGTAAGTTCAAACACATTCGAAAATCGCGAAACAATGCCTGTCTTTTTTTCAGTTTACTGACAACCTCTTTGTATTGATTTTATCTAGCAACACATGGAACCCTAGGGAAGCAGATCCCATCATCCATTTACTCGAAGCCTGGTCACCACCTATCCTCCCACTTTTCATCTATGAAAGCATCATTGATCAATTAATATTACCAAAGCTATCAAAAGCGGTCTCCGACTGGGATCCTCGGAACGACCCTGTACAAATTCACACCTGGATCCACCCATGGCTTCCCACCCTGAAGGCTTGGCGACTCTCAGCTATATTTACAAGCATTCGACAGAAGCTTTCCGTCATTCTACGACAATGGCATCCGTCAGACGAATCAGCTCTTCATATTTTGGAACCTTGGAAAGAAGTTTGGGATGCCAATCCTATGGAGAAATTGATCGTCAAGTCTATTTTACCCAAACTCACGCAGGTAATGAGAACGGAATTTGTGGTCAATCCCCGAGAGCAGAATCTCGATCCATTGGTATGGTGCCTGGCATGGAAGGATTTGATCTCACCTGTATTGACTGGCCAACTGCTTGATAATGAATTCTTCCCCAAATGGTTGGACGTATTGTACAAGTGGGTCACGTTGAATCCTATGGATATCAATTGGGATGAAGTAGGACAATGGTACTCTTGGTGGAAGCAAGTCTTTGCATCCTATGGTCTTGACGATAATCCGGTTATCAAATCATCATTCCGTAAAGGTCTGGAAATGATGAATAGAGCCTCAAGCGGTGAGCGCGTTGAAAACCCTGCTGTTGTAGCAGCTCGATAGACGATAGCACCCATTGTACTTATATAAAAATCAAAACCTATCAATAACAAAGAAATAAACCTGCATGATCTTTACCACTTCTACTTGAAACGCTACCCACTTTGCGTTTAACCGCGCTGCCCATAAATCTTTTGGCCAATGCAAATAATCCCCACGCTTACAGATTTTTTAAAAAGATAAGTTTTTGTATGAGAATTTCTATAGCAATCAGGAATGGTGATGGGATGTACAATGCAGTAATTATAGCAGATATAACTTTTTCTTTTTTTCTACTTCAGTATTTCGATTTACTTTCTATATTTGCCAGTGAAAGTAACGCCAGGGCCATGTCTGCCCTTCTTCTTGGTAATTTTGCTCAAAGGTACATAGGCGTGTGGGTCTGCCTTACCCTTTATCTTAACATCACCACCAGCACGCTGTAGGATTGAGAGGACAATTTAGTCATTTGCCCGATCAAACTGTATTTCATACCTAAAAGTGACACTTTGTTTACCTTTGATCGATACTCCTTGCCAATGACATCCATCTTTCGTTCAATTTTCTTCTTGACGCGCTTTTCTTTATCGTCGACATCCATCATCTCGTCGTCGAACATACTGTCATCATTACCTCCCTTCTTCCACTTGATCTTGTTACGTTGACCTCTCGTGAAGCCATCAGCACTGTTCTGAGCTTGCATGTAGTAGTTTTCAGCCTCATTATTTTCTGCTGCAGCTTCGTCGCCGCTAGCTTCATTATCCGAGCCGTTAATGACAAGCTTTCCATCTTCGCCAGAACGGAAGGCTCCAGCTCTGGATGCTGCTTTTTGTGCCAAAGATCTTTGCTGTGGTTTGGAAGCTGCAATAAAACGAGTCAGCATATGTACATTGAACTGCAGTTTTCGAGCAATGGCAAAAAGGTAAACTTACAAGAAATGCGGCTGATGGCAGTGCGATCGAGGAAATCGAGAGGACCATCTCCATCTTCTCGAATATAAGCTTCAGTGACATATTTCTCTTTCTTTGTCTTCCTATCGGCATTGCGGCCAGATTCTCTGGTTCCTTGCATAGCATCGTCCTCATCAGAATCCTCAATCTCGCTCTCGCTACCATATACGGCTTCTTCATAAGCGTCTGCGCCAGTCTTTGCAACTTTGGCTTGTCGTGGAGCAGTTTCAATGTCCTCGTCCTCCTCTTCCCTGTTTGCATTCTTGGCACGCTTGGAGCGATCACGGCGCTTCTTGATGTTCAACACTAACTTCTTATCATCCTCAGGAACATTCTCTGCAACCTGTTCGTATCCGAATGAGCGAATCAAACGTTCGAAAATATGTCGTACTTTGGATTTGAAATGACTTTTGTGCTGCTTGTTACAGTTCAAAAGTGACTTGATAAGTTGAGGAAGGTGCTGTCCAATAATGGTGCTGTCCAAGGTAACGATGGCAACCTTGACGAAACCAAGGGCGGATTTAACAATTTCACGGTTGTTGGAGTTGACGAAAACCTCCATAGTTTGCATCAATTCAAACAAAAGAGGTTGAGGAAGTGATTCCTTAAACTCGAAAAATAAGCGAGAGAGAGAAGTAACGGTAGCGCTGATCATATGGGCAGTAGATCCAGCAAGACCAGCAGTCACCATGGTGAAGTATTCGGTGATGTTGGCATCGGCATCAGGAACGCTCTCATCCATGCCTTCAATCTTGCTGTTGACCACTGTTCCTCCTTCCTTCATCTTGTTACCCATCTCTACCAAAAGGTTGAAAGCAAATCCACGAGTCTTTTCGTTGACTTCCTTGGTTGCCATGACAGCCTCGGATAGGATAGAGGGAATCAAATGGAGATCATTGGACGGCAAGATACGGACGATATTGCCAAGAGCCTTGATTCTGTCTTTTTTGCTGGAAGGTGCGCAAGTCACTGTGCCCTCAAGGACACGGTTCTGCAAGTTTTCAATGTTCTTCTGCAACACCTGGACACCATTCTCACAACTGGATAAATGGTTAATGACTTTGTATGCCTTCTTCTGGAGAAGTGGTTCATCTTCCTTTCCGAGTAATGCAGATGTGACACCGTTGAAAAGCAGTTCTGCAGATGGAATATCCAAGAATGGAATCATAATGATAGCAAGATCCATCATGGTGTGGGACATAGGTGGGGGAACGGATGGATCGTTGATGACAGGAGTTGGATCTGGGTTTGCAAGTGCTTCACCAAGCAGGTTTACGACCTTCTTAAAGGTGTTGTTGATTTCCTGCAAGTAATCATTGAATTAATATGTGGATACACAGACAATATGACACAAATAGAAAATGGTTTGCTCACCTCTACTGGAGTGATTTGGAGATATGCTTTGATCACTTCACCCAAAAAGCCACGGTACATGGGAGGTACTTGACTGTAGACGTTGAAGAAGACAGCCAAGAAATTGACAGAGAATTGACTCATGTGCTTCAAGTTCAACTCTGCCTCAGTCTTTGTGATACCATATGCTTTTTGAAGATCAGCATCATCAGCAGCTGAAGCGGCAAGGGACTGGTTCTTCTGAACAAGGAACTGAAGGGCTTGTGAAATTGTTGGGCGAAGATCGGGTTGTGAATAGAGAACAGAACTAAATCTCTCAGCAACAGTGCTGTCAAAAGCAGTTCGCAGGTCATAGGGCAAGTCGCAGAATCCGGTAACCAAGCTCCAAATTTGATTCACAAGCGTCTCGTATACTTTAGCTTGCAACTCCAATTGTTGGGATGAAAATGTCTCCGCCTTTTGAGTAAGTCGATCTCCAAGCGGCATAAGTTCATTGACAAAGTAAGACAAAGAGGTATTTGTGGTGTATTTGATGAGAAGTGGCAACAAAAAGGCGCGACCAATGCCACCAGCTGAAGCTGAAGACTCGAGGTTCAGAGGCAGAATCTTCAAAAAACCTTCAGGTCCCATGGTTGCAATGGCAGCACCAAGAGTTTTGTCAAGCTCTTCCTTGTATGTTTCTTGTGCAGCCAAACGAAGATCGCCCAAAAGGGAAAGGCACTGGTTAAGCAAAGGAGCTGCATTGCGGTGAAGTCGACGGAAGAGAGCTTGCACAATGGTCAAAACATGAACCCAAGCGTGTTGATATCTGATACCAAGACCATTTTCGACAGTTGCAATGATTCGGTGCAATAGGGTATTCTCTGCTTGCTGGGCTTCTTCAATCATTTTATCCGTTATGCAATATTGAATGAGTGCACTTAAGCAGCCGGCGAGGATAGCGTGGTTGTTAGAAGCCACTTCCAAATCTTGGAAGATGACAGGGAACACGTTAGCAACCTCTGAAGCACAGTAGTCGGCATTCATTCTTTGTAAAAAAAAAATTAAAAGTTAGCGATAATGATAGCTTATTCTAAAGTTGAATGTCAAGGTACAAACCTGGCAAAAGCTGGATATGCTTTGGTAATGACCAACAACCAGGTTGGTAAAAGTCGATCGTCAATACCAGCAGGCTTAATTTCACAAAGTGACTAGCAAATATGATATGTGTTAGCACAGCCTTTCATGTAAACGTAAGTGATACCATCTATCAAAACTCACTCGTAATAACTGGGCAAACTTCTCATCATCGAATGAAATGTTGTCGGCAGAGAACAATGACTCAAAGACCTCGAACGAAGCTTGTGTGAGGAATGCATTGTTGAACTTTGGAAGGTGAAGCAACAATTGGCAAAGTGTAACAAATTGCTGGATGGGAAAGATTGATTAGGAACTTGACTACTGGTAAATCCAATGTATACAAAGATCTGAACGTACCGAAGCTGGCCAGTAAGGAACAATGGTCTTAAGCAGAGCCAACAGTTTCTGTGCTGCGGCTTGATCGTTCTTAGTGGCTTCTTTAAGGACACGCAAGGTGAATTCTGCGGTCATGTTAGAGGCGGGATGTTGAACAGAAGGGGGAGGTGGTCTAGACAAGATGTGTTTTACGGCATCTTGAGCACGCTTTCGAGACTGAACGAAAAAGGTAAGTAATTAGGCAGCACCAGATCTAGAGGTAGACTGTTATGCATCCCTTACCTTTGGCTTAGCATCAACGCTCATCACCAAAAGTGCCTGATACATCTTTTTTGCTTGTGACTGGTTCCAAAAAGCAGCATCTTGTGCAATCAACAATGGCTCAATACAACCAATGGTGGATCGGGCAACAGGTTGATCTTCGCTATCCTCCTCCAATGCGGCCAACAAAATGGGCAAAACATCAGCACATTTCTGTCTAAGTACAGATGCTGGAAGTCTTCACAACGATATTAGTTTTGAGTATAGATAAGAAATATTGAAAGAAATTTTGACATACTCTGGAAAGACTTCATCAAGCAGGTACAACAAGCATCCTCTAGTTTGTGGGGATCCATGGGTAGATTGGAGAGCAGCCATCTGAAAAACTATAAGTTATACAAAAATTCGCAAATCTCTTTAAAGCGACAGATTCATTCGTATATACCATTGCTGCAAAATATCCAGTTGGGGTCAAAGGTGCGTTTTGTTCCACCAATGCCTGTAGATGATGTTTTAGTACGGTTCTATCATCAGTCGCTATACCGTGACCTTTAAATTGATGCATACCTCTTCAATTGCCTGGAGAGTTCCAGCATACTTTAGATAGCAGAAATGTGAGTTTCTTATTCTTTGCTAATAGCGACATCAGTACATCGTTTCTAACCTGCTTCTGATTCTCCAACTTGGAGTTGATCTGAGTCCTGATCTTTGCGAATTTTGCTTCCATACTTTTCAAGTTTGAAATTAGTATGACAGGAAAGACTTGAATAGATCAGTAAGGATTTCAGGTCGTTGCAAGCTTTATAAATGCTTTGTAATTTCGCAGCGGCTTGAAGCAACAATGAACCTTTATGATCTCGAAACTTTTTTTTTTTTTTTCAACCAAAATTTTTGATCACCGACTCAAGCGAGCCCGTTTAGTGTGACTGCCATTTCAACTGTGCTCTTCGTTCACATTGTTCCCGGGAGTTTCACCTGCTTTCAACTTTTTGGCCACCAAGCGGCATAATGGCAAACATACACACAGATTTTCTTTCATTAACACTCAAACGAGTCGATATTAATAGAAAGGACCCCCTATTCCTTTATCAAATAGAGGTGAGTTTTCACATAGGAAGACACCCCACAGTGCTTGACTAAGTTATGCACTATTGCAGACTACGCTCCCAACCTTTCAAAACAAAAGTGGCTCTGGGGAGCGCACCTATTCAGAGTTTGAGCGACTAGCATCACATCTCACATTATTTTACGAAGATTTATATGTACCAGCGTTACCAGACCTTTCTGTGTCAACTTCAAACGGACAGCGTCCAGACGACGAGGATAATGTATTAATAGCTCGAATGCAGCGATGGATAAACCGTATTACCAGTCATCCGCGCTTCAAGGCCAGCGAGCTGGTCAGAGAGTTTGTAGAAAGTGGTCAAGGGGTAAGTACGATGATACTGTGCGAGAGTGGGGGTTGCTGAGTGAAAATAAGCTTTAGCGCAACTGACCATGTTGGTGGACTTCCTTTTAGTTTCTTCCGTTAGACAAGCCAGTGTCTTTCCATCGGCAAGCTTCTCGGTTTAAGCAACTTAAAGGAGGACTCGGAATAGGTAGCTCGACACCCGCCGATACAGATGAGGACTATTCGACCCTCGCCAACCAGACACAGAACTTTATTCAAGGTCTGCAAACGGCGTCCAAGGCACTTCATGCAAAATTCAAGTGCAGGAAAGGTAAATAACCAATTATGGAAGATGGCAGCTTTTTATCATAGTCAAATTGGAACTCAACACTGACGTTTCATTTTCTTTACAGCGTTGTCTTCTGCATACTTGGACATGGCAACCAAACTGTCCTCGTTGTCTGATAAGGAGACTAATGCAATTATTCAGAAGTGAGTTTGAAATGAGTTTCAAAACTTTTGAATTACACCCGTAGCTGTAGTACTCACTTTATTATTGACAGTACGTACAGAGGAATGGCTAACGTAGTGCAAGAGTGTGGAGAACTGCAGCGGCCGCAAGTGAGTTATAGATTAACAATTGTGGTGTGGGTAGAGCATAAAAATTTACTGGCATCGTATCCCGGGATAGGCTCAAGCTGAAAATGCAGTCATCGGTGATACGTTTGTGTATCAAATTAAAAATACTCAAAGTGTCAAGGTAAGCCCAAAGTTCATAGCATGGAGCGCTTAGCCTTCCCACTAATATCCTCTTTTTTTTTTTTAGGATTGTTTGGAAGCACGATTATCAGGGTTAGCACAACATCATGACGCTGTCAAAAATACTGATGCCAAATACAAAACCATGAATAAGCTGAAAGCATCTAACAACATCAAGGCTGATAAGGTCAACGACGCGATAGAAGACATGCACGAGGTATAAGGTGTTGCTATTGTCCATTTTTTTCAGCATGGATGTACTCACATGTGATACGCTGCTTTTCAGGCAAAGGCACAAGAGCAAGAGATACACCGAAGACTTGAAAAGGTCAACAAAAATTTGAAGCGAGATCTCAATACAAATTATAAGATTCAAGTAACAGACGATGTGACAAGCGCCATCACAGAATATGTGAAAGCACAAATTCAATTTGAGCGACAGCATTTGAAGAAATGGGAGAGTCTTCGGAACAGACAAGAATCATTCACTGGGGATCAACCAGCAAGAACAAGGGCAGAGTCGATTGGACGAACTGATGAGCGAAGGGCTGCCCAGCTGTTGAGTACCCATTCATAAGCTCCCGCGCCCTCTTGGTAACAATTTATTGTAATAATGTGCCTGGGCACCAAGTCGAATTATATAGGATGAAAGGAAATAAATAAGCACAATTTGTGCCTATGAAGCAAGCGAGGAAATGGCATTGGCCCAGTACCGAATTATCTCTCTACGATGACGACTGCAGGTCAGACATAATGACGATGCGCATAAAGAATGATGCCAGTGTGCATGTATTCCACGCACATTTAATATGGCAGCCACTAAGAGCTTTCATTCTGCACCTTGATGCCCAGTTGCGGCCGTAATAACTAACTCGGTAATATATCGTATGGCGCCACAGTGACTCAGGTACCCTCATTAAAATTAGTCAAGACAAGACGAAGATTGGCAATCGTTCCCTTTGTAACTGAAAGGCAGGGTACTTCCAAATTACTGCAAGAGACCTGCTGAATTCAATGCATAGCATCAAGTGCAGCGGGCCATTAAGCTCCACTCCCCCACGCAGACTAATTAGTGTATTATTATTATTTTTAATTTTTATTTTTTACAGTCAGATTTGGTGTGCCTGAAGTTGTACAGGGCTGGCTCTTTCTTTCCACCCTCACCCTTTGTATGCGTAGATGCTGTCGCCAAAAGGATGTCATACTTCCGTAACCTTACGAAGAAAGCGCAATTTCAAGAATTTGAGCTTGCAGAATTCACCCATTATTGTTCATCCGCCATCGCCGACCGACTCTTCCGGAGCGGGCATCAAGTCAGTTGATGGGGAATACAGTGGAGTGAATGGGCAGCTTCAAGATCTCGAGATTGGGTTGGAACTTCGGTTAGATCTTAGAGCAGAGGACATTGAAACCTTGGAAGAACTCGGTGCTGGAAACGGCGGAACTGTTTGCAAGGTATTGCATAAGCCTACGAAAACAATCATGGCTAAAAAGGTAAATTGAACCAATTGTTCTTGATGGAATGATAGAAAAAAATAATTACCCCAGTGTATCTGACATGGCGTTCTATCCGAAAGACAATATACCCCCAATCGTTATTGGATTCCCCCGCTTTAATCAACCAAATCATCGTCAAGACACCGGCCGATCAGCCACCGCAGACTACGACTCCGCAAGCGTCAGCCGACTCTACTTCGACGTCGCGACCCTCCCGGTCGGTATCTACTAATGTCCTTAACAAGACTCCCCAAAAACCCCTGACTCCCAGTAGCCACACCGATGTTGAACCTACTAAATATACGAATACGGATACATCGGCTGCTACACAGTTTGTTCGAGTCCACCACACCAAACACAAGGTGGATCCCAAATTGATGGTTCGGCGGCAGATCATGCGGGAGATGCAATATATGCACGACTGTGACTCCAAACACATCGTAAGCTTCTATGGCGCTTTTATGAACGACGGTGATATTTCCATGTGCATGGAATACATGGACATCGGGTAAGTCATTCACTCGCCCGAGTTGACAAATTATAGGCATATGACTGTACACTAAAACTCTTGTCCCCCCTAAGGTCACTGGACAGAGTATACAAAAAGCATGGACCAATTCGACACGACGTCTTGCGCAAAATTGCCTTTGCGGTCAGTATAGTATTTTTGTGCATGGATGTAGAATACTGCATGGAAAGGGTTTTCAACTCTAAACTACCCCATCCCACTAGGTTCTGGATGGACTGATTTATTTATACGACTGCCATCGGATTATTCACAGAGGTCAGTCCAAAAACAAAAAAATATTCAACATGGTCTTTTTTATTTTCTGTGTTTACGCATGCTCTGCTGATCAAACGAGCGTAATCCAATATTGACATGTTATTTTCACATCATCCCGCCCCCAATAAGACGTCAAGCCATCTAATGTTCTGGTGAATTCGATCGGGCAAATTAAGATTTGTGACTTTGGTGTGTCGGGGCCACTGATCGACTCGATTGCAGATACTTTTGTTGGCACTAGCTATTATATGAGTGTAAGTACCACCATCTATGTTATTTTGTTTGTTAAACAACCTTCCAAGAGAAATAGAATCCCTTTAAACTCACTTTTGTCGATACGACAAACAAAGCCCGAGCGCATTCTCGGATCACCCTATTCCGTCAAGTCAGACGTTTGGTCATTTGGCATGACGTTACTAGAATTAGCCATCGGTCGATTTCCACTTGTCAGTGAAGACGGTACCTCCCCGGCTGTATTTGAGTTATTGCAACGCATTGTACATGAGCCTGTCCCTACACTACCCTCTAACAAGACCTATTCCGTCGAATTGAAAAGCTTTATTGATATATGGTTAGTAAGATAATACGTATTTTTTTGGAGCACACAGGCGCGGAAATAAGACACGGATGGTTGATCAAACTTGTACCATGATTTCCTTTTAGTTTACTAAAAGATATGGACAGTCGACCAACGCCAGCAGATCTTATGGTAAGTTCAGAATGCGGTTGCCGGGTTTGTGTAGCCATATGGTGTACGATGTATCAGCACTGACCGCCATATCTGGATGGGTATGCCAATTTTTGTTCCTCCCACTTTTTTTTATTTGTATTTGCTCTACAGCAACATGGATATTTACTAGTACAAGAAAAAGTGGACCTGCAGCAATGGGCCAAGGAAATGATATAGAAATGACCTCAGCTCAGATACCCCCCTTCACCTTTTGTAGAAAGTAAACATTTAAATGAAAGAATACGTATCCAGACATTGCGCACTTACCTCTAGGCAGTTTAACTATCGTATGTATATCATGTCATGGGGTAGCAAGCTAGGCGTAATGCTTCAAATTTTTTGCTGACTAGTGTTGTGGTGCAAACTCGTTGTACTCAATGTGGCGGATTCCGTTGTAACAGTGGATGGAATGAAACGCCGTGTTGGACTATCTATGACCAGTCGTTACACGGGCTCAGTAATAAATGGCATACAGTAAAAAAGAATAGAATCGATGATCGGGGAGTACAAGTTGGTCAGCATAGTTTTGAAAATAGCCTAGGTGCACGGTGCTGTTGTTATTATTTGGGGCCCTCCAAGCTTCAAGTGAGCTTGCGTGGGTTACAGGAGATAATCATAACAAAGCGTGACGGAAGGCTGCGGGCTGTGTTTCCGCCTTCCGCCCGTTACAATATAACATCACACTATCACGTAAAAGGCATGACTGAGCTCACTTTGCAAAAATAACTTACAATATCGAAAAAAAGATAGTGCCGCTGGAATAAATTAATAGGCACAAATAGAGGACCATGTCTTTTAGCGCCAAGAATAGCTGATCCCCGCCATTAACTAATATACGAAATTTTCAGCCTAGTAGGTCGAGGCAAAGAAGCTCCGTGCACTCGGCTAATGTGACTCTTTGTGAAACATGCAGAAAGAGGGCTTGGGATGAACAAGTCATTGCTCAATGAGCAGGCAAAGCATGCAGACGGGGGACACATGAGGAGCGTACAAGAGGGGGGGGGAGGATAACCATTTTACTAAACGGTCATGGTTCTGAAATAATAAAACTCCATGTGGCAAAAAAGCTAATGCTAATATTTCTGAGTTTGCAATTTCGGACGCGGCTCCACCCCAAATCCAACGCAGTGGATGAGGTCTTCTTTTTCTCTCTTTTGGTCGTTGACAGGAAGGTAAACAGGGAAAAGCAAGGCACCTCCTTAATTTTATAGTTATGTCATGATCTTCTTCGGATGGGCCTCCCAATGGTAGGCAAGACAAGGAGATTGCTATGTTAGCGCTTAGCTGAAACTGAACGCGGGGTGTCAAACGCGCGCACAGGGATCCCTTTTCCAGGCAATTGGGTTTATGCTTAATAGGGTTTGCCTTACTTTTTCTCGTGACTTCCCTTGTCTCCATTTTCTTTCTATAAAGCCTGAACCTGGTCGATCCTCACATTTTACTCCAATTTTCTTCTTTTCTCTTTTTTGCCAGAGAAACTTTAACTTGCAGAAGTCAATACAACATTTGCCATGGATATTCACAATTTACTTAATCACCACCATAACAACAAACCCATCACCACCGAAACTACTGACAAACCATTCATTTGTGCTTGGTTCGACTGTGGCAAACGATTCTCTCGACGATCCGATCTATCAAGACATCGTCGTATTCATACCGGAGAAAGACCCTATCAATGTGATTGGAATGGTTGTGGAAAACAATTTATTCAAAGATCGGCATTGACGGTTCACTATCGTACCCATACTGGCGAACGACCACACATGTGCGAATACCCATCTTGCGGCAAGTCTTTTAGCGATGTAGGTATTCTTGCCAATGCGTGATATATGCACCCTTGAATCACTTTTATTGATACAACGTCCCCCAAATAGTCATCCTCCTTGGCAAGACATCGTAGGACCCATACTGGAAAAAGACCCTATGTTTGTCCGAATGACAACTGCCCAAAATCATTTACCCGCAAGACAACCTTGTCACGTCATTTACGAGCCCATGAAATACACCGCCTATTTCCATCCAATATGGACAACCGTTACCCAATGGATATGGACGAAAAAGTGAGGTCCCCCTCCTCCGATTCATACTCTTCGGATGATGCTGCTGAAAGCACCCCGTCAACTCCCCCCAACACATGTCGATTACAGTACCAAGCCTCACCACCACCCCTGATCACACCTATGGTGGTAAGCCGACCTAATCTTCAATATTCTGGCCCTACCTATCACACTCCTTCCCAGAGAATGCACCACCAGCCTTGGAATCACTTACCTCCTGTTCAAATGCCTAACAAACAACCAGCCATGGCAACATACCCAACACATCGCCAAGGGGGTCTCTCTGAAGCTTTACCCGTTAGAATTTGATGCTACTTCTTTCTTCCCCATGGCCGCTTGTATATACCTGTACTCTCTTTTGAAAAGAAACAAAAAAAAAAGTCCTTTCTGTTGTTATAATCATCTCTTTGTATACCTTCTCATCACTTTTGCGATTTGTTACCTTTTTTTTTCATTCGCCTGAAAAGTCGTTTTTGGTTTTATTTTCTCCGTTTTTCCTTATGACATGTCCTAAGCTTTGATGTTTATTTTGGTTCAAGTGTTTTGCATTCATTTTAATGTAACTGTATTATGCGAAATAGAAAACTCGGTGATCACGTTGGGTATGTTAGCTTTCCTAAGTTAATACCAATGTCAGTGCTACACAGAGTATTAATAAAAAAAAAATTGAATCCACAGAAAGTTCATGTTCGCACCCGACAAGTGATTCTTTGTACTTTGTGTAGCGATAAGGAAATTATCATCAACAAAGTGTGTTGGAGCTGCGCGCCACATTCAAGCACACGCCCGCCTGGTGCGGGTGTCATCTGAAGACCAAAATAGTTGACATGTTAGATATCTAGTGCGGGCCTTAGCCTTGATTTGGTGACTGACCCTCTATCCCCGAGATCATCCAACCATTCATCCTATTCGCCGACCATACGATTTTGTTGCATTGGTACCTGTGCTCAACGAGTACTTGGTTCCTGACATCCAGACCATTTGTCATCAGATAGGACGGCCCATATTATAACTCATACACTCTATTCTCTATAGATAGAAAAATGGGGTTTTAATTTTGATGCACCCGTTAAAAATTATAAAGTAGTGCGGCCATTGCAATAACATCACAGAACTCCGAACTCCCCGCTTTTTCTTGTCGCATCCAATTCATCTGAAGCCCTTCTGTAGATGAAGTTAGTTGTGTGTCTTGCGTGCGCATGCACACCACTTATATTGGAAATCATTCCACGTGCTAGGATCGACGCAAAAGTTTTAGAAATGTTTGTTAGCCTTTTTCACCGCCTACTTTAATACGGTTACGGCATAGTCGCTAGACCCTTGGCTATATTGCAAGTATGCGATCAGCTTAAATATGAACTGCCATGGCTGAAATAAAAGAATGGAACAGCTATGGAATATTACACCATAAGCCACGATGCAGCAGTAATAATGATCATGCTGATTATGCGCAAGGCCGCTGGCCAAAGTTGGCAGCCCTCTAACTTCGCACAAAATATGAAAAGCAGGTGTAACGACAATATCCTTTTACTTGTATGATGGTCGTACCTGATGATAGGGAATGAATCACAACGAAGGCGACCAGCACAGCTGACGCTATCAATGAAAAACCCAAGGCAGCCTCCAAGTCTGGAAAGAAATCAAAACGAGGGTTTTTCCCGATACACTTATAATGTGTTATAACACCCTCCTCGTCGACAATAGGCTATAGCGAGCTCTTACAAAATGTAACTCAAACTGAACAAAAGTGTATTCAATATCAGTCTAACACATATCCTATCAACTTGTGCGATTTTATTTTCATCCATTTGAACCACCTCAAAGGCATTTTACACATATCACTGGTTTCATTTGTCTGCCTGGATTTACCAATAAGGATGCGCATTCAATGTATGGTCTATCTGCGCTGATGGTAGATCAGGATTTCATTGCCATACTTTCGGCTTCAGTTCAATAGCTTCCGTATCATATTTTGTTGTGGGCTCATGATTTCTCCTCTAAGCTTTAGGGTTACCCGGCTTGCAGCGGGAAAGAAAGGCGAGCGCTGACCTCATATAACGAGTCACGAGCCGGCGTAATTGTGTGGGGTTATTGGTGCTCCGAAGCCGATTTTCACCTCCAAGTGCCTGTTCTGCTTGAGAGGCCCGCTAATGCCATTCTATAGACCTTCGAGGCTTCTGCAGAATCTGTACCACGCTTCCAATGCTAACAGAGTCTCACGCCTACAAAGGCCAGTAATTCTTACCCGGGATTTTCTCACCAAACGACTGGTAAGATTCCAGCTTTTTACCCCTTAGTGCAGTATGAGCCACTTTGCACTTGGTCCTAACTAATGTCGTACTCCTTTCGCATGTCCAGGTATCAAGTGCGACCATAGCCGAAGATGGATCCCTTCAGGTAGATATGGGCTAGGAAAGGGTTAGAACCGACAAAATATGCAATTCTCATCCTATCCAAACAGCCGAACGTCATCCATGGAAAGGTCTTGGGGTTACGGTCATTTGTGCTCAATAGACCCTATCGAATGAATGCCTTGAACCTTAGCATGATACGAAACATATATCCTCAGCTGCAGGTACTGTATTATCATATGCGCTGTCTAAAGGGCTCTAGAACTTGTATCTAACACCCATTATGTCGTCACGCGGTGTTTATAGGCATGGGAACAATCGGACAATTGTAAATTAATCATCATGAAAGGAGCAGGAAAAAATGAATTTTGTGCTGGAGACGACGTACGAGGTACATAGCATCATCTGGTTCTGAATGTTGACCTGCCATAAGCCTAACCGTGATCATTTAGACATTTTACTCCAAGTCAAACAAAAAGACCCCAACGCGTTACATTTTTATCGAGAAGAATTCGACTTGATCCATTATATTTCAAATTTGAAGACACCTTATATTTCATTTATGAATGGCCACGCTCGTAAGTCAATGCTTTGTAATTGTTTTGCAACAGGGCACGTGCTGACCGCTCCATGTGTTAGTCGGTGCTGCACTAGGTATTTCTGTCCATGCACCATTCCGGATTGCCACGGAAAAGACCATTTTCGCCGTTCCGGAAGCTGGCATTGGTCTGTTCCCAGACGCAGGAGCTAGTTTTTTCCTTCCTCGCCTTGATGGTCAAATAGGGACGTTTCTTGCTTTGACTGGAACGCGATTGGAAGGCATTCAAGCGTTGTAAGTGTCAGCATGAGGTGTATCATGGCGGATTGTATTTAAATCAAAGCAATGTCTATAGTTATGCAGGTGTTGCCACGCATTATGTTCCTTCGGAGAGGCTAGAGCAGCTAGAAGATCGTCTGTCAGATATGGAGAGCTCGGATCATGAGGTGATCAATATGGTTATTGAAGAGTATTCGACGTTGACAGACACCAAAAAGATTGGGTTTGAACAAGAGACACGCCAGATCATTGATAGGTATACCTACAGGCTTAGCATCTCGTTCTGGATATAATCATTATGAAAATGGCGCCATACTAAGTGTTTTTCTTTTTATAACCATAGATGTTTCCGACATGACACAGTGGAGGCTATCTTGGAGGCGTTGGATCGCGAAAGACCAATGTCGTTCACCAGAGAGGCCAAATCAAAGATGCTTCACTATTCACCCACCAGCTTACGTGTCATCTTGAAGCTTCTACGAGCTGGCGCCAATAAGACGTTGGGTGAATGTTTGCAGATGGAATATGATTTAGTGCAAAAATTTATGGTATGCTATCAACGGGGGGTGTCATGTTCGGTTCGATGCTCGCCCAACTTCTATTCAAATTTCAATGATTGACTCATTTCAAAATCCACTAGGCTACTCCTGATTTTTACGAAGGTGTCGATGCTCAGTTGGTACGCAAGCCAAGGGAAAAACCAAAGTGGCAACCTCCAGCACTTTCCGACGTACCGACAGAAATGATAGACAGGTTATATTTCACCAAACCCTCGCCTAATTCCTTACAACTTCGTGAATCACTCGATTTCAAAGAATACCCATACCAACGCTACTCATTACCAAGCGAACTTGAAGTGCGAGCGGCGGTCCTAGGAGAGAGTGCAGAATTTCGTAACAGCGGCGGCATAGCGAGCACGGAGGAAACGGTGCGTTGGTTCAAGATGGAAAGGAAAAAGAAGAAAGGCGTGGCCGAGAAGGTCAGAGACATCTTGTCACGGAAAACCATCATCATTGATGGAAAGCTGTGTTGGCAAGCCTCTCTATAGTAGTGTGCAATAAATATCTCACATGTACTTTTGGTCTCCCCTCTTTTCTTTTTATGTTTTCTTCTTTCATTCACTTCACGGTTGGCTCTAGAATTATCACTATATTTTCCTCCTCACATCAGCCATAATGACGGGGGAGTACACCCAATCATGCACGAATTATATAAAAATATTTCCCAGTCTTTTTTTTTTTTTTTTTACTAAAACTTCTCAGCTTTTATTACACTACACGTAAAGTATTTTCTATAATTCACTTCTTCTCGGCCAAAAGCTTGGTAATCAGAGAAGTTTGCTCAGACTTCAAAGCGAGTAGCTTCTGGACGGCTTCATCGACCTTTGCCTTTTCGGAAGTCTTGTCTCCCTTCAAGTTTCGCACAAGCAATCCCTGTTCGTCAACAGCCTTGTCAAGTGCAACCAATTCATCGGGCTTAGGACCTTCCCACACTGGAGCGGCGGGTTGCTTCTTTGACTTCTTCTTTTTCTCTTCAGTCTTGGGAGCATTGCCACCATACTTGTCCTTCCAGACCTTCTCCATCTTCTCATCAATGCGAGTAAAAAGATATTCGGGCTTGGAAATCTTGTGGCTAGGGAGAATGTCTGCAGTGAATTCATCAGGGATGACACGCTCTGGAGCATTCAATTGGCGCAAGATGCCTACAGAGGTACCAGGCATGTATGGGTAGAAAACAGCAGATAGAAGATAGATGAGGTTGATACTGGCATAAATGACAGAGTCGCACTTGGCACGGTGGTTGTTGAATAGGTTGTTATCAATCTTGTTTTCTTGGAGGTAAAGGTTACCACGAGCGGAAATGCTCATAGCAATCGCCAAACCTTGTCGCAATTTGACACTTTCCAAAGTCTCGTTGTATTGGCGGAGAAGGACATTTACATCCTTGAAAAGTTGAACTTCAGAATCTCCAGAAAGATCGCCATCGGGGATAACACCATCGTACTTTGATGAGACAAATTTAATGACACGGTTGACGAAGTTTCCAACATTGTTGAGCAACTCGCTGTTGTTCTTGGTGATGAACTCGCTCCAGGTGAACATGGAGTCGCTGGTCTCCGGTCGAGAGGAGAGAAGGTAGTAACGCCAAACCGAGGCGGGGATACCCGTATCCTGAGCATTATTACCAAACACACCGACGTTACGTGATTTTGAGAACTTGCCGCCTTCGTAGTTGAGGTATTCGGTTGTGCTGATGTGGTGAAGCATAGTCCACTTTTCTCGGGTACCGGTCAAACTACCGGGGAAAATGACAGTGTGGAATGGCACATTGTCCTTACCCATGAACTGGTACAATTTGACGTTTTCGGGGTTCTTCCACCAGGTCTCCCATTCTGGGGTATAGGTGGCAGTAATAGAGGGGTAGCCAATGGGAGCATCGTACCAAACATAAAACACCTTGTTTTCGAACCCTTCAGCGGGGACAGGAGTACCCCACTTCAAGTCGCGAGTAATGCAGCGCGCCTTGAGGCCCTCCTTAAGCCATGATTGTGTGATTTGAATACCATTGCTAGACCACTTTCCTTCTGCTGATGACTTGTTGACGAATTCTTCGATTTCCGGTTGAAGTTGATCGAGGTTCAAGAACAAGTGCTTTGATTCTTTAGTGATGGGTTTGTTGCCATCAAGTTTGCAGCGAGGATTAACAAGCTCAATGGCGTTTAAGAGATGTCCACACTGATCGCATTGATCTCCACGAGCATCCTACCAAAATGATGTTAAATTAAATACCCTCTCCATCCGTGCGTTCTAGATGTCCACAATACTCACCTCATATTTGCAAAGTGGGCAGGTACCTTCAACATATCGGTCAGCCAAGAATCTGAAATCAAGACAATCTCTTTAGAACGTAGATCGACAAGCTGAGTTTCATGGTTTGAGATAGTACCTTTGACACTTTTCGCAATACAATTGGGTCATGGCAGCTTCAGATGTGAAGCCATTGGCATGAAGCTTGAGGAAAATATCCTGGGCAATTTCAGTCTGTTGAGGGGTGGTTGTTCGGCCAAAATGATCGAAGGATAGATCGAACCACTCATAGATGCTCTTGTGGATACTGTGGTATTTGTCGCAAAGGGCTTGGCATGAAACGCCTTCCTCGAGAGCCTTAGTTTCCGTAGCAGTTCCGTACTCGTCGGTACCGCAAATATACAAAGTGTTGAAGTTACGTGCACGGCAGTATCTGTGGATTTGTCAGTATTGAGCCACGCCACTCAAAATGAAAAAAAAAAAAAAAAAATTGAAACTGTACCTGGCGAAAACGTCTGCACTCAAAGTGGAGCCGATAATGTTACCCAAGTGAGGAACATTGTTTACATAGGGCAATGCTGAAGTAATGAGCATGTTTCTCTCGCCTTCCTTGGGAAGACTAGCAAGACTGATTAGAACTTTTCCATTCATGACTGACTTTGACAAACAAGATTTAACTCTTACACTTTGCCGTTGGAAGGCTTCTTTCTAAGAGCATTGTTGTTAATGGTTGGATATTCGGTATTCAGCTGAAGCTGGGACAGCTCTTGCGCTGATGCATCTACTGATTGCGAAGGCATGTTGAGAAGAATGGCTAAGAAGTACCTCGATCTGACAACCTTAATATGACAAAGAAAAATATGTAGCACGTGACCAATCGAGTGTCTTGCTTGGCCCTTTTTTTTTGTGACTCACTGTGGATACAAAATCCATGTAAAAGCATGTCGTCCACAAAGTCATTGTATGAGATTTTGGAGGTACATCCAGCGGCGAGCCCCGCTACTATCAAGCAGCATTTCCAAAAGCTGATTTTACTGGTATGTTTGGTTTGTGCTATTGGCATCGCATAGTGCATTCGTGGATCGCTAACCATTGGCAAATAGCACCACCCGGACAAGCAAACAGCTGCAACGGCAAATGACGAAGCATATATACACCAATTGCTAAAGGCATGGGAAGTCTTGAAAGATCCAGAGCTGCGAAAGTCTTATGACGCTCAATTGAAAGGTATACCTATAGCTATTAAACTTCAGCCATCCAGTGCTCCCGTTTACTGACACGCACTGTTACACATAAGCACAACAATTGAAACAGGGAGCTGTCATCCATGGCGAGGTGGATTTGGACGAGATGGACTATGATGAAGAGACAGGCACCTTCAGCTTGCCATGCCGATGTTCAGGGTCCTACACCATCAAGGAGCAGGATATGGAGACTGGCGTAGACATTGCCAATTGTGATAATTGTTCGCTGATCATACATGTTCTATACGATGTTGTCGACGATGACGACTAGTTTCATTCAGCATACGTCGCGCGTACCTGCTGCTCCCTCCGTGATGTCCTCTCAACTGAGCAAGAAGTATGATCTCCATAGCCTCTCGGATACACTAATATAATAACCTCTAGTAAGCATTAGCATTTCATCATGTAAATATACACACACTTTTCTCCTTCGGTTGAAGGCATTCAAAGCTGTTAGTTTTTTTGATATTGAGTTTTGTTTTAATGTCTGGTCTACAGTGAGAGGCGGTCTAATTACAACTAGTTTAATTTGGCGAGGTTTTCCAAGGCGTTCTTGACATCTTGAACGCTAGCGTTTTCAAGGTTAACCTTGCGTTCAACACCCTTGTCTACAGTTGCCAGTGCATGGAAATAATAACGAATTAGAACATGAAACTTGATGAAAACACAAAAGCCAGCGGAATGGCTGGCATGCCCAATGAACAAAATGCGTACCGAAGCGAGCGAAAATGCGGGGCTGGACACCGTTGGCTTCACGGATAAGGAATGGCAAGTTGGGGTTTGCTTGCTTAATGCCGGTGTAGTTCTCAGCGACGAATTGCCTGCAAAAGCAGATGCAGCGGTTAGTGGTTTAGCTCTTGCTAGAATGCTGGAGTCGTAGAATCTGTACTCACTTCAAACCTTTGCTGGCAGGAGAGGTTTGGCAAAAGTGAACTCGGACCTCCTTGATGGACTTGCTTAGTGAATTCCAGGCAGACATTGGGCTGAACTATGGCGACTATGTTCCAACAGGGCTTGTTGACTAAATTTCCTTGCAGGTTTGGGAGCTAAGCAACGTCACACATAAATTTGACTTTTAATTTTTGACATTAAAAAGTTTCAAGATCCTGCTACCCAGCTCTTTCACGAAGAGAAGGGATAGTTGGTCGAGCGAGACGGAAGACAATACTGAAAAAACTGTTGGTCAGCATATTTCTATATAAAAGTAGCATCGTTCATGAAGAGACTTTCTCTGCACTTGCTATGGGTACAGTCTACGACCTTGCACTGTCATGGCCACTGAATAATCAAGCGTGTTGGTGATTTACAAATTAAATAATGATAATTGTGCAGCTGGGGGTCAATAATTCTATATGAACATCAAGCATAGCCATATATTGTCTTTTGACTGAGCGTGATGGATTAATGAAATCATTCAGTTATATACCGTAGCTGACCACGACATTTAGGGTTAAAACTGCAAGGCCGCGCAATAGCTGGTGTACCATTGAGCTTAGCGCTTTCTCGGTCGAGATTATATACTGGCTCTTACACTGAGCTCCTGAGTTCACTTCAATATGAACAGATGTATTGAGACAAAATGTCATTTTTGGGTTTACGCCATAGTTCACGGGCGGGCAAAATTTCAGACTTCAAACGCGTGTTGGGTCACAATTTTGAGACGCAGTCGCAGTGCTTGATTTTTTAACGCGTCGTGAGGCGACCTAGAAATTTTTTGTTGATCCTTTCATTCACACATGCCTGCCAATCTTAAGCGACGACCATCTGATACATCAGCATCAAACATGGATGATGGCTCTGATTTCTCACAACCGTCAACACCAAAGCAGGTTAAGATAGAACACGAGACAGAAGAGCTGTCCAAAGAGGAACGTCAAGAACGCGTCTTTGCAAACCTGAGACTTCGCCGAATCGTGAAAGAAAATCACGGAAGTGACATCAACCAGCTCTCCTTCTTTTTCAACAATAAGAACTTTAGCGCTCCATACGGTATCGACCAGAGCAAAACCTTTGACAAGAGAGGTTCCGTTCAGAGAGACCAAAGCGATACCAGTAACATTTTGGTGACTGTTGGCGGCCCACAGGTAGAGAGTAATCAAACTATGAAGCGCACACTTACACATGGTAATTAACAATGGCCCTTAGATTAATGTGTATGATAATGAGCACTGTGGCGATCACTTGGATATCATGTCTCATTTTAACCTTGCTGTGGAAAGCGAAGAAGGATCACCTCCCAATAAGCAACTTCATTCCGCGTGCTGGCTTCATCGGCCTGAGGATGCGCTCATCGCTACAGCTGGAGCCGATTCGAAGATTCATATTCTCAGTCTGGCTAATTCCGAAGAACGTGCTATTCTTTCCGGTCACTCCAGTAGGTTTTGACAACCCATGAGAAAGCTTTGCATTCCTTATTGGTGGCTAATTTTGAAATCATTTAGAAACGATAACGGATTTACAATCTCATCCACAAAACGACAGACACATTCTATCGACGTCGAAAGATGGCACTGTCAGACTTTGGGATGTAGAAGAAGAAAAATGTTTGGCCATATACGATGTGGATGCCACGGTTTCGGTAAGACAAGATGTCTATAACAATTCCGACGGCAGCAAACATCTTTACTTACTATGTATCAGGTTTTCCACCCTTCTGGCGCTACATTCATCACTGCTGGAGCTCGAGGTGAATTTAGAGAATGGGATGTCGTCAATTTGGAGGATGACGGTATGGACAGTGGCGAAACAGCTCAAATCGACAAGAAGCAATCCCGTTTGCTCAAGAAAATGCACAATGACAGCCAAATTGGTATGTAGAGAAGAGAACGTACCCATGAAAATAACTATACTAAACTGGTGTCCTTGCAGATTGTATAAGATACGTCAATGGAAACTTGCTATCGAAATCCATTAACGGAAGAATGGAATACTGGGATCCTGTATCCGAAAAGGTTGGTGGGCGTTTGTTTGATTTTGCAGCAGAAATTACAGCTGACGCGTATGAAAAATTACAGAGCATCAGATCGTTTCGTGTCAAAACTGGCGAAAACTTTTCCCGATTCGACGTTAGGTATGGCATGAATGTTTGTACACAAAACCATAAGCAAGACAAATACCTCATCTATTTTCTTCTACTCTATACTAGTTTGAACGAATCGTTCTTTTGTGTCGGATCTAACAGTGGTGCTATTTATGTGTTCAACCTTCATACTGGCAAGCAAATTGCTGAATTGCAACATCGCCGTTCCACCAAGGCTGTTCGCTGTTGTGTCTTCACTCGTGATTGCCGGTACGCCATGCTTTTACATATCGGATAATCAGCTGCTGCCTATCGATCGAAACTAATACCGGTTCATTTCTAGATCTGTTATTTGTGCAGGAGAAGATGGATTTATTTGGCGATACGATTATATTGATGACGAAATTCTCAAAGAGTGGGCTAACGGACAAAAATCGGATTAAGTACTGTCCGTAGAACCGCGACCGTGTGTACATTAAACAGGATGCTTTTTTTTTTTTTTTTTGGTGTTTGATTTGTGTAATTAAAGTAGGTTGTATATCCTACAACAGTATTTTAAAATAGAAAGGGAACAACTGCCTTTCGCTTTGGTGGATAATCTGGAAACTCTTGTTTGTACCATTTGTGCGAACGCCAGGCACGAGGGAACAAGTTGGCAATAGTTGCCAGCACAAAGACATTGGCTGGAGGCGAAGGATAGCAGGCAATAGCCCAACCGATCCACTCCAGACTTTCGCTAAAGTAATTAGGACAGCTGACGTATTCGAACAGGCCGCCGTGTGGGATGGAATAGCGTTTTTGATTGTCTTTGACTTGACGTTCGCATCTAAGTCTAAACAAGATATTATCATGGTGGATATTCAACCACCAGCCAGCGCCCCACAAAGCGACACCAAACCAAAACCGAGGCTTTTCCAGAAGAGTGTCTGGGTATGAGCCGTACTTGGCAACCCACATGCCGTTGGTGTAAGCATTGGCACCATTGAATAACACGCTAGATAAAAAGGTTAGGATATTCATAGGCGACATCGAATGCGCTCGTAGTGGGTAGATAGTGCTGCGATTGATATAGTGCGTCAACCACATGGCCGATAGAACAGTCTGGGTGGTGGTCCACACAGGCTGGAGGCTGGTTAAAGACTGATAGACGGGTGGCAATATCGTGGCAACAAACAGTGCTGGAGACGTGGCTTCCATGAGGAACCACCCAAGCTTCCCGTTCAGCTGAATATCAATGATGAATTTTCCAGCGAATTTACCTGCAGTGATGCAATCCAAGATGGGGTCATTTGAATGGAACATTTCAATGATGGCAGAACATGCCTTGACATATCGCGGAGTTAAGCTATTTACCGTATGGAGCGTCAATTACGCATAAAATAGGCCATATGAGGACAGGGAAGAGTGAGTAATAGAAGAGGGCATTGTCATAGAGACTCTTCTTCGTCCAGAAAGCTGCTTGAAAGTTGACTTTGTCCATGTTGACCTAGTCAAAGTGGAGGGAAAGAACGTAAAATGATGTAAAAATGAAAGAAAAAAAAAAGCGTGTGGAGACTGTGTGACCTCACCTTGATGATCGAAGAGAGACAGTTTCGATATGGCAGGCCTATGCGGCCGTTCAATTTGTTCTCGCGTGTTTCAATCCCTACCATTGCCGTACATGTTCATAGCGCGGCCAATCTTGCAGAGGTCGCATTGCATTCGGCCAGCCTATAGTCAAGTCCCTAAAATAATACTATTACCACGACGAACCCATTACACCCACCATCACGGTCATGACCATGGCCATGCTCATGCTCAGTTAATGCAAACTATTGCTGAATCAGGTCAGTTACGGCTTCCTGTGCTCGGCAGGTTTTCCGACTTGGTCACTCAACTACCTCGCACACTGTAGGGAAAAGAGGAACTCGCATCACCGTCATTGGACTCGCCGCTAACGTTGGTTTGACGGTATCGAAAGGTGTAGCTGGATGGTAAGCTTGTCAAGAAAAAAATCTACGTGGAGTAGTTTATTGTTTTCTTTTGAGCTGAAGAAACCCATTGGCAGGATGTTGAATTCAGCGTCCCTTCTTGCTGACGCTGGCCACTCTCTTAGCGGTAAGTACTACAATGGCCCTACCATCCCACCCCCTGGTCACTAAGTAAATATTACCAAACGAAATAGACATGCTAAGTGATTTTGTAACGTTATACACGTACAAGAGGTCAAGAAAGCCTGCAGATGCACTCTACCCATATGGATATGGTAAGTTTGGTCCATAGGACTATAGTCATGCATTTCAAAGTCAACTAAGCAGCATTTTTATTCTAGGAAAATTTGAGACTGTGGGCTCACTAGCAGTATCTACCCTACTGATTGGTGGAGCCATCGGTATAGGATGGCATTCATTCGACTTAATGATGGGTGTCGTCCAATCCTCTGGAGTTCAAGAAACTGCTTCGGCTGTTGTCGCCACCGCATCCGACCCCAGTACGTCCCCAGCCTCACCTGTAGCACAACAAGTAGCTTCTATCTCCGACCATCATGGACACACCTTGAATCCTAACGCAGCATGGTTTGCTCTAATAAGCATTGTAGTGAAGGAATGGCTCTATCGTGCTAGTAAGCGTTTTTTGGCTTATTCCTAAATTTCTAAAAACAATAGTCACTAACAACAAAACATGTCAGCTATCAAAGTGGGCCGAGAGGAAAAGAGTGATGTACTCATAGCAAATGCATGGTGAGTGGAGAGCACATCTTCGTTATAATGTAGGGATTATATTCTCCAAAGATCTAAACTAATAAGAATGTTTTTGTTCGATATTCTTTTTTCAGGCACCATCGATCAGATGCATTTTCCAGTGTAGTCGCACTTGCAGCTATTGGCGGTAGCTATGCCGGGATACCCATTCTGGACCCGTTGGGTGGATTGGCAGTGTCCGCTTTGATTTTAAAGACGGGAGGAGACATCATGGCCAGCTCTTTGAAAGAGCTATGCGATGCCAGTATTGACCAAGACATTTTAGACCAAGTAGAAAAAACCATATTACAACTCAAGGTGAGCGAGGTTCTAGCTACTTCCAAAATGGTGGCGGCTGGGGTTTAAAAAAAATTCTTAACTCAATATGTCATAGACAAACAAGCCAGATATTGTAGACTATCAATCATTACGAGGACGCAAGACGGGTCCTTTTTACCTTATGGATATGACCCTCCATGTAAATCCAAAGCTGACGGTGGTTCAAGCGCATGCGTTAGAAGAAGAAGTCAGGCAATCCATTCAACACACTTGTCCTGAAGTCAAGGAAATCATGATACATGTTCATGCTGAAAAACAACATCACCCAACTTTGTAATGAAAAGAGGCGGTCCATTTTTGGACAGGTCACACGATAATGTTCAACGTAAACAGATAAATTCAACATGTTTCATTGCAATGGATAGAGTGGGCGATAAGGTGAATGGAAGGAAGGAAACGATGGGTTTAATTATAGTCAGTCAGTGTGTGAACTGACTTGGCTGTGGTGAAATGGAGTGACTTATCGTTCACGCCAAGTAACACAGGAGGGCTGGCTTTTCTTTTTTTTTTTTTTCGTTGTCAACAACAAAGGCTCCTCGAAAAATTTCCCCCTCCTTCCCTTTTCTTTTCTCTTCTTTTACAAAAGAACAATCCCAGATCTCTTTTTATTATCCAATGTCTGCAGTTGAACAGCACCCTGTCATTGCAGATGGCCAACCCATTGCCAAGATAGACCATGCTTCATTGCAAGTGAACCAAGAACCATCTCTGGAAGATATCCAAGCAGCTGTTCCAGACCTTGAGCTGACTAGCCAAGATGATGTTGCTGCTGCCAAGTCTTCAGACGCTGACCAAACAGCCAATGAAACTCCGTCAGAAATGACGCACACTTCTCCTGAGGAACCGGTCCAGTTCGATACAACCACCGACAAACCAGCTGATTTAACAAACGGCACCTCTGAAGAGCCGTTGTTGGAAACTGTGGTCCGCCCGGATGACTCTGTTGAAGATCAGCCCGCCGCAGTCGAACCTGTCGTCGAATCAGAGGAGAAGGACCAAGAAGTGCCTACATTAGAGCAGGATAGCCCGGCTGAGGTCGACACTGTTCCTGAGCCAATTCCATCCGCATCAGAGGAAACCGTAGAGCAAGCACCCAACGCTGCAGATGATGAGGAGGTGGATACTGCTCCTGAGCCTATCGTAGAGTCCAGCGAACCTGTTGCTGACGAACCTACTGAAGATAACACCAACGAGCGTCTTATCGACAACAGTGTTCTTGATGTTCAACCTGCTGTACAGGTCGCTGAAGAGGACAAGGTGGAAGAACCTGTTTTGGACACCACGGAGCCTGTAGTTGAGCCTGCTGCGGAACCTACTCAAGAAAATCTTGCTGAGGAACCTGTTGTTGAAACCACCGAAGCTGTTGTTTCACCCGCTGTTGAACCCACTGAACAGAACTTGGTTGAGCAGCCTATTGTTGAGGCTGAAGCACCCATTGTAGAGTCGGCCGAGCAGCCTACTGAAGAGAACACTGAGCAGCGTGTCATTGATACTACTACTGCTCTTGAGGTCGAGCCTGCCACCGTTGCCACCACTGAAGAGACTGAGGCAGAGGAGCCTATTGCTGAAGAAGTCGCTGCTCCTATTGCTGACCCCACCGAACCTGCTGTTGAAACCCCTGAACAGCCCATTGTTGAGGCTCTTCAGGAGCCTGAAGCTGAGGAACCCGTCGCCGAAACTGTTGCTCCCGTTGAAGAGCCTATCGCTGTAGCCTCCGAGCCTGTTGTCGAGGAACCTGCTGTTGAGGAGCCCGCTGTTGAGGAGCCTGCCGTTGAAGAAACTGCTGCTCCCATTGAAGAGCCTGTCTTCGAAGCTGTTGCACCTGTTGAGGAACCTGCCGTTGAGGAACCTGCCGTTGAAGAAACTACTGCTCCCATTGAAGAGCCTGTCTTCGAAGCTGTTGCACCTGTTGTCGACGCTGTTGAGGAACCTGCCGTTGCTGAACCCATTGTCGAAACTGCTGCCCCCATCGAGGAACCCGCTGTTGAGGAGCCTGCTGTCGAAGAACCCATTGTCGAAACTGCTGCCCCCGTTGAGGAGCCCGCTGTTGAAGAACCAGCAGTCGAAGAACCCATTGTCGAAACTGCTGCCCCCGTCGAGGAACCCGCTGTTGAAGAGCCTGTTGCTCAAGAGCCTGTTTTCGAATCAGCTGCACCTGTTGTCGATGCTGTTGAGGAGTCCGCAGTTGAAGAACCTGCTGTTGTAGAGCCCGTCGTTGAGGAGGCTGCTGTTGAAGAACCCACTGTTGAGGAGCCCACTGTTGAAGAACCCGCTGTTGTAGAGCCTGCCGTTGAGGAGGCTGCTGTTGAAGAACCCGCTGTTGTAGAGCCTGCCGTTGAGGAGGCTGCTGTTGAAGAACCCGCTGTTGAGGAACCCGCTGTTGAGGAACCCGCTGTTGAGGAGGCTGCTGTTGAAGAACCTGCTGTTGAGGAACCTGCTGTTGAAGAACC